ATATAACTGTTAATTGCTGTCAATTCGCTCCGACGAGAAAATCCTTATATATGAAAAACTCGAGCAGTCCTGATCGATTCTGTCTGACAAAGGCGTGCTGTACATTGGTAATAAAGATTAATCAGTCTTGAACTGCGTCTTGTATCGTGTATAGGGAAATCAGCATCTTGTTATTTGATCGAATGCGATTGTATTTTTATTTTTCCATCGGAGACGACAGTCGAAGGAAAGGTAGCGGAATGAAGATTGTTTTGTAATCTGTGAGCTTCAGGTTTAGGAGTTTCCGATTCACATAATAAAATACAGGTCGTATTTCCTTTGGAGATACTATAAAGTTGGACTGCCTGGGATAAATTCAGACCTGAATATTATAGCTTTTGGAAAAGAAGTAATTTTGACAAGTGTTTTGATATTCGATAACCGCACTAATGCTTATATAATAATTTCTGCCCCGAAATCTACAATCGAAAGTAAGCGCTACGTACACTTAAGGACGTAAGATATTTTTTGTACAACTAACTCTAATACGTATCATATCTTTGTTAACCTCTTTAAAGACTGTATAGCTAGCTGCTGCCCCAGTCGATGGAACAATTCGATTAAATTTTTTTTTTTTATAAATCAAACAGACCTATGTCAATTCAAAACAAATTGTAAAGACTGGCATGCAGGCATCAAATGACGTAACGTGTTTTTGTAAAACTAATTATGACGTAAAACATATTTTTTTGTGAAAGTAATTTAAGACTAGGTAGCTGACTAGAGAACCATTAGAAGAAACTACTTTACCTTGTTCAAAAGATCTTTTCAACACTACGGAAATAAATCTGTGTCAATCCAATGCAAAGATGTCAAGTCTGGCAAGATTAATTTACACGTTGGTTGCACTAAAGGAACACAATCAAATCGATGTTTGTCAGCTCACAGAACAAGAAATTTTGGTTCGAGATTAAGTTCCAGAGGTCAGATTGTTACTGTTTCTCACGCAACAACAAAAATCTCCTGTAAAAGAAGAAGAAAAAACTAGAGTTTGTTTTGGTAATCACAAACAACCACGAAATGAAAATTGCTGCGGGCTTTTTTCCATATCCGATCGCCGCAATGAGAAACCTGAGCGATCGTTTTACCCATAAAAGGGAAGAAGATTCACCGATAATCGGGACCGCGGTTCAGCGGGAGATTCATTCGAAATTTCGGCGGGCGCAATCACGGGGAAAAACGGGGGCAGGTGGTGGCTCGGACTATACGGTGCGAGAGCGCGAGACAGAGGAAACCAAGAATGATAATTTTGATGCTTCATTTTCTTGATATCGGTTACATGTGATTCGTGTAAGTTTGAAATGTTTAGTAATCGATATTAGACTTTATTGGGATTTATAAAAAAAAAAATCGATGCTGGACTAATAACTGAGAGTCGTCATAATCCAGGAACAAAAGTTCCTGTCGGTCACAATCATGTAAATAGTGTGGGTTATTATTATTAATTATTTCTGGTAATGAAACCAAGGATTCCTCAAAAGCGCCCTAGGCACTGTAGCTCACAAGCATGAAGAAACCTGTAGAGAAAAGACAATGAGAAGAATTGACAGTTTTAGAGTTAGAGGTGGGAGGGAAACCGCAGAATGGGAAAGCTCACGGAATCAGGCAGGGACTGAAAACTCAATCCACATTTTGACCGTGAGACGGGAATCGAACCCGGGTCACAGCGATGGAATCATAGGCAAGGTAAAGTCCCGCTACGTCATCCTGATGGTCGTGGTTAATATAATTGATACTGGACTATATTTAGATTTTACAACAGAATCGAAAGTGCACTATAGGAACAATGATTGAAATTCACGAAAGCCATGTCGGACATTTTAAAAAAGGTATGCACGCATGTCGGACATTAAGCACGGCTGTGATTGGTCAAAGCTTCAGGGGCGTGGCTTATTGTGCCTTTTTAAACTCACACCCCCAAAAAAATTACCTTGCTTTGTACAGTTAACTTGTATTCATAAGTACCTAACACAGTTTTCCCATTCCTATTGGTCGAGAGCCCGTCACGTGGCCGGTTTTAAACGGCTGATAAACCGGCTGGACTTTTCCAGTGTCACGTGATTTTGGACTCCTCTGAACTCCGGTGCCAGTGCCGTTTTATTGGTTGAACGTTCACAATCCTCACGTTGCCATGCGCAATACTACCAGTGAGTCAGTATTTCATAGTCCTAAATTCAAACTTCACCGCCACAGCTGCGTTCTGCGCCACATCACGCAGTACGCGCGACGCGCGCGCAAATCTCCAAATAAGGAGTTGTTGACGACTTCTCGTGAGAAAAACAAGAGGTAGAGTTGCTGAACTAAATCGTTGGAAATTTATAATTTTTGACTTGTTTGACTTTGGACCGAAAAAGTTTAGATTTTTTTTGACCGAAAGGTTATTAATGGGAATAAATATTTGCTTGGCCGGTATCAAACATTATACATGTATGTTTAAAACCGGTTAAAGTCTGGATGCTGATAATTACCCGAGCCGAAGGTAATTTTGATTATAAATATTCATGAAGGTACTGGTATTTTTACACAGATTGCGTGGAGAGGTGACTTCTTGTATACGTACCAAAGCTGAAAAAACACTGTCCACACCTTTCAGCACACTATTTACACATGAATGTACCACGCGGTCACTTCAAACTCGGACACCGAGTTGTCAAAACAATCACTCGCGCCTTTGTGTTCTTCGGATATCTTTCTCGAAGACCGTGCATGTTTGTTGCATACAGGTATTTTGCTTTATTATCGCCACACATTTGGGAGCCGTCATACAGAAATGATTAAGTCCGTCACACGTCATTCCGCCTTTGCCGCTCTAACTCTGATATTTGCTTTCTAAATATTCATTTTTTTTTGTACCTGCGCCTCTCTCACCTTTTTTACACGGTTGAAAAGAGCGATCGATCAGTGGCGGGGAAGAAGACGGTCGCTTCCGTGCCGGGGATCTCGCGCTTGACTCCCACTCGCCATTAAAAGACTGCCCCGCTCCGGTACGGGCGATTTGAAATTCATCGGAATCCGCGCAAATCATTTTTTTCTTGTCCTGCTGTTCGCTACTTTGGTAAATTGGTTCAGATGGTTTGGGGAATACGCATTTGGTTATATGAAATCTTCTTTTTATTCGTGCAGTGGCCAGAAATCAATCATATCTATTTGCATACGGGAATTTGGGATTGAAAAAGTGCAGTGTCGACAAGTTCATGATAAAATGTACCTGCGTATTAAAGCCGTGGTAAACTTACCGTAAAAAATCTGATACTGCAGCTTTCGATTTTTGGCGCAAACATGTATGAAAGCATTCTCGGTATTTATTTCACACAAAATAGGCCAAAACCAGAATCAATTCACAACACACATTTTAATTACATGTGATACGAGTAAATGAGGTAATGATTGAATTCATATTGTTCTGCAATATCCAAAATTAATTACCGGCAGTTTTTCTTGCTTCCAAACATTATCAAGCTACTTTTTGCAGGGTTCGACTTAATGTTCTGTTTCACTAGCCAGCCGGGCTACTGAAACAGACTCTTAACTAGCCCGCGGACATTTTGACTAGCCCGCTCGTTTTTCTTGTATAGAGTGTCTCATAAACAACAATGTGCGTACATGTAAAACGTGTATCCTGAGGCAATCTTGTCATTTTTTTTTAATAAACAGATCCAATAATTTAACCCTACACAGTTAATAAAATTAGACACAAATGGATACAGGTTTACTTTTAATGAATTAGTTCTTCCTGCTCTTTTATCTTTGCCGTAGCCCAATAATTGTTGACTCGGAGAATAGGAGAGTGTTATATTACAGGGACAAAGGGAAACACAAAGCATTGTCCTCGGGAGTATAGTAAAACAAAAGTAAAGTGTGTGTATGTGGATGTAACTTTTGCCTTGTTGAATTAGTTTCTGCTGGTCCTAGAGGGCCAGCCTGGTATCCTCTTTGTACATATCTGGCTGAGGCTGACTGACTGTCACTTGTTACTTAGACTCCTGGCAGTGCTATCGTATAGATCACCCCGTAACGCCAGGGAATGGGCTACATCCCGGCCACTGTGTAGACAACATGCATGAAGACTTCCAGTGAACAGAATCAATTGAACAGAATGTTGTGTGCTCTGGGACCAGCTCTATAGGCTTATCTAGTCTTTTTTCCATGCGCTATGAACTTCAAGTTCAGTTGACACTTCAAGTATGCAAAGCTGCTCGACGTCATCTTCACACTGACAAGATGTTTAACAAATATACGTGTCATTTCCGTAAGCTTGGTAAAAAATGTACATACACACATCACCAAGTGCTAAACACAATGGTTAACGGTTTACACGAAACATTCCCTATTTAGCACGTAAATGTCGTCCCCAGGGAATAACATTTTCCCCCAAACACCCTTGTCGGCAAGACTATTAAGTAAATTGAAATCTGCTTCCATCTTTTGGACCAGGTTTTATATGTCAAGAATGATTCATTTTAGCCGGAATGTTTTATCTATACTCAAGAAAAACAAAGGCCACGTGTGGAACTTGGCTTTTGATGCCGACGTTTTTACGCGCGCCGCCGAGTCCCAACCCAAACAACGTTGGTCGAGTATTTACGTTGAAGGGGATAGGAATAACATCAATGTTTCTCGTATACAGTCACAAGCGTGCTTTCCATTTTGGGAATTTGGCAATTTTCGGCTCAGGCTTAAAGCAATTAAGTTTGAGGAGAAAAAACTAAAGGATGTTTTTCTTACATTATACTGTGGGAGAGGATGATTTGTTAATGTAAAGAAAATATATCAAAAATTGAAGAGCTTTCATTGAGTCAATTGTGTTTGTGTCGACACCGGACGTTAAAAACGGCGCCCTATACAGAAACTGGAAAGATCACGTTCTGAAGGCACATCAAAAAGAAAAGTCAAAAAGCCTTAAACTAAATAAACACTGGGGAAAAATATGAAAATTAATGAAGACCAGAACACAAACAAGGTTTAAATGTCAATCGGAGATTTGAATTCCAGTTTATATGCAAAATAAACATAAATTTCGATTTGAATTAAGAAATAAATTAAAGAATTCCCATTGGGCGAATCAAAACAAAAATAAATTAAACAACATAAAGTCGAAATGTAAACAATATAAATATTGTAAATATAAAGTAAAAACTAACAAACATAAATAAATAAACATAAATTAAAATTAACAAGAACAAAAGGAAGCTTAAATTCCCAAGATAAATTGTAACTTTTTTGAGAAAAAAAACACCAAGTTTTAAGTTTGTTATTGGACGCTTTCATTGTATATCTTAAGTTCACAGTTTTTACAGTCACTTCTAAAAAAGGGGACTTTTACATTTTTTTGGCTGATTTGTATAATTAAGCAAGGTCGGAGGGCAGGCACTTAATAAATGAGCGCACGTAGGGTCTTGATTTAGGCTTCGTTTGGACGACACAAGTTTTTCTTACATTATTTCTTACAAGATTTTCTTACATGACGGGAGAGGACATTTTCATAACGTCTGTTTGTAAATAAATAAAACACAATTGACAGTTGTCTTTAAATTGACTAGGTTTGTGAATTGTAATGTTTGATTTTGTTTGTGTCAACATGGTTATCCGGTAATTATGCGAGCTTTGCATGCACGTAATGAAAGCAAGTGAAGTCGGATTTGGGCCTTAACTGGGATAAAACAGGTCCTCACAAAGGCATATCCTCGCGATCCTTGAGATTCAAATGGACAGAATCTGACGCATTTGTATGACGTCAAGATGTAAACAACAGAGTAAAAAATCTTAAATCTTTCAGATTTGCCACAATGCCATTCACACGCACAACCCAAGCTGGCCTGATTAAATTCCTAGGGGAATAAACACCGCTGCTAAATCCAGTTAGGCCTAATTAATGTGACCGGAGTGCCGTGGTCAAATGGTCGTGCACGGTGTGCGACTCATGTGCCGTGGTAAGTGGGTTCAAACAGTGATGGTGCTTGTGTTCTTGGGCAAGACACTTTACTACAATTGCCTCTCTCCACCCAGGAGTATAAAAATGGGTACCTGTACAGGTTAAGACCAGATTGCGCTGATCTCGAGCTGCTGCAGAAAATATGGTATCATGGCCTGAGGAATAGCGTAATAAAGAGAGCTTAACCTGCATACAGCGTACAAGTTTATCAAAATAATATCACAGAAATGACAGAATACAACTTTGTGTCTTTACCATTGCTTCTTGGAAACATCAAGACGGCACAACTTTCTGCTGTCCAGTTGGTTCCATGTGACTCTTCAGTCTCAAGTACTACAAGAAAAGACAAAACAAAGAAAAAGAGAAGGAACATTTATTAAATCTTCCAATTTTCATCCATTTATGCGTTTCCCTTCAAAAACCACCAGCTGCATGAATTTGTAGAATTTTGCAGGATTCTTGTGGGATTTTGTAGTATTTTAGTAAGATTTTTGTAGCATTTGTGTCAGATTTTGTAGGATTATTATCGGATTTTTAGTAGGATTTTGTATGATTTTATGGGAATTGGTAGGATTTCTGTAGGATATTGTTGGATTTGGTAGGATTTCATAGGACTTGGTAAGATTTTCGGAGGATTTTGTAGGATTAAGCAAAGCCCATATACTTTAATAAGTACATGTACCTAAACAGGACTTGAGGCCTCTGTAACGTGAAGTACAAAGAGTGTGCCATTGGGTTCTTCCAAAGTGATAGATTTTGGAAGAATCAGGTAGCTGAAGGATTTAGGATTCAAAAGAAAACCACCATGGGATTTTGTTGGGTTTTGTAGGATTAAGGGACCTAGGCAAAGCCAAGATACTTTTACATGTACTAGTCATGGTGAATTGTTTACCAAAAAAAACACACAATGATTTAGTTTCCTCAGAAAAAAAGAAATGATGCTACCGGTACAATTTTTTAGACACACTGTATCGACCGTTCTTGCGTTTTTAAATATTGAGCGCCACTTTATATTTTTAGCCGTGGTAGACAACATGTTTTGAAAAAAAAATGAATATTAACACTCTCATTGTGTAAGAAAGAGACATTAGTCTTAAGTCTTTGGAAGCGTTTGTTGGTAACTTTGTATTTTCTACAAGCCAATGATACATTTGGAAACATTAATTTTTGAAAAATGACCTTCCATAGTTTGCTAATCCGTGGCTAGCAAATTAAAGTGTCTGTGGTTGGCAAAGTAAGGTCTAAAGTTAACCACGTTATATTGATTAAATAGTGATTTTAACACATTTCTTTATTGCCGTGGACTTTATAATGAACATTGGCGAACAACCCGACGCTGTACATTATGAACATTTGTCACATCAAATAAAATGCCATCCCAGTGAAACCCCCAAGAGGATCGCGAGTCAATTTGCGACTGATGACATTACCGCCGCGTCTTAACCCTCTCCCGCCACAAAAAAAAAGCGCAATGAAGGCATGGAAAGGGGGCTCAGTGTCTGAGCCAGGAGTATGCTGGGACAGTTAAAGTAATGACGCGGTCCACCGAACCAAGAAATGCAAATTCCAGTGGAGAGAGGTCTTGATTTGGTCCCTGGACTGAGGAAAAGTGTGCCAAGGTTGCGGTAGTCACGCCTTATTTTTTTATCATAATTTTATCTTTTTATTAAAAGGTGTGGGCGGGGTTGGTATACATGTTCAGATGATAATTGCCACTTTCTAATTGGAATGTGTTGACTGCAAATTGATGGATTTGGATGGGAAGTACAGAGTGGACAAGCATTACATTCACTGTGTGGACTTCCAAACAAAAGACGTCAACATAAACCAGGTAGCAGCGACGTTGTGTGGACTTGCCCACGTCCACACAAGGCTTTCCCCTCTCTGGAAAACAGGTTTAGAGGCATTTTTGTGTTAGGATTATTTGTGGCAACATGAAGAGGAACACTAAAGGGAATCACAGAAAAAAAATTGGGTTGAAAGATTTTTCACTGGTTTTTCTTAACTACACGAAAACAAAGGAAGTCCACCCTAGGTATGTAAAACAAACATGCGTGTGCCCAAAAGTGCAACATTCAGAGAAAAAACAATTAAAACTGTTTAATATTTTTTTCCCATGAAATTATATAGTATATTAAAGCCTGACTATTTCGCAATCCACTCCTTTTACCCCATTCCATTTGGGTCCCTAGATCCAGACATGCTTAACCCAGATTCAGCATGTCCTGTGAGAGTGGCCTGGTAACATTTACACCCTTTCACTTTAATAATTGATTGTATTTCTGGATCTAGGGACCCAAATGAAATGGGGTAAAAATGAGTGGATTAAGAACAAGTCAGGCTTTAACGTAATATATAATTTAATTGAAAAAAAAAAAACATTAAACAGTTTTACTTACAATGTATTTGTTTTCTGAATGTTGCACATTTTTTGGGCACACTCTGTACAGTATGTATGCAGAATATTTCATATTGTTGCACTAGCTCAAGCAAAAGACATGTGATAGACGTACATGGTTGTAAGAAAATGTATTAATGAACTGATGTCGTCCTTCCAGATCATGCAAGTGTCCTTCCGGTGTGTATTTTAATGGATTCTGCAGGCTTTGGGGAGGTGCAGACCAGCCATGATTAAATTGGTCCCTAAGGCCAAAAAAAAAAGTCTCCGGTTTCTGGTATGGAGCTTGCCCCAAAAGTGGTGCGGCGACGCGACTTTTTTTTTTTTTTTTACCGGTTTTTTTTTTTTTTGGCATCAAATGTCGGCTGATGACTGCAAATGGTGCCCGACTAAACTTAGTGCAAATATATGGGAGTCCAGAGAGGCCACATAAAGCTTATTCTCGATCATAACCCCATCTAAAAACACGTTAAAATTGTGCAGCAGCAGGATTCCAGTCAAACCAGTGAGTTTGGTGGTTTTGAGACATCATTTTGTATTGAAAAAAAAACTTTTTCATTTTGCCCACGCGCATGGCTACGGCGACGCGCGCGCATACCAGAAACCGGAGACTTTTTTTTTTGGCCTAAGATGATTTTTTTCTTGGGAACACATTTTGTGCAACTGTCTACTCCTCTATAAATGTATGAAATCTATTTGACATTGCTTTTTGGTTAATTTTATTGAAAAGTGCACTTCTTGAAACATTAAAAAAGTTCCATGCTTTTCCGGACAACAAAGGGCGCTGTTGCTGTGATGTCATTTCGGGAAGACACTGTTTTGTTTAAGGGTTTTCAGTTCAAAGTTTGAACCAAAAACAAATTGCTCATTGAAAACATTTCTGAGAAAAGTTTGCTCATTGGCTTACTGCCATGTACTGACACAATGAATCACCAAAGAAAAAGAAATTCACGACAGCAAAATATCCAACATTCTGGCAACATTTGGCGCTAAAATTGCTGTAAAATTGAGGTTTCTCCATGAAATCACATCCTACTTTTGTAATAATAGGCGATTTAGCAGATTTGTGAAGTGCATCTATCAGAATTTCGCCATTTCCTTACGGTCACCCTAGATGTTTGCTCAATTCAGTGACTAAGCCTTCTATTTCCCGAGATGACCTCAAGTTTGAGGCTTTCCAAGATTTTCTATGACCCAGAGAAAAAAATCTGCAAGCCATTTGAGAGATGATGTCAATTAGAGACAGGCACCGAGCCAGAGAACAAATTCCAGTGCTCTCCCACAAGATTTACAGGATTGCTGGACGGCCTAAACACACATGTCAGACATGACCAGACAAGTGAAAAAAGATGTAGATAAACAGTGACAACAAGGGATTTCCTCAGAGAAGTGAGCAGTATATCAGTTCCACCCCTGCCTCTATTTCTCTCACAAAGGGTCACAGAAGACTGAGCCTCATTTCCTTGTGAACCCAGAAAAAAATATCAACAAAGAAAGTGTGATGTGTTTTTTTCGAAAACGGACTCTTCTGCGAAGCTGGTTGAAAAGATTTTTTTTTTTTTTTTAATCCTAACCACCCCAACTCCATCAAAATCCATCCCCCTTTGGGTGGATTTTGGGGGACTTGGTCCAGATGGAGTGGAGTGACTAAATATTGATGGAGTGTGATGGACTTGGGCCTAATGGCCTGAAGCAGTGCTAGGGGTATCCGATTGATTTTGCCTAGCTTTCTGTAATGCTATTGTGATACAAGCCATGTGTAGCAAGTCCATGAATGTCAACCAGTGCGTCAGTGGTGGATTCCATTACGTCATGTACAGTTTTGTATTGGACACACAGTGATTGATGGATTTTGATGGACTTGGTCCAGTTCCTAGTAAAATACGCTAGGGAGTTGGGGTTAAAGATGCATTCCTGTGGTATTTTGAGTTTCAAGCTGTAAATAGATTTGGGTTTTTTTAATTGCTGTTTTCCAAGCAATATAATTTACTTTTCAATTAGAAATCGAACGAAAACAATCTACTTTTGTTTACTTATTAAATTAATTTCTTCACACAATTCGAATTATTTGCTGCCCCACAATAAATCGGCTATCACAGGGTGGGTTCATTTGTGTGAAAAATGAAAGCCCCTTTTCCAGAGTTTTTATTTGTTACAACAAAACATACAAATTTAAAAATCGTTCGGATAAAAAAAGTATATTTTTTGAAGAGCACAGGGCACGCATCTTTATAAAAATACAGTATGTCCCCCCAAAAATGTCCATCTTACTTTTTTTTTTAAGTAACTATGGCTGCGGTTGGGATTGGAATCATTTGCCTGGCTATCAGTCATCACGGCAAGACCTCGGTTTAATGCTCAAGGGCAAATGATTCCAATCCCAAACCACATCAGACTTTTTTTCCACAACATGCAGGATTTTAGACAGTATAACACAGCTTTGAACTTGATTAAGGCATGGAACTTGGTCACAGTGTCAACAAATGTTGCTGTGATCAATTGTGCAGTGATGCGTGACTGAAATTAAATGAAACTCATAGGGGTTTAGGCCAAGGATAAGGAGTACATGTACATATCTGCACCATCACACATTTTCAAAATTGACTTCATGGTAATGTAGTTACATGTATTCAAAAAATAGTCAGACGGACACATTTTGGGGACATACTGTAGAACTTGCCCTGCAAAAGTGCTGTTTAATGTTTGAAAAAGCACTCTCCGTTGCAAACCTATTCTCATTTCAAAAAAGTTGAACACAGAAACAAACTGCACATAAAAAAAAGGGTTACACATTTCTTCAGCTGATACACCACACAAATTGTCCAAAGAATGTCTGAAACTTTTGCAGATACATTGTTTATTAACATATTTAGGATCATGCCCTCCAAAAAAACTTTAAAAATGAAAATTCCCCCGCATAAAAACAAACACGATTATTAACAGGAAAACAACATTGTTAACTCTTCAACAACAAAAGCAAAACTTAACTTCTAAAAAAAAAAACAGATTTAATTCTCCAAAATGAACTTTCTACAGTTCATCAGAATTTGAAACACAGCTGCATAAGAGACAAAAATTATGTGCCATACATGCACTGTCAGTTACACGTACATGAATGCGTCTCGTGACAAGATAGAAACGGACAGATTTTATTAAACAGTACTACAAAACTGTGTTGATCCATCACCGGCGACACGGTCCGCACAATTTGAGAATTCTACGGCTTAGGCTCTCGCGCGACGTATCGCGTGTGCGATCAGGTTGAAAATTGCACCGCCAGCTGTGCGAGAAGTAAATTAAGTGCACATTAGAAGAAACTTACAGATTTCTTTATTTTGCTGGTCAGGTCCCAGAGAGGGCCGGTTCAGCATAAATTTAGGTTTTATGAAATACGGACTCATTGGTGGTATTGCGCATGCTCATGCATAGATAATTAGGAGAGGGACCGGTCACATGAGAGGGTTTAACCAATAAAAGGGAAAAAGAGTCCGATTTTCATACAAGTCCGATTTTCATATGACACCGACCCATAGCCTTCTTTGTACATGCACCTCACTGCCTGACTGACAATTCTGAGCCGGGCAGTGCTATTGTATAGGATTACCCCATAATGCCAGTGAATGGGTTAAATCCGGCCCATTGTGTGGACCAGATGCATGAAAAAGACTTCCAGTGAATAGCCATTCTGAATCAATCGAAGAGAAATTCTGTGCACTCTGGAACCAGCTTTACTAACTATGCTTGCCATGTCTTGTTTTTGTAAGTTTGGAATCTTGTGATTGACTGGCGATTGATTTGTGATTGTATTAACATTTGACTTGGTGATTTGACTTGTGATTTGACTTGGTGATTTGACTTGTGATTTTCTTGTGATAATACTTAGGATTGTCTTGTGAATTTACTTGTGATTGACTTGTGATTGATTTGTGAGAGACTTGTGATTGACTTGTGATTGGCTTGTGATTTGACTTGGTGATTTGACTTGTGATTTACTTGTGATAATACTTAGGATTGTCTTGTGAATTTACTTGTGATTGACTTGTGATTGATTTGTGATTGACTAGTGATTGACTTGTAATTGACTTGTGCTTTAACTTGTGCTTTGACTTGTGAGAGACTTGTGATTGGCTTGTGATTGACATGCGACGGACTTGTGATAGACTTGTGATTGACTTGTGATTTGACTTGTGATTTGACTTGCTATAGACTTGTGACTGACCTGTGACTGACCTGTGATTGATTTGTGATTGACTTGTGAATAACTTGTGATTTAACTTGTGATATTGACTAGTGTTTGACCTGTGATTGACTAGTGTTTGACCTGTGATTGACTTGTGATTGACTTGTGATTGACTTGTGGTTGACTTGTGATTGACTTATGATTGATCTGCGATTGATTTGTGATTAACTTGTGACTGAATTGTGACTGACTTGTGACAGACTTGTGATTGACTTGTGACCGACTTGTGATGGACTTGTAATTGACCTGTGATTGGCTTGTGATTGACTTGTGATAGGCCTGTGACTGACTTGCGATTGACTTGTGATTTGACTTGTGATCGACTTGAAATGGATTTGTATTTGACACAATAACAACTTGGTGTATACAGATGTGTGGCAGCCACTACTGGCGCGGACCACACGTGTACCGGTACATACATGTGGTCCGATCATTCTTGACCTACAGGGCCTCACAGATCTTGCGAATAAATCCTTCACTGCCAAGAACAAACACACACAGTGTTGGTGGTCTCTGAATCATATAAAAAAAAAACCTGACTAAAACAATGCTCTAGGGCTGCTGAAAAAAACATTCCCAGCAGGGATTGGGTTAAAAGGAGTCACTGAAACCAATTATAGACGAATCCCAAACCAATTTGAGACCAAGCATTCACACTTTGAACCAGTGTTGCAGTCGACTCCATCACAAGTTCATCAGAACTTGACATTATAAGTCAATCCACACATCTGTACATTCGGTTTCCTATAGGGTACCGTTAATGTAAAACTATACTTCACTACTGTTCTCGTTTGAGATTTCAAAAGACTTATTTTCGGGGTGCCATTGTCCGCAAAGATGTCATAGAGAAGATCAAGGAAATGAAATGGAGATGGGCAGGGCACTTAGCAAGAAGACAAGACAACAGATGGACCAAGAGACTCACAGAATGGCAACCAAGGACAGGCAGAAGAAGAAGAGGTAGACAAAGGAGATGGAGAAATGAAATCACCACATACATGAACACGGCAACATGGAGCAGAATGACAAACAGAAGAGAATAGAAACTGCTTGAGGAAGGCTGCATCCAACAATGGATGACCACAGCCTTGGGCCAATTTCACAGAGCTGCTTAAGCACAAAATTTGCTTAAGCACAAAAACGTCTTGCTTAATAAAATCAGGTTACCGGCCAAAACTCCATGCGATTGTTATGCTAAGTAAACAACCGCTAAATACCAGTCACAAGCAATGTACATCGCATGGAGTTTTGGCCGGTAACCCAATTTTACTAAGCAATGTTTTTTCGTGCTTAAAAGCAAATTTTGTGCTTAAGCAGCTCTATGAAATTGGGCCCTGATGATGATGATGATGATGATGATGATGATGATGATGATAATTGTCTTAGGGGTGTGCAAAAAATGTATGGGTAGAACGGGAACTGGGTACCTGATTGAAAAAAAAAACACGGATATCCGGGTACCCCTTGAAGAAACCCAACCGCAAAATTCAAATCATGGCAATGCTGTTCAGATTGTTCATAAAGGTCCACACTATGAACATCGGTGTGTCAATGCAGCAAGATACAAGTGTGTACATAGTGAGCTTTATAGCTTTACGGTGTAAACTGCAACTCTCACGTGCGTCATAAATGTGAAATATGTTATATTTTCCCGTGTAGCCTGGTTTTCATTTTGAAAATTCCCCGCAAATGACATTCTAAACCTTTATTTATCATGGCCTAAGAAGATTATTTGTTTGTAATGCGATCAAGCTAAATGAGTCGTTTGTCGGGAACTTTCATTTGGAGATTCTGGCCAAAATAGGGCCACTTAATCACATCACTTCATCACATCTCTTGGTGTTCCGACTTCCATAATTTTTGAACTAAAGATGGTACCAGCATGTGGTTTTCACAGCAGCAATGCTGAGATTGTGCTCTTTTCAAATCTGTAAACAAAAAAAGATGACCAGGGTCGACAAACGACTCATTTAGCTTGATCGCATCACATTTACGTAATTTGTAAAGTTGGTTATGAGGACCCGATCTATCTACATGTAGAACCGGTTCCTGACATCAACCGTCGGGTACTCTAAGGTACACGGGTCCGATGCACAGACCTTCCATTTGGATAGCTTGGGACTTCACTGGGGACTGGGTGGCTTGTGATTGGCTTGAGATTGATCTGTGATTGGCTTGTGATTGACTTGTGATTAGCTTGTGATTGGCTTGTGATTGACTTGTGATTGGCTTGTGATTGACTTGTGATTGGCTTGTGATTGACTTGTGATTGGCTTGAGATTGATCTGTGATTGGCTTGTGATTTACTTGTGATGGAGTTGACTACGACACTGTTTTTCACTTACATTTTTCCTGCTGCTGATAGCTTGCTGTACCCACAGTAGCTCAAGAGCGGCACTGTTACGTAGCTTCTGAAGCGCCTCCAGATCGGTTGGATAATCAGACTCGAGCATCTCTGAAAGAAAAAAAACAGTAAAGCTTAATATACAACATTTGCAAACATCAAGACACAAAACTACCAAATTATTACGAAATACCTAAGGCCAAAAAAAAAATACTTCTGCTTCCGATTACATGGCTTTTGAAAATAGGGTAGGTAGGTAGGGATTTTTTTTGGGTTGCAATTTTTTTTTTTTTTTAAGATTGTATGGAGGTGTCTGCATGTAATCAAGGGTAAAAGGTAAACATTGATGGTTTTGGGTGTTTTGTTCTCATTTTTCCAATAAAAAAAAATAGGGTAGGTGCTGTCAGAATAGGGTACATGTAGGAAGGGAAACCTGAAGCATAACTACTGTTTTTTTTGTGTGCCTTACTTGATTGTAAGCGAATAACAGTCTCAAGCATCCTGTGAAATCATGGCACCTGGTGTGCTGTCATTTTCAGGAAAAGTGGAATTTTTGTGTCAATTTCCAATGATGGTCGGCCAACCGTCGTTGGAAAAAAAGTGACTTTTTTCAAATACTGCCCCCAATTTACCAAATTTAGCTAGTCCGCATTTTGTTTGCAATCTATTACACATCCATGAACGGATGCAAGCTAGCTAGTCTGGTTCCCTGACCTGACAATGCCTATCAATTGCTCTGTTTCGTCTGAAGGGTCAGGGCACCAGACAATTCCCTGACTCCTATAAATTGCTGTTTCGTGTGAAGTAGGGTTAGGAAACCAGACTACAACAACAGCATTTTTTCTTCTTCTTTTTTTTTTTCCAGAATTCTATGAACACAAAACTTTAAACAGGTCAGTGTAACAATATTTGCTATAAAATACAAACCCCAAATCCATCCATTTCTGAAAATTACAACAACAGCAAATGTTGTATTAATTTTAAGTATTTAAAGGTAATTACTTTTAGAAAAATGGTGATGTAGATACAAGTACTCTCTTTGGGCAAGGAATACTGATGGGGAATTCTGGCAATACTAAGGGTGGAATTGGACACTGGACACAAAAACCGTGATGACAAAGTGAACTAGAACAATCAATTTCAAGCTGTAGATGTACATGCATGTACATGAATATTGACACTAGTGAGGCTAAATCTGAACTAGACAAGTTTTTAATCAACCCAATTTCCACTGAACCAAATAAATATATATTTAGCAACTGCCACAAACTCAGGCCATAGAATCGAGTCACAGTGCAGCAATGTTCGGAAGATCGGATATCCTCAGGAGGGCAAACTCCGGAACATGAGAATGTCATCCGCGATGTTGAAGATGCACAAGTTGTCCTCTAAATAGCCTTCGACCAATCCTTGTAATGTTTTTCCAAGTGGTCACATCCCAGGAGAAAGTTCACGGAAATACCACGGTCCCATGTGCACATGCAAATCAAGTAATGAAGAACAGCTTGAATCAAGTCTAACACTGCACTAGCAGTGGTTAGGCCAACAAAAAAAAGTCTCCGGTTTCTGGTATGGAGCTTGCCCAAAAAGTGGTGCGGCGACGCAGCTTCTTTTTTTTTTACCTGTTTTTTTTGCTTCAAATGTCGGCTGATGACTGCAAATGGTGCCCGACTAAACTTAGTGCAAATATTATGGGAGGCCAGAGAGGCCAGAGCTTATTCTCGATCATAACCCCATCTGAAAACACGTTAAAATAGTGCAGCAGCAGGATTCCAGTCAAACCAGTGAGTTTGGCGGTTTTGAGACATCATCTTTCATTGAAAAAAAAAAACCTTTTTCATTTTGCCAACGCGCATGGCTACGGCGACGCGCGCGCATACCAGAAACCGGAGACTTTTTTTTTTGGCCTTACAGACCAGTTGATAACCTGCCATAGACCCCAGTGATAAATACGCCCATTTCCAAAATACAGGAAAAATACTCACAACTCTACAAGGTGTTTGAGACGCACATCAAATTGAATCTTATTTCATCATCTTCACTTTCTGTTTAAGTTTTGGGGAGTTAACCCTCCTATGCAAACATACAACGTACATTCTGTGCCAAGTGACAAACAGGTGACAGTTAAGAATTCCCAGTCTATAAAGCAGAATTGACTGGCTGTGACTGTTTATGTAACTTGAGACAGCTTCGCTTTGACTGTGGGTAATCGATAAAGCTAGCTGTGCCCACAACTTGCCAGCTTTGTCTGTTCATGTTGACTGAGTTTGACTAGTCACAGTGCTTGCTTGACATATGATCTGACTGCTGGTGACTAGCCTGTGTTGAAAGTATAGGGAAGTGGATAGAAATTTTGACTGTCTGTGACTGTTTAAATAGCAGGAGGGTTCACCAATTTAACTTTTGGGAGAAATTTCCATCCAAAGTTGAGCACCCCTAACAATAACATGCCTGAAAGTAGTCCTGAAGCCCATCGCCATTTTGAAAAATGAAGCATTATGCTCCCTTGCAAAATAGAGCAATTTTATGGCCCAATTTCATCCAAATTTCACAGAAATACAAGCTCGCAGTCCTGTTCCCGGATTCCACCCTTTCCTTTTTTTAACAAACCCTCAAGTTCATGGCCCACAAGATGGTCTAACACAGCAGGAAATTTGAGGGCATGCAAATCGTGATTTGGCCGGCGTAGGCAATTTCTCCCTGTTGAAAGTACCCTACAAAGAATGTTCTACTCAAATGTCCTGCAATATGGATGATTTACACATTAAAGGAAAGTTTCTAGCAGATCATGTTTATTGCCTGGGGAGTTACACCTAAAAGTCAAACATTTTACTCAGCTGCCAGCTGTACAGCAGCTGTATATGATTCTAAATTCCTCAAAATACATTTTGGGATCTTCCCCAGCTGTGATGGAGAGTTGGTTTTTATTGTCCACACGAGTCCAAGGGATAAACGGTTATCACACGGTATCTGTTGGGGGGGGGGAGGAAGGGGGAACCGGACGCATGATTTATGGGCAGGTTGACAGACTGCGACTTTGACGGGCCAGCTTAAATGTCGCGATGTGTGCCGTTTGCGTACGTGTGTGAACTGCCAAGCCAGAATGTTTAAACGGTTCTGTTGTATGCTTTAGACCACAGGAATGTACTAGCTTTTTGGAATGGAGAAGGGGGGGGGGGGAGGGTTTGGGGGGGGAGTTCTGGATGAGCAGATGTTTTGATAAACATGTCAGTTTGAATGGTCCAGGTGGGAGTGGGGAGACGTGGCTATGGGTTGGGGACTGTGTGGTGCTAGGGTGTCTGTCTGTGTGTGTTTGCCAGGGGCCATGTGGTGGACGTGTAAACACATTTTGAGGTACCAAGAAAGAGATGTTCCGGTCTGGTGAGGTGACCTTAAAGATGCACTCCCCTTCATGCCCTTGCTACTTTGAGTTTTAAACCCCCCCCCCCCCAAAAAAAAAAAAAAAAACAATTAAAAAGAATTTCAAAATTGTGCTAATTTTTTAACAATTGAAAAGTTATTAATTTTGAATGGGACATCGAACAAGAAAATCCATGGACATTTACTAATTGAATTATTTCTTAACAAAATACAAATTATTGGCTGCCAGAGAATAATTGGGCCCTTGCAGAGTGGGTTCATTTGTGGGCAAATTGAAAGCCCTTTTTTTTCAGAGGGATGCAGACTACAAAAACTAGGAAAAAGTAGGTTTTGTTTTTTAACAAAGCATACAAATTGCAAATTTGTTATGAAATTTTAATTTTTTTTACTGACGAGATACCCTAAATTTGAGATGTAGCCCCCCGGGTATGCGCGGCCTGAAGCCCCATTGACAACCCACTGTACAGGTATTTACACTCACGATGAAAACTCAGCCAGAAAGTTGTTGCGTGTACGTCGCATTTTCTCCATGAGTATTGGTTCTACGGACTTTAAACTTGCTGGAGGTTGTTGCCACACTATCCAGCTTTCCATCCATGTATTTTTTCCGGGAAAGTTTTAATGCCATTTAACTTTCAGATATCACAAACCTGTAGTCATGTTCCCAATACATAACATTTTTCCGGTGAAAAAAACATCATATGAAAATAATAGAAATGTAGACAAAAAGTATGAATCGGAACACAGACAGCTAGAGACAAATGTCACAATGACCAACCGACAAACATTAATTATGTGTAGAATAAATATTACAAGCGACTTTGTTTCAGAGGTAGCAGTTTTAAAATAGCTGGTTTTTTATCAACGTTAAATTGGGGGGGGGGGGGGGAATTACGGACAGAGTACACTGTCTGAAACATCAAGAACACTTCTCACCACGAGTTCTTTTCAGAACCATACATGTACTTCTTCACAGAGGAGAAGTAATCCATGGTGAACCCACAAACTTACATGAGTTACATGTACTGTACTATTTTATTTTTGACAAATGATTTCAAGAAATTACAATCGGCTAAAATGAAACTGACAAGCAAGATTACTACAATCAACTTTCCTCCCCGGCTGTTGGAACTGGTATCTGGTACTAGTCCAAAGCCTCTTTTAAATGTCATTTCACGGCCAGAGCGATGATCGTTTGGAATGTTCCCACCCCCGGACGGACTGTCAAAAACGTGGCACGGTATATGCCACGGGAGTCAATGCACGCGCGACTTTTCAAAACATACACATCGGGGCGGTGATAAATCGTGCGCGCTTCACATATGCTATCAATTTCTTCGCTTTCGTTTTCTTTGAATGTCAAATTCTGGTGATGCTCAAACGGTAAAAGGTTAAATTGCTTGTAATTTTTTTTTTTTTCGCCCAGACGGACTTGAAAAGATGGATTTCTTTATTTGCTTGTAAAAGGGGATTGATTAATTTTTGGCAACTTTGGTTGTTTATTGTCAGAATATCACGATCGGTCGATGTGTGTCCTGTGTACGGCTTTGGGCGATTTTTTTATGGGTTTGACGACATTTGAAATGTGAGATGTTTGAAACATACTTTGCTGTTTTTGCATCGTCTGAAATTTAAGTTTCTATTTAGGGGTTGGAGCCTGTGCAGAGCATTAATCAAAGTTGGATTTCCGGCGGTAATATAACATGAAGTCGACTTCAGAATGAAATACAATCTTGCCAGCTTAAACCTTAGCCAACAGTGCGTCTAGATATATCAAACGGGAAACTTGCTTTCGTTTGACAAAGTTCACTTGGTTAATTATAAACTAGACAAGGTCATAAATCACCTAAAAACTATTTCCATGAGTCACCAATTTAAAGCTATTTCCAAAACTTTTCATAATACTATCACACCCAAAAGTTTCTTAAACTTATTGGAAGATAAAAATACACTAAGCGATTCTTCTAAAATGTAAAATGCATTTGGTAAGCATTCAGTACAAAAGCTGAAAAATAATCATCTGTAATATTTTTGTGAAAAGTGACCTACAGAGGGCAGCATTTAAAAAATCTTGTATATGGGTACCAGTATTTAACAATTCCCCTTTTTTTCAAACATTTGAACAGCCTTTTGCTGTCCAGCGTGTCCAGTTTTATCACGGATATTTGCAAACCTACATACATTACAATGCAATCATTTGCATAATTATCCCAAAAGAAACCTACCAAATTACCGGTATTACCAAAAAAGCTTACATGGATTAAAGATTGTACTGGTACTAAACACTCAGTGAAATTATTCCGTCTGGCCTGATTTAGAAGAAATAAAAAAATGTAGGTGGTTTCCAACGACTGAATTTTAGAAAAAAGACTCCTATGGCCCAAAAAAAAAGTCTCCGGTTTCTGGTATGCGCGCGCGTCGCCGCAGCCATGCGCGTCGGCAAAATGAAAAAGTTTTTTTTTCAATACAAGATGATGTCTCAAAACCGCCAAACTCACTGGTTTGACTGGAATCCTGCTGCTGCACAATTTTAACGTGTTTTTAGATGGGGTTATGATCGAGAATAAGCTTTATGTGGCCTCTCTGGACTCCCATATATTTGCACTAAGTTTAGTCAGGCACCATTTGCAGTCATCAGCCGACATTTGAAGCCCCCCCCCCCCCAAAAAAAAACAGGTAAAAAAAAAAAAAAAAAGCCGCGTCGCCGCACCACTTTTGGGGCAAGCTCCATACCAGAAACCGGAGACTTTTTTTTTTGGCCTATCGATGAAATCATGTATCATGACCAAAAGGTTGTGCACAGTTTTGCACTGTTTTCTAAAATCCACTGAGCTGAAACTTCAACATGTTTACGTTTTGAACATTCATCTTTTGGATTTTGAGCCGTACGTGTTATTATTGGAAACGAACAAAATGCATGAAAAGCAAAATGATCCTACATTTGTACATGGCTTTTAATAATGCATCACATAGTTTCACAGAAGTTTTACGAAATTTAATATGGACTCGCATCCCTTACCTGTTAAAGAGCCCTCATTGCTCCAGATGGAGGTCATATCTGCCACGCCCGAAAAATCCTGCTCTCCACTTCTCTCTTGGCCAAGCAAGATGCCTCTGCCCGCCACCGGATTCTCCCCCTTGGATGTTATCAAACCTCCTCCTGTCTCTTTCTCATCTTTGCCTGCATCAATTCCTGATTCCATCCCGTCTCTTTGGTGATCAACGATGCGGGAGACATGAGATGGGGTTTGCATTTCTGCGTTTCTGTCTGCTGAGCCAGTTTTAAATTGGTTCTCCTTGTTTGTTGACGTCTTGGAAGCTGCATCCGGAGTGTCCGTTCTACCGTCCAATTTCAAATCCTGTGACTGTTGAGATGTAACTTCAAAGTTCTCTTGGTCGTCAGAACTTTCAAAATCTTCAGCAGACTTACTAGCCTCATCCCGTGAAACTTTTGCTGTTTGATCATCACCGTTGTGTGAAACTGTTTTAGCTTCATTTGTAGGGGATGTTACTGTCTTGTCGTCATAATCCTCACTTTTTCTATCCATGTTTTGCAGATTTGACGGTAAAACTTTATCAGTCCTGTTGCTTTGGACTGGAGCGAGGTCTTCAGCAAAATTCTTATTTTTTCCGTTCATATTTTGTAGATTTCGCGATAAGACAACAGGCCGGTCGTTTTCAGATGCTGGAAAATCTTCGGCTGATTTCTGATCACCGTTTTTCTTTTCAACCTCCCTTTCATCCATCCTTTCTAGCGCAGCCTCCCTGTTCTGCGTCCCTTGTAGCAAACCACTGTCGCTCTCTTCAGGTCTATCATCAAGGGGCGTAACAATGCAAAACTCTGGAGAAGCAACACTCCCCGCGTCCTGCTTCGACAGTGCCAGCTCTGCGCTCGAACTCAAACTTGCGGCTCCCGACGTGGCTGTACTGGAGTACGATTCAAAATCAGGGGTGTATTCAACGCTGGATGCTGGAGACCCCACCTGTGTGTTTTTACCGCTGTTCTCAGACACAGAATCTGATTGTTTTGAAGAGTTCTGGAAACCGTTTGATCCATTTCCTTCTTCGGAGTTGGCAGAACCCTGGTCTTGACTTACAGGGTCTTTCGGAAGTCTTGGGGACTCTACGTCATCCTTTTTAGGAAGGCTCTCTGCTTGGTTAACAATGTTATCCGAATCTGTGTCAAGTCCAGGAGAGCCATCATCTCGTGTTTGAAGGGGCTGCACTTGATGATTAGGATCTTTGTTAGGTCTTGAAGAAGGGTCACCATCGTCATTGGGAAGGACCTCTTCTTGATGACTTGCAGATGGGAGGCTCCTTGACGAGATTGGATGCGTTGCTCCATTTTGATCTTTCACAACTTCTTCAGACCTCAACGAAGCGCCATTCACTTTACATTCGTCACCAAGGGACGCTTTTGATGACGTGTCAGATGTGGAATTTGGTCCATCTGTGACATTGTGACCTTTGACCTGGCGTTGCGTGACACGACCTCCTGGGTCAAGGGAAGTTGCTTGACCTTTGATGTCCTCATCAGTATCTTGAACTAGCTGTTGATCGGATGGAGGATGTTGAGTTTGGTGGGTCCGTGCATCCTGCGTTCCAACTTTACCAACTGCAGATGACTTCTGTGGCTGCAAAGTAGAAAATAAGTTTCAACTACCCTTTTTATAACACATGTATGGACAAGTCACATGTACACCAGTTATATTCGTTGTAAACTTTTACCGTTATTTCTTTCCCCAGTAATTATAGAACATGCTTTCCAAAAACAGCCGTCAACTAAAATGAAAGTTAAATAGACAAGGGTCATTCAATAAATTCGGGGTCCACATTTTTCCCGTCCCTGTTTCATCTATTTTCTAAGATTTTATAATTCTGATGCACTCCTTAATGCAGTCATCGTCTAAGAGTAATTGTGAACAGAAACTCCCTACCAGAACAACAAATAAAATATCGTTTAAATGGCACATTACAAAGTTCAAAGGTAACAGGGACAGGAAAAATGTCACACTTTGAACCAAAAATTTAGTATTAAAAAAATAAAATTGATCATTCTCCCCATCCTAGGGAAAAAAAGGATGTTCCTCCATGGAATGACTGTACATGTCGTACTCACATGGAAAATAAATTTAAACTGACTATATTTTTTAAATAAATCCCATCTGGCACACAGATTTTCAAGGCGGGCATCACTTTTCGAGCAAAGACACGATTGGGGAAATCTCAATTTTTCCCCCCAATGAGCAGCGGTACCCTTAGGTATTCCTGGTAAGACCACAGTATAACGTTTGCTCATAAGGCCAAATAATAAACAAACATGTTAAGCGTACCCGCCCGCTTCCTTTTTTGGAGGCCGCCTCCTCTTTTTTTATTTTAACCGAAAAAAATGATAAATTTTAAACAGTGACATCATTTTGGCCTTTTTGTCTGTTGCATCTAGCCCACATAAAGCTGTTGTCATTTCCTGAGTCCAATGGCGGCAATTTTTTTTTTAAATGGTGTCCATCTTGAAAATTAGCCCAGTCTGGCGGCCATTTAGGAGGGGGAAAAAAGAGGGGCCTCCCGCTTCCTTTTTTAACCCTAACCCCCTAGGCCCTTGTTGCTTACAACCATCCTCAATCATCCAAGATCCTCCAAAATTTTGCAACTCCGCCTAAATTTTTCAAAATTGTCAGACAGTCCTGCCTCAAAATGCATTCATCCTCAATCCTCCAAAATCCTCCTCATCCCAAAACTTTGCACTCGTGTTTAAATGAAGGATAACCAACGCCAAATCCTTCAAAATCATCAGACAGTCCTGCCTCAAAATGCATTCATCCTCAATCCTCCAAAATCCTCTTGTGCTTCAATCACCATTCATCCTCAATCCTCCAGAATCCTCATGTGCTTCAATCACCATTCATCCTCAATCCTCCAGAATCCTCATTTGATTCAATCACCATTCATCCTCAATCCTCTAGAATCCTCCAAAACCGCCAGGAGGATTTTGGAGGAGTGAGGCAGGACGCTATTTGGCCTCTATATTTGGCCTAACCATGATAACATCACAGCTTACTTTCTGAAAATAGCGGGGCTTGCATGGAAGGCCGGTTCTCCAACGCACATTGCTGGGTTTACCGGAGATGTCCCCTTCTACTTCACTGACAATTTCTTCATACAGCTTCCTCACTTCTTGGAACTTCTTGCGAATCAGAAAGGCTCTGATGTAAGCCTGGAAGTAAAAACATGTAAAAACAAGAAAATTTAGACTGATCTTAACTTCATTGCTTTGTTTTGGTTATTCAATAACTCTTTGAAAATAGACTGATTGAGGATGTTAGCAGATATATGTACATTTGTAGTTTTTATGTTAGACAGCAAAACAAACAAAATGCTCATCAATTGTACCAGTAATTGATTTTATTAAAATGACTGTATACATTCCATTGCAAAATTAATTAAACTGCTGCAAATGGCTGACTGACTGGACTGGCCTGAAAATAAACATTTATAAAACGTAGTGGCTGTCGTTACGGCAGCCGTAACGCGATTTTTACGGTATTGCAAAATCACCATTGCGAATCTATGTCACATTTATAAATACCCGTCCAACCAGAACTTTTGGCAGCTCAATTGGTTACACGTTCGACTACTGTGCGGGGGATCCGGGTTCGAAACGGCTGCTGCGCTGCTTATTTTTTTACAATTCTTTAAATAGATTCCTTTACTTTCAGTTTCATGTTTAAGTAAAATCATTCGGATGCCACTTCAGCGGTTGTGTACAAAGTCTATGGACATGATGGAGAGTCAAACAAATTTTGTAATATTTTTCATCTTCATCGAGATGATAGGATTAATTTGACAATTTATTATTCTTACTAATTTCGAATGAATATTTACCATTTGAATCGATAAAGTATTCCTAATAAATCTTCATTTTCATACTTCCCTGTCCGGTCGAACTACGGAACCTACCTGCAGACGGCAAATCACTTCTTCGTCCCAAATATTCTCCTCACCATTTCCCGACAACAAATCTGCGAACTCGTTCGTGTTGGCCGCCATTTGTAGTTTGTACAAGTCTGCCTCTTGAGGGCGCTAATACAGCTCTATGGTGTACACGAAACGCCGGTCGGCAAGATCTTCGCTTCGAGAAAATGTCCTAAATTTGGGGAAATCAAAAGGCAAGAGAAGTCATTTTTGTCAAGAGCTAGACACTTTGAAGGTAATCGTAAGAGGACCACCAAGGGTCTTTGGTTTTGATCGAAGTTGTGGGAGATCCTTGGTTGGACAATTGCAGAATTTTTCAGGCCTACGTACGCGACGACACGTCGTCTGCACAAACTTTGTTGACAAAATATTGTGCTCCATCATGCAAATTTATATTGGCCTGAACAAAATGATTTCGAATTTTTAGCCATGGTCATGACATAAGTTAAGAATATTATGGTTAAGAATTTCAGTAATTTGTTCTATCTTGATTGTCAATGATGGCCACTGTCATCACTGGAAACTTCTCATTCAAAAATTTGTTGTGACTTGTGTTGTTTTTGCATTTTGGTAGGACGTCATTGTTATACAATAAATGGAGACCAGAGCCAGAGTAAACAAAGCCGTCCCCGCGTCAAGTCTCGGGGAGAGCTGTGGAAATGTAGGGGTCAAAGGTCATGCTCAGTGTGACCCTGGTGTCAACTCTGATGTCGACCCCAAGAGGTCTCTTGAGCTTTGCCACATCGAAGATGCACAAATCGTCGTCGCGGCAGAAGTCTCGCAAGCCGTGAGCATCATGGAGGAAATTCTAAACCCTTCGATGTCTAAGTCTGATGTCAATGTTCAACGCCAAGTTGTCAAAGATCATGAACGTTCCCACAGTGATTCCATAGAAGAGGTCAAAACACAACGCAGAGCCGTCCAAGAGATTCTGAAGGAACGCAAAGACTCGGACCTCTCCGAAAATGAGACCCTGCCATTGGCTGAGCAGTTGACCAATGAGGAAGGAGGATCGAAGGATCCACTGTTGCCGTGGGTTTCAACTTACGACAAAGTGGAGGAACTCGTCCGAGAGTACGAGATTGAAACAACCTCAAAGTTCTTGATGGGAAATCCAGACCGAGACTTCGGAAAAACATTTGGTGAATGCTCAGATTGCTCAAATTTGATAAAATAGTCGATTAAAAAGTCATCTAGTCTTATTCAAATGATGAGCTATTCAAAATGAATTGTATGTGACAATTGTTCATTCCCTGTTTGTGACTTGACTTTGTAATCTGACTATAGTGATCAGGACTTTTTTGTGCAAGCATGTCGGACATTAATCACTGCTGTGATTGGCCAAAACACCATGGGGTGGGGCTTAAAAATAAAATGGATCAGTCCATTGAGTCAATTTCTAGTGAATGGACTTAAGATTGGACCCTTCTTGCCTGTCAATCACACTGCGCATTGACCAATTGGACCGGGACTTTATTGTGCAAGCATGTCAGACATTAATCACGGCTGTGATTGGCCAAAACACCATGGGGTGGGGCTTAAAATGGATCGGTCCATTGAGTCAGTTATACTTGAGAATGGACTTATGAATGGACCCTTCCTACCTGTCAATCAATTAGTGCCCATTGGCCAATTAGATTGTGACTTTTGGTCAGGTGACCACAGCAGCTCACACAAACCAAAGGTGGGCGGGGCCTGTGGCCCAAGCCGGAATAGTCCATTGCAGAATGTTACAAATTTAGTTATTGCAAAATTGATTTGAAATTCAATTTCTGTGTTTATTATTTCCTTCAGATGAGATCAAGCACCACCACCACATCCATTTGGATGGTGGGAGCTTCGGCAACGATCTGTCCCCTAAACTCTGCCTGGACGGCATGCCGTACATCATGATGGGCAACAGACGCCTGGCTTGCCATCACGGAAAGCCCCACTACCAATCTTCCAAAAAGGTGCCTTTTTAAACTTTGGCTCAATACAAGATTCAGGAGGAGGTTATATTCGTTGGTTCAAATCTTCAACAAACTGGACAAAAAAGTTCCTAACTCCTTCCGGGACCTTTTTTAAGTATACCATGCTAATATTTTCATGGGTAAGTTCCAAGTGAAATCAATTTAGTTTTTCACATCTTGTTTTAAGGATTTGCCATATTTTTTCTCTGTTACTATATTTTTTCAGATAAAGGGCAAACAGAGACTTTGCGTCCAAGCCTCCAAGAAAGTGGGCTGTCCGGCACACATCTTCATTCGACACGTCATGCTGCTACCAGACTTTAGTGTAAGGAAACTCCTCAGAAAAAAATTGCACTCCTCAGCTTTTTCCCTTGTACTTGTCAAATTACAAGTCAATCACAAGCATTTGATGGCTTGCGATAACTTGTGACGCATGATGATAACATGTGAGAACTTGCGAGGCCTTATGATAACTTGTGATAACTGGTGAGGACTTGTAATGACTTGTGATGACTTTCCACGTAGTGATAACTTGTGAGGACTGTTGATAACTTGTGATCTTTGTGATGACTAGTGATAACTGGTGAAGATGTTTGGTGACTTGTGAGGACTTGTGATGACTTGTGATAACTAATTAGGCCTTATGATAACTTGTGAGGCCTTATGATAACTTGTGATGACTTGTGATGACTTGTAAGGCTTTATGATGACTTTTGAGGCCTTATGATTACTTGTGAGGCCTTATGATAACTTGTGAGGCCTTATGGTAACTTGTGATAACTTGTGAGGACTTGTAATGGCTTGTGATGACTTGTGATGACTTGTAATGACTTGTGATGACTTGTGTAACTTGTGATGACTTGTGATGACTTGTGATGACTTGTGATGACTTGTGATACCTTGTGAAGACCTGTCTCAGTCCTGAATTCCCAACTGAATCTTGCTGTCCCACTTTCTCTTAACTAACCAAACTTACCACAACCTCTTTCTTCAGTCTTCTTTAAATGCCAATTTTGGAGTTACCTGTTTGGTCCAGTAATATGCCTTTTAAAGCCCACACAGTCTCCTATGAATACAATTTTTAAAATCTGTCTTTGATTTTAGTTTGACAAGAACAAGATAACCGAGCACCGACGTCGGGAGTTATCCAAGCACATCAAAGCAACATGGAAGGAGAAACACACCGTTACCACTGAGTCTCGCTTCTATATTGAATTCCCTGACACCGGCAGTCATAAGAACCATCCCCTTGGAGAAGTAAGAACGTCCTCGTAAATTTTAAAACAAAAGTTCTGTAACAATGCTGTTAAGACTTTTATGAGTGTCATCAGTAGGCTTTCCTCAAAGGCCTATATGTTTTTGTGGTTGAATATGTAAGACTTCAAATTCCTGTAATCAGTTGCAATGTAAACACATTAGTCTTCGTACCACCCCAAACTAATTGCAGCTACGCGATGTCACGCACTGACCCGACGAGTCAGCGAACCCGCGCGCGTGTCCGTCGCGTCAACGCTTGCACGCACCCTTTCACAGATTCGCCAATTACAAACCAACTACTTACGGTAATTTCCAAAAATGCGTCATTTGCGGCATCATTGGAAATGGTCTTCTTTTATCGTTTTCTTAAAAATGACAGCATGCCAGAAAGACTTATTTCACAGGGAGTTTATTGCCATCCCCATCTTGAAAGCAAGTAAGCTTTTCAACAAAAATTTTTTTTTTGGATTGCTACAAATGATCTACTCTACCTTTAATGGACTCAATTTGTTTTTCTGCACAGGCTGCGGGTGTCAAACAACCCATCGACAAACGAGTCAACGAGAAAATGCTGCAGCTCATCAGCAACGGGATGAAATCCATCCCACTGATCGAGAGTTCCATCAAAGACTTTGTCCGGAACGAGATCTTTAAAGATTCACCGTGCCCGCCGGACTCGAACCGCCGATTCTTTCCGACCCAAAAGGACATCACGAACCGAATCTTCAAAGTCACAACGAACTCACACTCGTCCAAGTTGAAAACGGACGAACTTGAAGAGTCGGTTAGGGCGTGGCTTGTAGAACAACAGGACGAAGAAGGATTCGTATTTTTCCGGAACACACTGGACACCCGCAAGGGTGTTCAACAGAACGGAGTTTCAGACTTTGAGCGCAAAAGTGACGTAGACACGGGTGAGCAGAGAACTAACGTACATTCTTCGCAGAACGGGAATGCGGACGCAGAACTTCTCCCGGATTCGTCAACAGAGGGCCTCCTCTTCGTCTACCAGACGCGACATCAGCGTAGGTTGCTGGAACGCTACGGATCCCACCTTACCTTTCTAGACTCCGCCCACAAAGAGGCAGCCTATCCGATACCGCTGTATTTCCTCCTGGTGAATACCAACTGTGGGTTTTACGTTGCGGCCGTTGTTGCCATGGCGAAGGAGTCCGTTGGGGGTCTGCAGGAGGCGCTAGGGCTACTTCGGGAAGCCAATCCGGGCTGGAGTCCTCAGCAGTTCATGGTGGAACCTTCGGAACTTGAGATTCAAACCATTGAGGGATTATTCCCTGGTAGGATATAAAGATGTATTTTGGTCCAAAATCATACGCTGTAGAAGTGCTTTGCATGGGAGAGTTTGGCCTAGTGGTTAGGGTTTGTGACTCTTGATCAGAGGGTCAGGGGTTCGAATCTAGCTGCTGGTCTTTTGTTGTGTCCTTGGGCAAGTCACTTTACCCCCACTTGCCTCTCTCCATCCAGGAGTATAAATGGGTACCGGCATTAGCTGGGGAGTAGCCTGCGATGTACTGGCATCACATCCAGGGGGAGTAGATATATTCGCAGTTGTTTCATGCCAAGGAAACCGGAGATAAACGCCGGCATGATTGGCCGAATTGGCTTGTGACAGACTTTAGTTTTGACTGTTTTATTTTTTTGCATAGATACATCAGGCATGCAACTTTTCCTCGGATCTGCTGATTTCCTTGTTTTTTACTTCTCATGAGTGCCATTACAAATTGAAAAACACTTTACAAAGTCTTGTGTGGTTTGGAGTTTCCTTCTTTTTCCTAAATTCCCAGTTGCATGTCTGATACATTTGTTTACTACAAGCCATTTCACCACATGACCAAATGGCACTCCATACCTCAAATTTCGCATGGATACTTCTGAAGCAGTTTTCTCACAATTGCATAATGGTTATAAAAGCATGGTTGATGTATGGGGAGCAAAACATAAAAACATACCAGCTTGTTGAAAAGCATAAAAACATGCCAGCTTGTTGAAAAGCAGTGTTGAGAGTATTTTGTGTGTGGTAAAGTGGTTGTGAAAGGGTTAAACATCTGTAACTTTTGCCCGTTCGTCTTTCTTTCAGATTGTCAAGTTTACATCACCGACACCCGACGCCAACAAGCATGGCAACGCTTTCTCATCAACCCGAAACACCGGACGTCCAAACGCTGGCAGGAATTGTTAGCCAGTATGACCAGCGTCGCGACGGCGCGTACCCCCGAGGCCTACCAGGCTGCGTTGGACGTCCTCCGCGGGGCGTGGACCAAGCCCGCCCTGAAACAGATGAGGGCGTGGTTTCGGGAGAAGTGGATGTCCAATATACAGGTACTTGAAGATGTATTGTTGGTGCTCTTCAACAAATTCATTTTTTTTTCTTTTTGAGTTTTCAACTTTTATGCTGTATTTTATGAAATAAGTATACCGAGCGTCGGTATTGATATTGTGTACACCCAACCCGAAACGGACCCGACCCGAAACTGACTTCGGGTCAGGTCGGGTTGGTTTGTCCATCATTTCAGTCGGGTCGGTTTCAGTTGCGATATTTCGGTTCAGGTCAGGTCGGTTAAGCCATTTTGGAAAAAAAACCGAAATAAACCAAATAAAAAACGTGAAATTCACACGGTGCAATATTTGTTGCAGAGTCACTGAGCCCAGTGCGATCAAATGCGGTTTGCGGACTAACACGCATGGTCTATAACATGTAGGCCCACCAGTAGGTCACGTTGTGAGTCCCGTATAGTATGATTCAGTTAATCAAACTAGGTGTTGCCCTTCACCGACGTATAAACACTGTATACTCAGTGGGACTCGAACCCACGACCTCCTGCTTTCTAGTGCATACATCTTACCACTCGACCACCAAGCTAACGGGATCGGTTGGCTGGTTCGAATCTGGTTTGAATGATTCAGTTACTGAGAGACAATGATTTCACGTGATGCGGGTAAGTTCTGGCACAAAAAGCGGACACGGTTACCCAAGCCAGAATTTTTTTTTTTTTCCGGGTCAGTTCGGTTTCGGGTCAGTTCTGGTTGTTTTCCTTGAATTTTTGTCGGGTCGGGTCGGTTTTAGAGAGTTCAGATCGGTTTTGATTCGGATTCACTTTATATCTGTAATGTTTTTGGGTCGGTAATAGCCTGGTCAACCCGACCCGATTCACAACATTAGTCGGTATGATGCTTGGTACGGTCTTTAGTTGAAATCCTATTCCAGTCAATTCCTTCATTCAACCAAATATTGTTTTCTCTCCGCGACAGAGATGGGCCCACGTCTACCGCCAGCCTCAGCAGTTACTGCCTCTGATCATCAACAATGGCCTGGAGTCGCAACAGGCGGCCCTAGGGTACCCCTTCATTGCCAGCAACCGTCACAGAACGCTGCACGGCATGCTAGATCTAATCGTCGGCATAGTTCTTCCCAAAATGGAAACAAGGTGAAGAGGAAGTCTTTCGAAAATGGGTCATTCATTAAATTTGGGTCCACTTTTTTCTCTGTCCCTGTTACATCTGACGTCCTTGATTATATAATTCTGATGCACTCCTTAATGCAGTCATCCTCCAAGAATGATTATGAACAGCAGACGACCTATCCAACAAATGAAATATCATTTGAAGTCATTCTTAATGATACTTGAATTGCATGTTACAAAGTACCAAGGTTACCTAGGGACGGGAAAAATGTCACTCTTTGGACCCTAAATTGATAGAATGATCCAAATGCCTTGATATCTAATGTGAACTTTTCTAGTATGTATTGGACTACATTTTAATATCAATTTATACTTTATTATCCAGATATTTTGATGCTAACAATGCATGGAGAAAAGCTAAAGACTCCAGCGTGCTACCTCTTTTCCACAACCGGCCTCAACCGTTCATAGACCACTGCCAACAACGGCTGCCTCTTGCTAAACAGATCGAGAAAATATCAATCACCCAACTTGACCAGAGTGTCTTCCGTGTTCCCGCCGGAGATCCCGACCGCGGCGAGGAATTTGTGGACCTGGGCGTCCCGTCATGCACCTGCGAGGATCTCGCGGGAACCGGTTTCCCGTGCGTGCATCTGTTGGCGTGTATCGTTGACGGCGATGACGTACTGTGGGAGCGGCTGCCGTCCGCCTACCTGCGCAGCCCTTTTTTGACTGTAGATGATTGTGGGGAGGTGGGCGGGGCAGTGGGCGGGGCTGTGGGCGGGGCTACGGGCGAGGCTGTGGGTGTGGCCACAGGTGAAGGACAAACACTTGGGATTGATGAAGAGGACGATGAGTGTACTGCCGCTGTCTCAGGGATTCCAGCCGAGGTTGAGGCAACTTCGAACTTGGCAGGTGAGATATTTTTATCTTAGATTTTGGCACATCGGGGGAGTGTGGCCAAGTGGTTAGGGTTCGTGACTCGTGATCAGAGGGTCAGGAGTTCGAATCCAGCTGTTGGTCATATTTTGCATCCATAGGCAAGCCGCTTCAGCCACACTTGCCTCTCTCCACCCAGGAGTATAAAAGGGTACCGGCATTATTAGGCGAGGAACGTGCGATGGTATAGCATCCCATTCAGGGGGAATAGAAATATTCTCGTTCATGTGACTAAAACCGGAGATTGATTGTCATTGTTGATCAAAGTATTTGCTTGTTATCTTCACAGCCATCCTTGCTGCAATGGAAGCCCATCAAACCCCAACAGAATCCACTAACCCTTCCGTAAACTCCACCCCAACTTCAGACGACCCTTCTCCAGATGAGGCAGCTCGCTGTCGAGCCGTGGCGAGAGAACTCTTAGACCTGACGCACACGGTGACGGACACGGAGACACTAGCCCAGGCGCGAACACAAATGGAGGCAGTACTGACCACCCTGAGGCAAACCCTACCCAGGGGAGAGCTGCGCGACCCTGTCTGTCATGATCAGACAGATGAGGAGGTACCTCTTCACGTAATGAAAGTGAGCGTACGACTCGATCAAGACTTAAAACCAGCCAAGAGACAACGTCTCGAAGAACAAGTGCAGATAAGCGAAGATCGCATGAATGACTCCAACATGGAGGTTGACATTACTGGGAGCGAGAGCACAGAGGTTTATGACGACAGGCAGAATTTGGAGGTCGACGAGAGCATCGTCACGGAAACCATTGACCTCCAACAGGGGGCGGTGTTCATCCTGGAGCCATCAGGAATGATGAGGAACGTTGAAATAATGGACGATTGTCCTGTGGGAACTGTTATCATTAAGGACTCCTAAGACATCATCAATGGAGTAGCCACTGGGTTAGGAAGGCTTTCAACAGGATTCTCATTGAGGGTTGGGAAATCCAAAGTTCTAGCTGAAGAGAAAGTTGAAGGTTGGGGGAGGACATTAAAGGGGGGATCTTTTCTTTAGTGAAGTTATATTAACCCTTCTAGGCAAACATACATTCTGTGCTAAGTTGTCCTTTCAGTCAAATTCAGTCAAGTTGGAGCGTTTTTAAGTTAACGGTTGAGTGCTCCCAGTCTACATAAAGCAGGATCGACTGGCTGTGACTGTTTATGGAACTTGATACAGCTATGCTTTGACTGTAGGTGATTGATACGACAGCTGTGCCCACCACTGGCGTGCTTTTGTCTGTTTGACTGAATTTGACTAGTCGGAGTGCTTGCTTCAAATATGATCCGACTGTTGGTGAAGCCTTTGCAAAACGCATGGCAGGGGAAGTGGATATAACTTTTGACTGTCTGTGACTGTTCAAACGGTAGGAGGGTTAAAGTGGTTTTGTATGTACTGCGTATGATGTGCAGCGTACATTTTAGCACTGGATCCATGCATATGCGCCAACAAATTAATGCACCAATAATTACAAAGACAGCCGATATTTTGCTGGCGCCATTTTTTATTAATGAGGCTTTCTCTAGCTGATATAATTATATCATTTTGGCCGCTTTTATTATCTCGCTTTTAGTTTCGTCCCCATTGTAATATATGTGACTATTTATAGACTCGGGATATTAAAAAGAGATACTGGAAATTAAAATGATACCAAGAACATGATTTATTTCTGCTGCATGACTTTTAATAAAGGTTGAATTGAAACTACATGTATGAATGTGGCAATTTTTTTTTAAATAGCCCACTTTTACAACCATTTAATAAATAAATCTATAATTTCTGAAACGGATTTCATTTCACTTTCAGACTGTTTGCTGTCCATTAAACACTCGTGATGTATTCCATTATTATTTAACGCAGCTGAAACCCTCGCAATACGAGTAAAGCTGTACAGCATAAAAAAGTCGTCTGTGTACATCATATTGCAGCATCTCGAATTCCGGGTCCGTTCTCTTTCCACAGCTGGGCTTGATTAAAAAAATAATAATAGTACAAATTTGTACATAAAACAGCCGCTGAGTAGCACGCTACTTATTTTTGCGCACAAAATAGTCATCTGCTAGTCTGAACTCTGGTTTCGTTGACTTCTTCATGTGCTGGAGGTATGTTGGACGGTTGCGGGAGCAGACTAACACACACATGTTTACATGGCGGGCACTATTTCCGGAACTTGTGCAATTGTTTGCCGTTAAAAACACACTTTCAGCTAATTTTATGACTTAAACCTGTATACATAAGATACCGGAAGTAAGCAGACGTTATTCAGCTTCAGAGACAAAAGTTTCAAATGGCGGATCAGTCAGAAAAGGGAGCAAGCGGTGATCAAGAGCCCAATGTTGCAAGTCCGGAGAATCAGGAGCGAGGAGCAGCGGACGGAGCTGAATGCGCGGCGGGCGCAGACGGCGGCGATGATGGCAATGATTACGACGATGACGAAGGGGCCTACACGCCGTGGCAGGACATTCCACCAGGTTCAAAGTTCGAATGTGAGTTGGTGTTATCTTTTCAAATTTCAGGAGTGTATCAATACTATCATGCATGCAGCAGATTCAAGGGAAAGAATGTTGTGTTCTTATTCCTCCATGGTTCAACCTGACGCTATACTTCAGCGATTGTGTACAAAAACAATGGAGAGTCAAGAAAAATTAATTGGAAATGTTTCTCAGTCCCAGCTTCATGTCTTATCATTATTTTTGCAATGACTGACCTTCATTGAGATGATATATAAAGAAAAAAGTGGTGTCAGGTTGCAACATTTTTTCCAATTCAATAAGGGTCATGAAGGTTACAAATATTTTTTTAATATTTTAATTTATTTTCTTGTTTTTGTTTCATTTGATTCAGTTTTGGACCACACGGCAGATGTACAGTGAGTACTACAAATAAACTCTTTTATTTTCAACTTCTGTACTGGATAAACTTCCTAAATGTCTTGATCAAAATTTAAAGCTATTGATCTTTTTCCCTTTCCAGCTTCTCCCTGACCCTGCCATTTGTAAAAGCTTAAATTTTAAATATTTGGTATTTATATGACCATTTATTTTCATGAATGTTTTGTTTCACTTAATTGACCTATTGCGGTAGAATCGCATTAGAATTGCGTCAACGCAGCTTGTGAAATATTGTCCAATTACATGATATACAAATGGACGCTCAACGCGCAAAATCTGAAGCAAACAAAACTTAGTGTTAAAGGGGCGTGGCTAACTCGCAAACGGCGATAGGTCAGTGGTCTAGTTTGTTACATTTTGTTTCCTTTTTATACCTGTTTCAATCTTTTGATTTGTTTCTTTTCATTTGCAGACTACATTCATGTATCCTTTTTAAAACTCATTTTGGGATGTTATATTTTTTTACAACGAACCTTTTTGATGGTGGTACAAACTTTTGAAAAAATGTTGCAACCTGACGCCACTTTTTTCTTCATATATCATCTCAATGATGATAAGACATGAAGCTCGGACTGAGAGACATTTCCAATTTTGTTAGGAATAACTTTTCTTGACTCTCCATAGACTTTGTATACGACCACTGAAGTGGCGTCAGGTTGCAACATTTTTTCCCCAAACTTTTGTTTCCATTATTGTCATTCGGATAATACCTTGGCCATCAAAAGATGAAGTTTTGATCAGATGCACCAACCTACAACCTCCTTCATATAATTCTGGCACTCTTCCATCAAGCCATCCAGCCCTGTGTTGATGTTGTGCGCTTTATTGTCATTTGCGCAATCATAAGAATGTGCATGCGCATTCTTATGATTGCGCAACAGGATCCTTGCACAATCTTCGAAAAAAAAAATCTTCCAGATTGAGCGCACATTCTTAAGAATGCACAACAAGAGAAGCCATCTTTTCAAAGCCGAGAACCGGCTGCGCTTGGCGAGTCTAGCTGCATCCTCGTTCACTGATTAATTCTTGGGCCGTACTTAAATAATTAGGCCTATACTGTGGCAATGCAAATTCACTAGGTAAAAGACATAACAATGTAAAGTAGAGATGAAAGTATTATGCGTATTGGGGGAAATAATAAGAGACATAATAGTTTGGTGGAAAGAATTCTGATAACAAAAACATGTTGCTCATCACTCAGCATGCGTACATGTATGGTGAGGGACTTGTAACTTGTCTAGACTAAACAAAGCACTTCCTAGACAAGTTCCCAGTTCTCCGTTACAAAACTTCCCATGGGGGGACAGAAAAAAAGTAATAATAACAGCTTTAATTGAAGTCAAATTATCGTAGTTCAACGGGTACAGAAGCATAGATCACTTTCTTGTCTCATCATATGATTATTTCCCCTTTAAACCTCTAAAAGTTTAATTTAACATAATAATGTCGTGCAGTGTTTGTTAAGATTGGGCAAAATTCATAAATTGTGCAAGTAATATTCCCATGCAATCTTAAGAATGAGCGCTCATTCTTCAGAGTGCGTGCTTATTCTTAAGAATGCGCGCTCATTTTTAAGAGTGCGCGCTCATTCTTAAGATTGCACAAATTGCAAGAAAGCGCACAACATTGACAGTCTCCCAATTTGTAGCTAGAGTCAGTTCCCCCTTGTGGTTTATTGGATGATAAATTTTGGCTTTGATAGACCTTGACTTTGGGTACCTTCAGGGGGAGACACGTTAAAGGAATCCTTTGAACAGGTTGCAATGGCCATGTTTGCCTACATGACTGAAATCAGTAAAGTGGAGAAACTGAAGACAGAAACCATCGAAGCTGAAGGTACATGTATAGCCACTAGGATTTCTATCAATTGTTTGATTGCACTGTTGTCTTTCCCGTCTGTTTCGTTTTTATTGGGACCAAATCCTACTTCTAGAATTAGAAGGCACCTCTTGTTAGCCTTCTAGCATTGTTATTTGATAGACTAAATATATTTGTTTGGAATTCCAATTTCTGGAACACAGATCCACCCAGAAAGTTGCCCTGGTTGATCCATAACTCTTAAATGTTTTGGAACCATTGACATTTCGATCATGGGACACTTTTTGGGTGGAAAATCCGAGTTTTTACTCGCCGCCATCAGTTTTTCGACGTCGCGAACGTTGAGCACGCACTCGATGCAAACCTAGCTACACGGAGTAATTTGGTCTGGTTTCCTGACCAAAACTAGAATCCCATTCCTTTAACGTACACACAGGAAGGGTATCACACCTAAATTTCTTCTTCTTTTTTCCCCACATATGATGAGCCATTAGCATCGTGCCTGTGTTAAAGCCAAACCAGAAATGGTGCCGAGCTTTGAAAAAGGGCCATCATGTTAAATTTTAGCCCTGAATAAAATTGTGTGTACTCTGGGACCGCTTAAATAGGCTCATCTCATCTTTTTTCATCCGATTTTAAATTGTCTTAAAACAAAAGACAAATATCCATATTTTGTTTTGTCTTTTTTTTTTTACAGGAGATGACATGCTGTCGTTACTCTACCACTTCCTAGACGAATTCCTGTTTGTATTTTCAGCAGACCCGTTCTTTATTCCTAGGGTAAGTTTACAGCTTGAGTCAAGGTTAGTTTCAAAGAGGGGAAGGGCGGAGATTCAAAGAAATAAAGGGTGGGGGTTAATTGACACTTTTATTAATACTATGACCATGTTCCTTGTAAAAGTAGTTTTGTTATTAATTCCAGTTGGCCATTATTGTGAGCTTTTTTTTCTGGGTCTGTCACAATAATCTAACTTAATGGAGGTAGCATTTTCATGTTTGTTCTGCGAAGTTTCAAAAACTTATTGAAATTGAAGGAACATTTAATACATAATTTGCACACACATATGTAAATGTTATTTCTTGTTCTTGACTTTTCAGGAAATAACCATTGATGAGTTCGATTTAGAAAATTTTAAAATCAAGGCCACAGGGTAAGTTTATTTTGCATCAATTTTCTTTCTTCTTTTTTTGAAATAAAAAATGGTTTGCGTTAAACATTGCTTTTAAATCATTGTGTTTTAAATTTTTGGAGAAACAAAGAAAATGGATTAAAAAGTAGTTGTAGTTTTTAACAGCACAGAAAATTCAGTGTTTAATACAAAGGATGCAGAGCATTTTTTTTTTCTCAAAAGAAAATTTATGGAAGTGAACCATTTTGAAGTTAATTTTCCAGAAATATTAACTACTGCTATAGTGTTTATTTTTATATTTAGTGGCAGAGTAAAAATTGAATGCACACTGAAAAACATTTCACAAGCACAGTCAAAATAGGCCTAAATATTGGATCAAAATTTTAGTCACTGTCACTGCCCCAAGCCACCCTGCCTATATACTCCCTGTGTCCAAAACCTCCACTCTATTATGGTTTTATGGATCCACAGTGAATAAACACAATGTGATACAATGTAGTACAGTGCTATTTGGTTAAGGACTGTGTTTGAACAGTGGTCTATTTTTAGAGCACCATGCATATTCCGTGTTCACTGAGACATGCAAACTAGGACAGCATTGAGCATGTTGAACTGAGTGTAAAATGCATGTCTGGGTCTGAGTATTTTATTCTTTTGAGATTATATTATGGTAGTTTTGCAAATATACTACTACTAGACTAGTGCTAAACATGCTGTGTACACATCCGCGTTAAGCGTTGTATGCATTTTTATGGTCTGGTTGTAAGGCATATGTGATCATTTGCTGTTCTTTCATTTTGTTCATTTCCAACGCTTACACCGCTCAAAATCCAAAAAAGAATGTTCAAAACCTAACTTGTTGAAGTTTCAGCTCAGTGGATATTATACTTTTCAAGAAAAGGGTGTTTAGTACCATTACAATTTTTAATCCAAATAAGCTTTTTTTCTTAATGCTGCTAAGCTTTTTGCTTATAAACAATTTGCTTGGTCAGTTTTTGGGCAAATGCAAATGATCCTATATGACTTTATAAGGTACTAGGGCCTACATGTATATATGAAGAAACAAATGCCCATTAAAATTTGAAGCAATTTTGAATCAATTTTCCTAATTATTTTCACTACAGACATGGGGAAACATTCGACCTTACAAAACACCCACAGGTATGTGTCTTGCACTATTATTAATATTATTATCATTTATTAGTTCTGGTAATGAAACCAAGGATTCCTCAAAAATGCCCTAGGCACTGTAGCTCGCAAGCCTGAAGAAACCTGTGGAGAGAAGACAATGAGAAGAATTTACAGTTTTAGAGGTTGGAGGAAAACCCCAGAAGAATATTCAGGGGAAAACCCACGGAATCAGGCAGGGACTGAAAACCCAATCCACATGGCCCAGGCGGGATTCGAACCCGGGTCACAGCGGTGGAAGGCGAGGAAAGAACCGCTACGCCAAGCTAACGCCCCTGTATTTTGTCAAAAAAAACATTTTCTATATCTTGCTAAAGTTTACCATCTCTTGTCAAAAACTCCAGATGTACAAAAGTACATGTATACTAAATGTAGCAAATTTGTTCAGCGGGAATAAGGCATGAGAAATCAGAAAGTGTGGTCCACGTACTTGGATATTTGAAAGGATAAGAGTTTGAGTACTTTGCTCAAAATATTTTTTACAGAAAAGGTTTCAATACTTGCAATAGGACTCAAAATGTTAATGTTTAAATAATGTTTGCTCATTTTTAAACTACATGTATGTCATTGGAATATTCCATTTTTCTGTGCAGGGGACAGAAGTCAAAGCAATCACTTACTCCAACATGCAGGTCCACAAAGATAGTCCCAAGCACGATGTCTACGTCATCATTGATATCTGAAGAGCTTTTGCTTAAACTAACTTGGGACAATTTCATTAAACCGCTAAAGCATAGAATTATTTTATTCAGCAAAAACAGATCAGCCCAAAATGCCATTCCATAGACTTTATGCATTAAAGGCGGAGTTAGAAGGCAACAGTCTATCGCTTGGATAGGCACGAGTATTAAAACCTTTTGTGCGTTCACTATGGGCTCCGTGCGCCAACAAAAGAGGGCGCGTTTTGACCACTTTTGAGAGCTCCGTGGACGGGACACACAGCGTGTGCGTGTACTGTACTGGTTCGTGCACAAACTACGCACGACTTCCTGAATGTGCAAAAGCTATTAGCCACAATGTCTTCGCATGAGCGTCAGATGTCGTCGGCGCGCAAATACATTCCAACAGAAATTGTGATGGTCTCCCAGACTAATCCCCGCCGCCAATAACTTTGGATCATTAGAAATACGCAGTGGATGGACCGGGAACCAGTCTGGGTCTCCCCCAACTCTCCTTTTCTGGCCGTTGAAGGGGTACTTGTGCACGGAGCCCATTGTGAAATTAACATATTGAAGAACCCGCTCAGTGACATCTGCAATGTATAAAGCACATGTACAATGTTTGGGATTGGGACTGTTTTTCACAGTTGCAGGGAACTTATAACTGGCTCCAAAATTTTAAATGGAATTTCCCATGTATAATGGTTATGGTAATAAGCCAGTTCGGTATTCCAACTGCGCATGTGCACATGCGTGCAAAAGCATAGCGGGTACCAGAAAAATTGAAGAAATCATCGTGTTCTGAAGTACACAATTTTGCAAAAAACTTTGGACAGCGAAGTGTTTTTAGGTGTCTTGTGTGTCAAAACTTTTTTGCGAACGAAAGTTCCATCTCTTTGCGATTGCACGAAGAATTGTACAGAATGCAGATTTGGTTACCACGTCCCCCATAGCCTTGTGTGCATTTATCTGCCGTGGTTTTTCCCAAAAAAGTTTAATCTTGCTGTGCGCCAGACTATATTGGAATACCAAACTGTTTTATTGATGTGCCTGCTTTTATTGTCGTAGTATTGGCCTTATGAAGTTTATTTGTATGAAGATGTACATACTTCAAAACAAAAAAATCACTAGTATTTTCCACTTAGTTTCATCATAGCTGGCTTGCTGAATATGCATTGAAGGATCTTTTTTTATAACTAAGTTTAAAATGTATGTTTCTTGTACCACTGTCATTTTGCCTCTGAAGCAGAACTTGTTCAGTTCGAAACGTCAGGCCGTCTTAATTTTTTTTATTTGTATATTTTAGGTCAATCGAGTCAGAAAGAAGTTTGCAGCAGTCTGATTCATTTTTAAGTTTAAATAAGTGCGTTTCTGAAAATAGGATTTTGCATATATGACAATCTCATACAGCTTTTTAATATTTAAAGCTTATTTTTGTGCGTGTAATAGTGCGTTCACAATTTGGAGAGGTATATAATTTGGAGAAATATATTGTTCAAAGTTGATAAGCTGCAAATTACCCAATCCGTTAAAATGGACTCTTTATTTGTGTGTCATCAAGCCAGTTTTTCATTATCAACAATAATATGAAGTGCAAAGGTGAACAAAGACGAGATAAGTTTGCGGTAGCACCATGTGAATAAATCTCTTTTGTGAGTACATGTATGTGTGGTTCTGAAAAGAACCGGAGGGACTCAACTTTTCGAACAGTACGCTCTGCCCGTTGTCAGGAGAAAGGTGTACAAATTAATTATTACTGCCCCCCCCCCTCCCCAAACAATTTGTAATTTGAAGTGTATGGAATTTCTAATTGATTTTGACATAAACAGCCAACATTATAATGTGAAGTTTAATACATGTATTCACGGACCTATTTTTATGAATATAATCATTTTGTAAAAATATAAACATGAAATAATAAAAAATAAAAACATGAAATAATGAGAAAACAATGCCGTTTAAAAATTCAAATTGTCGTTTTTATTATTGTCAGTGTCAATTTCTTTCAAAGAATTTGACTTTATACTGTACACAGCCCGTGTTCTTTCAACATTGAACGCATTGCATACAAAGTGTACATTTACTTTCGCAAATTTAAATAATGAGTTTCTCAATACGGCAGCATAACACTGAAAACACATAGCTTTGGGAATTTCTTTTTCTTTGGGTGTCCAGTAAATTAATTTTCTGAACAACTTTATACACTTAAAAAAAATTCCCTTATTCTTGACAAATTGAATTTCGTTTCGTGTGTAATGCACAGAAGTTCATTGATGCTTACATAATTCAAAAAAGAAAGAAAAGTATTTCATGATAAACATTACACATTTTCAAATGAACAAACTAAAATTCTCCACATATCTGTCTACACCTCCCATAATCCTGTCAATACAGACTTGGAGCAACAGGCTCACTATTGCAATGACTTCAAGATTGTTTATAAGTTAAACTTTGTTAGACCCTGCATTTTGAACTAAACAATTTAATGTGAAACAATTTATAAACTGGTATCTAAAAAAGGATGACTACATGTACAATGCATTCGAAAATGAAGTGGTGTCTTTTCGAGTACCAAATTTGGAAGAAGGAATAATCGCCAATTTCTCAATTTTCATTTTTTCCCCTCTTTAAGGGCTTTGAAAATTCTAAACACTTTCATGCGAGAAAGTTTGTAACTATTTTAGGAGAGCATGTAAATGCCTAGAGGACAGAAGAGGGAACTCGCGTGTTCCAATAAATATTAAGTTATATTTGTGCATTTTATTTTAAATAATGCTCAATTTAAAAAACATTTTCAAATCCCTGCACGGAAGTTTACGTACAACCAAAATTGAAAATTGGCGTCTTTGATTCAATCAGGATACGTTGACTGAATACAGAGAATCTACAAATGTGGAAGTACAGAGGAATTTTTTTTTCTGGGGGGGGGGGGGCGGATAAATACCTTTTTGGTAATATTCCATCAATTTTAGAGTTTTGTTCCTATTTTTATACAGGATATGTACAAACTATGAGACAAATAAGCAACAATTTTGACGGAACAGAAAAATATGGCTGAATAATCACCCACCACCAAAATAGGAAAATGTGAGAGGAAATACTGGCCACAACATTTTAAATAAGAAAAAAAAAGAAAAAAAGACGAAAAAAAAAAAAAAAGGTGAAATATGACACCATGAATTTCAACAAGGGAAGAGTTCCATACATGGACATCACTATTTTTTCCCTGCATTTTTTCCCATTCAGCCATTAGAAAGTGATAACAAATCCTAAAAACTCAAATTTAGCAGGGAAAATACTGAAGCATTTACTGAGAAAACACTTGGAATTTTTCAGACCATTCTCATGGATTTTGTGCACAGGGTGTCAAGTGATGTCCAGGTATGGAACTCTTTCCTTAAATCAATCACAACATAAAATAATCCACATTAGAGATGAAGGTTTCTGCTACGTGTATATAAAGCACAGAACATAAATTATATAACTACAAAATCAAAAGTGTAATTTGAGACTACTGCAAACAGCTGTGCGTGGCATCAGCTGTCCAACGGTAAAATTTGTTTAGTTTGTCTAGTAGGTTACAGATGGCCCGCAATGTGGATGTCTTGACAATCGTTTGTTTCACATGCACAATTGGTCGTCTGGACTTTAGCTGAACAGGCAGTGCAATTACCACAGACATCTGTTGGCTTGAAAAAATTACTTAAACAGTATTTATCACACACCATGCCAACTGGGAAACACGCAATTGCGCGCATTGCAAGTTTTATAAGTTCAACAAATTTGTACGTCTTTGAAGTCCAGCTAAACACACATTCACATAATTATAAGGACTCTGATTATATCATTGTGACTGCCTGATGTCCTGCTCAGGCTGTGCGATTTCCAGAGGGGTTGTTATATCACACCATTCCCACTGGATACACAACGGCTAGTTGTCACACCTCTGGACAGTCATCACAATGCATATTGACATATGATTCTGGATGGATACAGAACTGCCTACTGTCACCTGCTCAGGCTGTGCAATTTCCAGAGGGGGGTTGTTAACACACACCATTCCCACTGGATATACAACGGCTAGTTGTCACATCTCTGGACACTTTTCACAATGCATGTTCTGGATGGATACAGAACTGCCTACTGTCACCTGTTCAGGCTGTGCAATTTCCAGAGGGGTCTTATCACACTCCGTTCCCACTGGATCTTCAACAGCTAGTTACCGCATCTCTGGACAGCCATCACAATGCATATATATTCACATGTATATGACTCTGGATGGATACACAACTGCCTCTTGTCACCTGCTCAGGCTGTGCGATTTCCGGAGGGGCGAGTGTAGTCTCTGGTGACCCAGTAGATCGTCAAAGAAGGGGTGGTCTAGCGCCTCTTGGAGGGTGAGCCTCTTTGAGGGGTCGTACTCCAGCATCAACTGGATGAGATCGAAGAGCAAGTGGACCTCCTCGGTGTTGCGTGAGGAGCGCATGTAGTGGTGCAGGGACTTGCAGTTCTCACGGACGTAGCGCCCCGATGAGCTGTTCTTTTCCCAGTCCACGCCGCCACGGTAGAAGTACTTCTGCTTCCTGTGGATTGAGAATGGCAGATAACGGGTGAATTACTTATTCTGTTGCACGGCGACTGTAGCTCTTACTTTGTTTGAATCCTTCAAGGTCTTTCAAAATCCTTGGGCCAATTTCACGGAGCTAGCTGCTAAGCACAAAAATTTGCTTAGCACAAAAAAGTATGGCTCATAAAAGCAGGTTACCAGCCAATACTCCATGTGATGTATATTGCTTGTGATTGGTATTCAGCTGTTGTTTGCTGAGCATGAAAATCACATGGAGTTTTGGCTGGTAACCTGCTTTTATAAGCCAGACTTTGTTTGTGCTAAGCAAATTTTTGTGCTTAGCAGTGCCGTGAAATTGGCCCCAGATGTTGGATTCTTCATGGAATTTAGCAAGGTTGGGTGATACCAAGTTACATTACTTTACTTGATGCCCCTTTGAAGTTTTAGAGAGAAAAAACATCTTTATTGCGTTCCTGTCTTGTGGTTGATTTTGAAGGATTTAGGAAGCTTCATAGCAGAAATGCCCAGAGTTAAGATCAATGTGTGAGTTAAGGGCTGTGACTTCTGAGCTTAAGGCAATCACAATTTTATTTCCGTTACCAAAAGTATTTTGCAAAGAATCTGTATGTATTGCAATCCTCAACCTTTTAGTTGCAATAAACTTCAACGTTAGAGTCTATTATCTGTAAAACTTTGATTAAATTTGTTTTTGATGTACCTTGTTTTCTTGATCATTGAAGACGGCATGGGGCCAAGGATCATCTCCATCATCGCCAGATGTTCCCTGTTATCGTGAGTCTATCGTGCAAGAAAAACAAACAATCAAGATGAACTTCACAGTGCACTCTACACAGTGCTCTAAGAAAAAAAAATCATACTTCCACTATTCAGAGATTTACACTATTGATATATACGAGTATTAATCAGACTTTACAACTGAATAGTTACTCGCCGAAATCTATTTTGTCAAATTTCACATTAAAACATTGATGACGCAAAAAAAAAATCCACATTGCATATTTGTCAATCATATGATTGCAGTTTACTCACCTGGAATAACGTAAAGCCGGTGTATAACTCAAACATGATGGCTCCTATACTCCACACATCGCATGCCTGCTCCCAACCCAACTCTGCAAGATAAGTCAAAGGGAACACACAGGCGTGAGTTTTTTTACGCTCGAGGACAATGCTTTGTGTTTCCCTTTGTCCCTGTAATATAACACTCTCCCATAGACTAAGCACAGTATATAACTCAAACATGATGGCTCCTATACTCCACACATCGCATGCCTGATCCCAACCCAACTCTGCAAGATATTAAAGTCAAAGGGAACACACAGTCGTGAATTTCTATACGCTGGAGGACAATGCTTTGTGTTTCCCTTTGTCCCTGTAATATCACACTCTCCCATAGACTAAGCACATAACCGTACGATCGAGGACCGTTTTCAATAAAAGACCCAACGCTCGAGGACTGAAAGGATCGTTTGTTCTACCTTTGTGTGTCTGTCCTCTATCGTACAGCCATACAAGATAAAAAAATACAAGTCATCACAATGAACACTTCATTGTCAAATTTATGTTCAGGTCTTGTTGAGCAAATTCACTGCTTAGCAAAAATGAACCTGTCTTGCTGAGAAGTGTTTTTGGTAAGCAAATTGTAGGGGACTCTTTCCACATGAGATGGTGTATACTATACTGTCTGCTTATAACCCTATAAGCAGATGTACCTCAAAACAGGTCACAAGTCATATAGATAAACTTTTTTTTTAGTAATGTATGTAACTTGTTTCTGGTAAGCAAAATCTTACCTGCTTATCAAATTTTGTAAAACTTTCTACGCTTACCTAGTAATACTTCTAATGCCCTGTAGTGTCTTGTGGATACAATGGTACTGTGGTGTTCGTGCTCAAATGTCGCCGAGCCAAAGTCTATTAGACGGATGTCTGAGCACCTGACTGTTTTCTCGTCACGTTTCTGGTTTGGAAAAAGAAGTTATGGAGACAACAAATTTAAGATTTTACACGATTAAATAACCAGTCCAGTGTACCGAACACTTGAAGAATCAAAGAATTTAGCTACAACTCAATTCAGTAGTCCATGTACCACCCCAAACCGCCCTGCCCGTTTACTGTACCACCCCAAACCACCCTGCCTGTTACTCCCTGTACTGCCCCAAACCACCCCTGCCTGTTACTCCCTGTACTGCCCCAAAACACCCTGCCTGTTACTCCCTGTACTGCCCTGAACCGCCCTGCCTGTTACTCCCTGTACTGCCCCAAACCACCCTGCCTGTTACTCCCTGTACTGCCCCGAACCGCCCTGCCTGTTTCTCCCTGAACTGCCCCAAACCTCCCCGTTACTCCCTGTACCACTGCAAACCGGCCTACCTCTTACTCCCTGTACCACCCCAAACTGCTCTGCCTGTTACTCCCTGTACTGCCCCAAACCGCCCTGCCTGTTACTCCCTGTACTACCCCGAACCACCCTGCTTGTTACTCCCTATACCACCCCAAACCACCCTGCCTGTTACTCCCTGTACTGCTCCGAACCAGCCTGCCTGTTACTCCCTGTACTGCCCTATACCACCCTGCCTGTTACTCCCTGTACTGCCCTATACCACCCTGCCTGTTACTCCCTGTACTGCCCTATACCACCCTGCCTGTTACTCCCTGTACTGCCCTGGACCGCCCTGCCTGTTGCTCCCTGTACCGCCCCAAACCAGCCAGCCTGTTACTCCCTGTACTGCCCCAAACCACCCTGCCTGTTACTCCCTGTACTGCCCCAAACCACCCTGCCTGTTACTCCCTGCACTGCCCCAAACCACCCTGCCTGTTACTCCCTGTACTGCCCCAAACCGCCCTGCCTGTTACTCCCTGTACCGCCCCAAACCACCCTGCCTGTTACTCTTTGTACCAAATCAACCCAGCACTGTATGGCTTCATGCATTCATCATGGAATAAATATAACATATTACAACGTAGCACAGGTGCTAATGTTCTCACCTTGGAAGGGTTGTACCTAATGTCGTAGTCTGAATTAACGAAGAGGATATTTTCTGGCTTGAGGTCTGTGTGGGCAAGCTTCATATCATGCATAACTGAAGATGAAAACAATAAATACAAAATACAACATTACAAAAGATATATTGATCTTTTGGGGTCAGAATCCGACAGCTAGTTTGCAATTCGTTGTTACAAAACAAGTACATAACAACAAGAAAATCTATGAATTATATTAACCCTAACTCCCTAGCATGATTTACAAGGAGCCATACCCATCCTGGCAAATTCCAACACCATATGGGAAACTGCACACACATATTTCTGACTTTGTTTCTGGAGGTGTGCCAACCCAATGTAAAAGACTGTCAGTTTAGGGGTACTGTACCCATCCTGACAGATTCCAACACAACATGCCGTTGGGGTTTGATGGGTTGAGTTCTGTTAGGGTTAAAATCAATTCCGGCATGAATACAAATCCTAGTGTCGGATATCGTCTTGGGAAAATCACAAGGTCTGAAGACACAATTTGGCCAAGTTAAATCTTAGAACGGAAGACAGGTTCAAGATTTACACATTTAGAAACAAACTTTACTCACATTTGACGGCGTAGCACATCTGATAGGATATGTGTCTGACGTGATCCATGGGATATGGGAGGTAGTTATTCTCTTTCTGTTGAAAAGAAGAACAAGCCTTGTTATTTTCTCAAATTTCTCAAAAAAGAAGGATATTGTGGTGAGTTCGTCCGTGAGAAACGCAGAGAATACAAACAGAAACAATCACTCGGATTTATACGTCGCTTGATTTAATACGTTGGTGATCTGTAATGGTTTTGAGCAACTAATGTTTGCTTACCAAGAAATCGAAGACACTTAGACCCAGAACCTCGAAGGCGAGACACATGTGGCCGTGGTAGTCAAACCAGTCCAGCATACGTACACACAAGCTGTCGTAAATGGGAAAAAAAATGGAATGGATCAAAATTATGCAAAGGTTTATTTAATGGTAGAGTAGGGCCTATATAATATGCCGTTTGTGCATTTGTTTTCGTTTAACGCCAAAAAGTGCTCAAAATCTAAAGATGGGTGCTTTACAACTAAACTGATGAAAGTTTAGCTCAGTGAATGCTGTATATATCGAGGAAGCAATATTCTAGGATCTCGATTTCAATTTGAAAGTTGCCGAGTCACATTTTGAATTGCGCCCAAAATCAGCGTCTGGGACACGTTCTCATTCAGTCAAATGCCATTACAGCTACGTGATGTTTTGAATTGTACCCGAAATCAGCATCTGGGACACGTTTTCATTCAGCCGATTGCAGCTACATGATGTCACACACTGAACCGACGAATTAAAGCAACCGTGTGCGCGAGTGCGTCATGTTAATACCTGGGCGCACCCATTCATGGCTTTGCCAAATTGAAAAGAACTACTAACGGAAATTTCCAAAAATGCGTCTTTACACATGTCTTTGGAAATGGCTTTCTTTTATTTTCTTCAAAATGACAGCATGCCAGAAAGAATAATTTCACAGGGAGTTTAGTGCCATTACTATATCTTTAAACCAAGTAAGCTTTTTAACAATGATTTCGTCAGTTACTTTTTGGATAGCTGCAAATGATATACTCTACCTTTGAAAGGGTAGAGTTGCCTGCTTATGCACTCTCTAAGCCACTGTATACATTTAACCTAATGAAAATTCAATGTTTTCACCTTTTTCCTTCTGGGTCTCTGTGTAGTAGCTTCGTCAGGACGTTAATCTCTAGTTTAGCAGCTTCGGTGTACTTCTCTATGTTCTTAATGACCTTCAATGCTACATGGGTATTCCTGCACACAGAAGACCAAGAGAGAGCTACAGGTTGTTGCATGGACATGAATGTACATGCAGCTCAGATTTGAAGTCCTGAAGCCAGTGCTAAAACTGTTCAATGTGTTACTTCATGACGCAAGAAATTGTTGTAACAAATCAGGCTGTATAGGAAATAAGTAAAGATCTTAACCCTACATGTAACCCTAAAGGACCTTTTTGCTAGGAACCATCCTCCGAAATCCTCCAAACTTTGGCATATGTTAAAATGAAGGATGCCTAGTGCATCAATCCTTCAAAATCATCAGACAGTCCTGCCTCTCAAAATACATTCATCCTCAATCCTCCAAATTTCCTCTTCCTCTTCAAACACCACTCAGCCTCAATCCTCCAAAATCCTCAGGTGCTTCAACACCATTCAACCTCAATCCTCCAAAATCCTCAGGTGCTTCAACACCATTCAACCTCAATCCTCCAAAATCCTCAGGTGCTTCAACACCATTCAACCTCAATCCTCCAAAATCCTCAGGTTTCTCAAACACCATTCATCCTCAATCCTGCAAAATCCTCCAAAACCGCCAGGAGGATTTGGGAGGATTGAGGAGAGTTAGGGTTAAATGTATTCATTGTCCATCTCAGGCCTTGAGCGTTCAAAAACGTCAAGGCAAGTGTTAATGCTGGGAATTTTCCCGAAGTTAAACACATTTCCAAACAAGCGGATGTTTTGTGACAACACAAGTAATGTAATACTTCGCTATAACCGGAATCATGTCCCAGAATGCATAGCTCTCATCGAGAATGCCCAATAGATCGCTCTCAAATGACGTCACTGCCTACAGATTGTCACATGCATCGGCATTTTGGGAGTCGAATTTTCGTGACGCGCATCGGCTGTGCCGTGTTTCAAAGAAATTTCAAGCAACAAACGCGAGTGATTCGAACATCTTGCACACTGCGCGTACACGCACCTGATGCCGTTGAACACGCAGCTGCAATTTTCCTACAAAGATGGCTGTCTATGAGAGGGGTCTATGCATCAGTTTCTTTTCTAGTTGGCACTACTGTTGAATTTATGCACAACTGGCATACCTCATAAGGAATACACTATTTTGTCACAAATTGTCTCAGTGAACCGAGTGACAAGAACTCAGGCTTGCATGGGATGGTTTCATCAGAGGGAACAAGGATGTCGATGTGAAGTGTCGTTAATCAGAAAGATTTCACTTCACACAAAATGGGAACAAAATGGCGAATATCTATGAGGAATGAGCTGAGGTAGAAATGAGTTAGAAACTGAAGCAGCAAATGAATAAATAGACTTACACTGTATGCAAATCTTTGCAGTCGATCACCTTCCCGAACGTTCCTTCTCCTAGCGTCCCGACCACCTCATCTATAGACACATTGGGGAAGGAAAAAGAATCCAATAGCATTAGCATGTTTCTTTAACACGTTTGGCAAGAAACATACGTACGTGTAAAACACCCGGGATAGGAAAAATACAAACGGAAGACATGATCAAATGGCTTATTTCATAGAACTCCTATTACTAAGTAAGGCAGTGCAAATTTATCAATTCGGATGGGAAAAAACAATGCTTCGGTTTGAATGATAACCAGCCAAAAACAAATGTAATATATTAATATACCTCTATGGCCAGTTGACGATCTTCGTGCTACATGTACAAGTACATGTAGCTCTACGAAATTAGGATTCGGGCACAAAGCCAAAACCGACGAGAGGATGGGCAAAGTATTAAATGGCGTTCAAAACAAACACAACTATCTGGAAAATGGCAAGAATTTCAGAGATGCTTCCAGATGTATCCAATAAAATAGTTTCAAAAACTCAAACAGGAAAAAACAAACTGAATGAAGTGTCATGGCATGTATGGCGCAATGAATACATGTAAACTGCTACATGCTAATTCTACCTCCATTGAATAAGCCATTTGCGAATTAAATTTGAATAACATCTGTACTGACTTGCTGAAATGCTTAGCACATTTTAACTTTGAATTCGCCAGACCGAAGACACTGTTGCTATATCACGTGATTCGGGGCAAGCCTTTTCGCTAGTAACCCCCAGCTCCGGAATGGTCTGGTGTCTTTGTGCCATTCTCACTCATTGTGAGCAATGTATTGACGCTGAGCATCTCTTACGTAACTATGCAAGAGCTTGCCCCGAATCATGTGATATATAGCAACAGTGTCTTTGGTCTGGAGAATTCAAAGTTAAAACGTGCCAAGCATTATGAGCAAGTCAGTGTACCAGATGTTATTCAAATTTAACTCGCAAAGGGTAAAGGTTATTCATTCACTCCATTACACTCAATGTATTATGTGTTAAGTAAAGTGGCAACTCGTTACATGTAATGTACATGTGTACACATGTAGGTAGACCATAAAGCGAATACCTACATGTACATATTTTGGTCCTAACTCTATGAAAACACCGTACATGTGCACATGTATATTTATCTAGTGGCCTAATACAAATGCTCTCTAGAGCATTGTGAGTTTAATTATAAAGAGTTGAAAGACAAGCAAGTACATGTGCAGCATGTACAATATCTGCATGCGTAAGGCTCGTGTCCAAATTGTCACGAGCAAAAACGTTACCATATGGATGTAAAGGAAGTACACATGTACAGTGTGTCTCAAGGTCTAACCGGTAACTGTACGTGCACAAACCGTAAATAATACATCTATAACTTGCAGCTGCTCATTATACACAGTATGATTTATGATTTGTACACGTTGAGCCAAGCCTACTCATTTTAATATGTGTGTCTGTTTTTTGCCAACTTGCCACACTTGTAATGAACTAGATTATGTTATTTGAAACGTAAACAAGTCAGATCAGGAAGTTTTATATTGTTTGTATTTGAACAGCCATTTAATAAATTGCCTTATGCTCAAATATCGAAGTGAAAGATGCTTTCCGAGAACATACGCGTAAATATGCAAAATTGCTACATGTTTCATATGGTTTCAGTTTAAAAAACAAAATGTAACAGGCACAGAAAAAAGTCATGGTTGTGAGTAACCACAAAAAAAGTCCTTTAATTGAAAAACACAAAAAAATTGCCACCGTGATAACAAAAATCTCAGGGGGACCTGTAACATGAAACACAGTTTCCAAACAAGTATTAAAAAACCTTGAAAAATCGGACAGGTCACCGTTGTTATGTATGTGTGAATGTCGGAGCGTGTGTAATGTATATGTACAGGACTTATAAGGCACTACGTAAAAAAGATTACGGAGCATTTGTGACTGTACATCTTGCTTGCAGGATGTCCCCTGGACGATACACGAGGTGTCCGTCCTGGTCATCGATCACGCCTCGACCCTTGCCCTCCTCCCTTCGACTCCGCCCTTCCTCCCTTGCACTCCGACTCCGCCTCCCTTCTCTTCTCTGTGTGTGTGAACCACCCAAAAGCCAACGCGAAGCACAGCCCACCGGATAGGACACAAGACGTCGTACGCACACGCACAGCGGTAGTCAGGACCGCGATGAAAGACGTTGGTAGTTGTCGTTGATGGTGACGATGGGTGGAGTTATAGACACGGGCGGGCAAAAGATTCGAAGTTGGTACCACATTCGTGTAATTCGCCCGACAAACGGGGTAGGTTGTGGTACATAATATAAGAAAATAGACAGGGATGCAAAACGGCACACAAAATCTTTGTCAATCCAATGATTATGTGCAGGCTCAAGACAAAAAAAAGAATCTTCTGGTAAAAACCATCTCCCCAAAAAAGTAGTGCTGGCGTTTGAGCATAAACACATAATTGATGTACATACACGTACAGTTGTTTAAATGTTTCCCCCTAAAAAATCGCCCCGCAAAAAAAACCAAGTAAATTACAAAAACAAATTACCGACGCCTGCTTGCATCATTTACACCAACACGTTACAATTGATTTAAAAACAAAAATTTGTTAATTCAAAGAAAAAGAAACGAAACTTGAATTTCAGATATCTGTTCAGTTTTCCCAATTTTTAATGTGCACAAATCGAGAAGAAAAAAAAATCATCAAAATCATCACTTTCCTTGTTCTAATTTCAATGAAATTACAGACCTCTTACCATTCTGCCCTTCTTATGGAAAGGAACAAACCATATTTGTTCGTAAATAATTAAAACATTTCTAAAGGCCAGAAAATTGGGGATCAATGCCATAAACTATGTCACCATGTATGCAATGACCCCACCAGTTTCTGGCCATTTTGTTTGACTGTCAAAATGTACAGATTTTCAAAGAACAGTTAACATTGCAAGGAAGAAAACAAGCAGAAGTTCAATATATTTGACAATATGAGAGGCGTTGCCGTCCTAGATTTAAGAACACCACAAAACCATCAGACAGAGGAAGATGCATAAAAATAGATGGAACTCAACAAGATCATGGTACGGACAAGACTTGTTTCTGTGCCAAACCTCTAGATTTTGTAAAACTGAAAGAGCTGTGCAAAACATATTTGAAAGAGAAGACATTAGATGGAAAGCCAGAATGTGAACATGCAGAAATTTGTTATCAAGGATTTTTTTTAAAGCAAAACTTGTATTTGTTGAAATCCATCCACTTTTCTTGGTACAAGTCCTTACCTTAGAAACCCACTGTTTTTACACACAAATATGAACCCGTAAATTAACAATTTATTTTGAAATGGATAAATTTTAACTCAATTTGTTAAAAAAAACAATTTTGTTTGTTTTGTTTGTTTGTTGAGTTTCCAAGATAAGGGGGCTGCATTTATGAATTGTCACAGTATTTTCTGGCAACAGAAGTAATTGCTTGAAAACTACTCATGCAACAGCAGTTGTGTGTCAACACTTCAGAAATGCAGCACTCGTACCAGGCATCAACATGTCTCAGCAAAGATCAGAGAAGAAAGCCTACGACTGTTTTGTGACTGATACTGACCCCTGATGATTTACTGTGCGAGTGGTGGCGGCGGTGCTTCCTGTGGCGTCGGCTCCGGCGGTAGTCGCTGCTCCGGCGGCAGTCGCTGCTCGGCTCTTCCCTTTCCCGGGGGATGTAGTAGTCATCCTCGTAGTACACCACCCCTCTGGGCGGGGATTCCCTGTAGTCGTACTCGTGGTAGGGGTCGTAGTAGTGCTGCCGTCGGGAAGCCATGGAATTTTGGGAATGCTCTCGCCGCCGATCCCGGCTGTCGGGAAAGAAACCAAAAATAAAATTGACTAAACGGAAGAGAAATGGACGTTAAAATATATTGGTCCTCACAAAATTCCACGACTTTCACATGACTTTAGTCAGATCATACATGTCAAGCAAGCACTGTGACTAGTCAAACTGGGTCAACAGACAAGGCAGCCAAGTTGTGGTCACAGCTGCTTTATCACTCACCAGGATTCAAAGCCTATAGCTGTATCAAGTAACATAAACAGTCCCAGCCAGTCAATCCTGCTTTATGTACCGGTAGGGCTGGTAATTCTTAACTGTTGAAAACAGTCACTTGATTGATTTTGACTGAAAGGACTACTTGGCACATGTATGTTTGCATAGGAAGGGTTAACGGTGACTGCTCTATGTTCCGACACCCCTATGTTCCGACAACCTAGATTGTGTTACTCCCGGTTAGGGTTAGGGTTAGGGTTAGGGTTAGGGTTAGGAATATGTGCAGTCGGAACATAGGGGTCTCGGAACATAGAGGTGTAACCGGGTTAACATGGTTCATATGTGAATGATTGCATGTTTTTAATGCCAGCCCTTAATCCTAAACCGTAAGATTTTTGCAAGATTGAGGATGGTCAAGCCAAGATGCTATAGTATCAATTTACCTCATGTACCTAGTTTTAATCATAAAGAATGTGTCATTGATGTCTTGGCGGGTTTGAGGTTCAAGGAAACCTCCTAGCAGGGAAATTAGGGTGTAGGTTACTGACATATGGCTGAGCAGCAAGTTAGAGTCTATAATTGGAACAGGAAAGTGACAACTTCCCTCGCGCAGTAACCTCAGTTCACAAAGTACTTTGACAGTCTGTGTTCATTGTAAATGCAATACAATCATGTGGAATGCATTGAACTACTGGGGGATTTCTGGTATGTCTGGAGTGCTTCATACTCAATGTACATGTGCCTGTACATGTACAATGTACATGTTTACACATAATTCTTAGTCCACCTCTTACACAGCCAAACTACGTACATGTACATGTACATGTTGTTAACTAGATGTTGACAGTTTTGACACAACAAATATATTCTAGGACTTCTTGTTGGATGGTTCTTGCCCTACATGTACACGTATCACACGCGGTAGAATCGCGTTACAAACGCGTCAACGCAGCTTGTGAAATATTGTCCAATTACATGATACACAAATGGACACGGAGCGCGCAAAATCTGAGACAAACAAAACTTAGTGTACAAAAACTCCATAGGGTTGTCTAAGGGGCGTGGCTAATTCGCAAACGGCGAGAGGTCAATTGTACATAAAACATTGTAACATACGTGATTGTGAAAAAGTAACCCAACCTGTATGTGGCAGAATAAAATTGAGAATTAAATGGATAATAAATTATACCAATGTACATGTACACGTAATTTCTAAACTGATATGTGGAAATCAAACTGTCCCAAAATTTAATTTCTGTTCATCAATTCAGTTTAAATTTTGTTTTTGACATTGACTTTTTCCCATCTAATCTGGCCAATGATGCAACCTCAATCCTGCAAAATCCTCCAAATACCTCAATGTAAAAATACCCTCAATCCTTCAAATTCCTTCTGTCTTTCTTGATCACTGCCTTAATCCTGCAAAATCGTCCAGCAATCACTGTCAATATGTTGAGGTAGAGCCAGTGACATCCTGGAGCAGTGCGGAGGATTTCAAGTACAATATAGACCTAAATTTATGCACGGCTGAGCATAAACAACACAAGGTTCAGCCCAAGACCTTGACATAGTGCATCCTCCGAAATCAGCAGCACACTTGTGCCATGTAACCTCAATCCTGCAAAATCCTCTATTTTACAAAGAGAATTTTGCAGGATCTGGGAATTTTAGGGTTAATCAAAATACTTGAACAATGGTGAAAACTTTTTGAATGAGACCACAAATTCCAAGAAATAATACACAAGTATGAAGGACTAATCGAATTGTAGTGATGTGAAAAGTAATTATAAATATGCAAGGCAAGTAAACAGGTGCGCACAAGAACAGCTGCGTTATACAAGTGCATGCGCGTGCACGTACGTTAAAGTAATTCGAGAATAATATTATGGAAAGGAATTCGTTTTTGTTATTAAAAGAGTTTCTGGAAGGAGTTGGCGTTTGGTAGGGAAAGAGAAAGGATGTACATTGTAATTGTGGCCCAGCTGTGAAATTAAGTCTGAAGACGTTTTGTACCATCACACAACTGAAGCGTGACCACTGTTTTTGGTACAAGACTGAATTCCCCTTTTCCACTGCGCACAAAATTTCCCAGGATTTGTTCCTATTTATATGTACAACGTTTTACAATATGAAGTTGAAACTCTATGGCATAAACTCACAACCAAAGCACAGAGCAAAAGCTCACAAACTTACCTCCTTGACCGGTACCTATGTGACCCATATTCGTCATCGTAGTAATGCCTTGAAGGCGTCCGCCTTCTCCTTCTGTGTCTGTAGTGATTGGAATACCTGCTAGTGGATCGTGGTCTGTGATGTGAGCGGGGCATCTGCAACGAAATATGTCCAAAGGTTTAATTATACGAGGTTATACAGATATATATAGTTACACTGGATCATTAGCCCTAACTCCCTAGGCCTTTTTGCTAGGATGTAGCCTCAATCCTGCAAAATCCTCCAATTGGCCTCATGGAAAAATAGCATGTAGCCTCAATCCTGCAAATTCCTCCGCTGTTTCTTGAATATGGTCCATAGAGGGGTGAATCCTGCAAAATCCTCCAGCTATGACTGTCAATAGGCTGAGGCAGAGGCAGTGACATCCTGGAGCAGTGCGGAGGATGTCAAGTATAATCAAGGACTAAATTTATGCACGGCTGAGCATGAACAACACAAGGTCCGGCCCAAGACCCTGACACAGTGCGTACTCCGAAATCAGCAACGCACTTTGGCCATGTAACCTCAATCCTGCAAATTCCTCCAATTTGCAAAAAGGATTTTGGAGGATTCAAGGCGGTTAGGGTTAGTAATGTTTAAGAGATTTGAAAAATGAGAAAATTTGCAACCTGACGTCACTTTTTTCTTCATATATCATCGCCATGAAGGTCATTCATTGCAAAAATGATGATAAGACATGAATCTGGGACTGAGAAACAACGCCTAAGTAAGTAGGTATGATATTGTTATCCATTTGGCGTTTGAGTTTCTTCTCCTGGCCCGAGTATTTTATTTTTAAAATCAACTCTCCTGTAGTTAGACCATTCAAAACACCTCAAACTCTGGGTGCTGGCAAATTGGAGGAAAAAAATGCTGGACCTTTTAAAATCCTCCAGATTTTAATGTTACTGCACTACCAAACCTTTCGATTCCTTTCGAAAGGTATTGAAATGCAACTTATTGAATTTGCCCACAGAGTTGCTTCACCTTTGGAAACCTTTGGAAAAGTCCCAAAGTTCCAGCACTATTTCACCTTTCAAAACCCTTTTACTAGTAAGGCAAATGTAAAATGTTTTGAAAGGTCTGATAGATCTCTTTGCCAACTGCACTGGGCATAGCAGGGTCAATGGACCAAATTTCCGGTAATCCTTACTTTTAGGACCCCGTTCCTATATAGGAAGGGAAAGACTCACCAAAACAGATGACTATTCTGATATTTCTTGACACATCTAAACACATTCTTGAATATCAGCAGGTTTAATTTTGTGGAAAGAGGGCAAGGCTTCGATTTATGAGGGAAATTAAGGGGTAAAAGACGACGGTCACAACCAGAAAACAGACTCAACATGCTCAAAAACCAAGATGGCAAACGTGAAAGCTTGATGCAATTAAACTGTGAAAGCTTGATGCTGATTGGCTGAAAAAATAAACATCTAATTTTTAATTGTTTTAGCAGCCAATCAGCATCGGGCTTTTATTATGTAGGGATTTCACTCGTGTTGTGAGAATTCATGCACGTCTGACTGCAAAAAAAGGTAGGAAAGTCACATTTTCTTTGAAAGTGCTTTCATGAGTTTATTATATGAAGAAAAAAAGACTGCTTTAGCCTGCAAAAGGTACTGGACAGTGGACAGTCATCTGCAAAAGTCAGTTTTGAACAGAACTCGTAAAACTTTACCAAATATCCCTTATTGTCAAATAATAATAGGCCTACCCACACTTACCATGCTTGACCTACCGGAGTAATACCAACAGCAATACATCCTAGAGAAATATACCGTAAGTAACCTTGACCGCAAAATTTCAACAAGTAACAGGATTGGAATGAAACGAAATCACAAATTCCACACCACACACATTCTAAAAAAAATCACACGATACAAACCGACACTGGCACGACCTTCACTCACAAAGCCAATTCCCACATATTAAATAACAGACGTAGACCAATTTGGCCAAATTCGTAAGGTAAAAAGACTTACTGTGCTCGTGAGGAAATCCCTCACTTTTCCGAGTAGAAACTCCACGATGATTGCTAATTCGTAAAAACCTTGTCCGGCCAAACGCGCGTTCAACGAAAAGGTAGGTCAACTGTACGGCAACTACGTCACGTTTATGAGCGTAAAAATACAATACTAAGCTGCCCTATGATTGGCCACATTATTTGTAGTTCCTTTCAATGCGCGAATTCATTGACCAATGATCACAGTCCTCTTTTGCCTACAAGAAAAATATCCCACTTGGGCTGTTCCAAGTATTGTTGTTGGACTTGTATACTTCTAGAAAAGTTATCCTAAAAAGAATTGCCTGCAATATTTTCGAGGTAAATTTTGTAGTTTTTTTTACAAAAAATAATAACAGTACCAATTTCAAATGATTGTAGAGACAATTAATGAGTTCAACACATTATTTAAATACAAAAATGTCATTTTGCCCTTAGCTTTCCAGAATTTCCCCATAATCCATAAACTTGTTCCCAGTCCTTCATCATCGATTCATCTGACTGGTTGTGCACTTCTGAACTGCTTGGTGGCGCTCTTTACAATTTGTGGGCAAACTTTTCGCATGCTCAAGCAAAAACAATTGACACTGACAGAATCATTGCAACTGCAACTTTGATCGTTAATATTTCCGTTTGGGGTCACCATTATGCCGGCAGTTATCAAGAATGTACATCTTAAATTTGTCAAGAATATTCTTGTAGAATTCTGCCCTTGGCAAGCAAATGTGGAGTCTGCGAGGTAATATTTAACAAGATTTCTTGGGATTTTTTTTTGCAATTTTGGTTTGAAATGAAAAGATGAGGGGGGGGGGGTATGGGCGGGGCAAAGGGGGCTACGTAAGGGAGAAACTGTATAATATTATTGTGCATCAAGACTGAAGTACATAAAAATAATATAATAGTGCATATGCCTAAATGAGAAACATCACGACGTCATCATGCAATTTTATATGATTATTTGAATTTTTGGACCTTTTGTTTAGTTAACTTGAGGCTGAGGCCTATCTGACGAACACAATGTGCAAAATTCAAAATTCTTTTTGTATTACAGGTTATGTTTGTTAGGTAACATGTATATGCACACAATTTTGAAAAATGTGTGACGTCACGATGATGTCATCCCTTGATTTTTATGATTTTTATAATATTTAAAAAAAAAATAATCAGCTTCCAAAATGTTTCCTTTTGTTGGATCATGGAGGAATTTGTACAAACCAAGGCCACAATGACAAAATGTAAATAATAAATAAGTATAATGCGAAAAAGCCCTTTCTTTTGTTGCAAACAGACATAGTATCTCTAGTTTTATTTTACATTTCTTTATTGCAGGCAGTTTCAGAGTAGAATTGCCAATTTCGCCACCCGACAGACAAATATGAAGTGTGCAATCAAGACCAAAGTGAAGAATGATGGAACTCTGCCGTCAATCACGATATTATTTGGTAAGCGAGGGGTACTTCACCCCCCCCCCCACCCCAAAATTCAGAAAAATTTCTTTTTCGTGTGAAGTGTCGCTGTTTTATTTTCAGGTGTGGGGTGATGTAAATCAATATAAGGTTTTGCCCTTCACCGACATATAAACACTTAATACTCAGTGTGTTACCTCCTGAGCAAAAGTTGGAAAAAATCACTCGGGTGGGACTCTAACCCACGACCTCCTGCTTTCTAAATTCTAGTAGAAAGCAGGATGTCGTGGGTTCAAGTCCCACCTGAATGATTTTTTCCAACTTTCACTCGGGAGGTAACACACTACAGTGTTTATACATCGGTGAAGGGCACAACCTAATAGTGATAATTTTGCATTGTTTCAACAATTTGCATATTCGTATTGCCTAGGCCTTTATTAATTCTTTTTTGCCTGCAATGGCCTGAGTAAAGTCAACGGAGGGCGCTTAAGTTCCAGACACCATCATTATAAAACAAATTTGTTCTTCAAATTCTCTTGATTTTATTATTATTTTTCCAAATTCAGATGACGGGAAACAACTGATCTTCAAAAGCAGCTACCTCACATCCACAGAAATGCTGCAGAGGTTTGGCACCCTGAATCTCCAGCGTGAGAAAGCCCTCGAACAGTCTGACGCAGGGAGGTAGCGCCTCAGCCAAGGAACCCGACTATAAGTGGGGGCGGGCTGACGTCATCCGATGAAAAGATCTTTTCATTTGCACACCGGTTTTCATCGGTTGCTATGTGTTGCCATTCAGCACTCCAGACTCAAGAAGCATTGAGTTTCAAGAACTTAAGTCTGGGAGCTAGATAAGCCAACGAACAAACTTCCCAGATGTCCGCGCCCACCTATTCAACTTTTGTATTTGTACATCATGTACGCATGGAAGAGTGCGCAAGTTTATGTTCGTGACGGGAGACCGAATTCCTTGTGAGAAATGGGTCATCAGTATTTGACAAAGATCAGCCATTTTTCAGCAAGCTCTCCATGTTTCTGTTTCCTGGGGCCTTCAGTTTTGGACCTATTTTCAATGAATATTTGCTAAATACAGGGCCAGTCAGAATGATCTGGACCCCAGTTCACCATTTTTTGTGGTGGCAAATAGAGTATATTGAGAACAAAAACTGAGTGCTTCTTATAAATGGTCATTACCTTGTCTTCCACAGGAATTTTTTTTTTGAATTTTTCAAATTAGTGGCTGTGGTGAGGAGTTATGCCATTTTCACTGAAGTGGCTCATTTTCCAGTCTGCACACGAAATTGGTTTTGCCTTTTTTAAATGTGTCAATAACTTCAAGTGAGTCAGTCATCATGACTAGTTTTTTTTTGTTTTTATACTGCTTCACATCAGTATGTGATTTCAATAAATTTGTTGAACCATGGAACCGTGGTCAGAGTGTTTTTTAGCGTGTGTTCTTTGCTAGTACTTTTCTTCAAAATGGTACGATGGATATACATGAAACTTTAACCAAATACGTCCAAAATACCAGCCTATAACATATCTCATTTGAACTTGATTTGATAATGGCTACATATTTTGAATATTTTCTTTATCTTGGGTCCAGATCATTCGGACTCGCCCTGTATCAGCAAAGTCTTGAGAAATTTTTATTTATATAAAGTGTGGCTTTTGAGGATTGGGTGGGACAGCTTCACCACACTGTGTGTTAAATAAAAAGGACATCAAATTTAAAAAATAATAGACTAACTAAGCATGTTATTGAAATAATTTATTGAACAGACCTTGTTTTACTGCAGTAAAATTACTTACATGTACATTGTATATATTACTGTTGCACAGCAGTTCAAAAGAACGTGAATAAAATTGTTGGTGAGGGAGTTGTGAGGAAATTAAAAAAAAAACATTTTGCCATTTGTCAGAGTTTTGTTTGAGTATATTGGTACAAACATGATATTTAGAAGTTATGGGACTTTTTTAAACAATTTTTCCAAGTTTGGTAATTATGTTGGCTGATTACATTTTGTTACCAAACATTTATTTTATCAATCCTCCGGAAAAAGAACAGCCACAAAAGTGGTCTAGCACCCAGACCTGGTTTTCACAATGTGAGTGGATGGTGTTACAGGGGCCAGACTTAGTTTACCAGGCGACAAGATGGCGCTGCCCATGACAGCATCAAGATTGGCCAGGCCAGCGGTTTTTCGATGTGTTGCCGCATCTTTAAATGTACGTTCTTTTAAAGTTGGTTGTATGACAAGTTAATTGACAATTAAATGACAGATTAATGGGAGAAATAAACAAGGTTGAAAAAGTTCAGTTTTTCCAAGGGAAGTCATGGACAAAATGGGAAAGAAAGTTGCAACCTAACGCTACTTTAGCAGTTGTGTACAAAGTCTATGGAGAGTCAAGAACTTTTTTCTAAGTAAAGTATTTCCTAACAAAATTGGAAATGTTTTTCAGTCCCAGATTCATGTCTTATCATCATTTTCAATGAGTGACCCTTATTGAGATGATATATGAAGAAAAAGCAGCATCATGGTCAAATGGTTGCAACATTCTTTCCTTTCAGTTTCAGTTTCATGCCTTTTAACTTTTAGTTCTATTTCTTGTCCTATTTTTTTTTCAAAATAAGGATTAAATATTAAATATTCATCCCCCCTCCACACACACACCTACGTAGGTATCAGCTCAACTCGGACCCACCTTCTTATCCCTAGTCCACGATTTCCTGTGTTTACATACAATGACATACTCACACACACATTGTGTTGAAACGAATATGGTGCCCCAGGCTTTTGCATTCAAGAATCATAATAAAACAAATGAAGAACCAAAAATTGTAAAAACGGAAGGCTGACACCTAAGTTTTTTTCCCCCAAAAATTTCCAGATCTGCTCTCATATTATAAAATGTAAAGATTACATCTGATCAAACTTTCATTAAAATTGGTAAACTTCAAATTCAATTTCAGTTGTTTTTTTAATGGCTATTGTACATTTCAGGATTTTCGCCTGTTTGATTCATGATAATCTTTCCAAGTTCCAATTTTTTTCTTCTTCAAAAGCAGCAGTATGGAGCAGCAGGTGCCAGACCACACAGACAGAATCTGTCCACTGGAGTCTCGGAGGCCAAGGATGTCGCATTTACCGTTAGAAGCCAAACTGAGCAAGGAGTCAGAACCATACTCCTGAATGATCCAAAAAGAAGGTATAAATATCCCTTGGACAGCTCCCGATGGTGGACTTTCCCAGCAGCAGATCAAGTATTTTTGAGAGGAGGGGTAGTTAAGGTGTTAAACCCTCAAAGGGCCAGGGTTGGGGCAGAATCCTCATCCCCCTCCACCCACGCCCATCTGTAACCCACCCCACCCCCACCCCCCCCCCCTCTCACAAATACCCACCCCCGTAACACCCCCACCCCCTGTAAATACCTACTTCCCCCATAACACTCCCCCCTCCTCCATCCAGCAGTTCCCGTACACATATTGCAGCCACTGCCAGAAACACCGGGGCAAACCCCTTCTCTTAGCGATAAGTGTTACTGGGTTCTTTAACGTGCATTACACAAAACACGGGACCTACGGCTTTACATCCCATCCCAAGGACGAAGCAATAATGGTAAAGTGCCTTGCTCAGGAGCACAAGGGCCATGTTCCCCGTCAGGATTCAAACCCGGCATGGCACGGCACACGAGTCGAACACCATAACCATTGGACCTCAGCCCCCCTTCTTTCATTGGTCAATATTCAGATGCATAGTGAGAATAAAAGAAGCTACCCTACACACGCACTGCACGTATTACCATACCTCATACATATTCATGAGCGCGAGCCAAAGCCTAATTGCCTCGCAAACTATTTTATCATCTTCTAATACCTCGGGAGCTAATACCAACTGTCCACTCTCAGACTGTGGCATATTTGTGCACTACATCCCAACAGCTGGGGCCAGTAAATATTTGTGCATTACTTCCCCTCCAAACCATGTCGTATTTGTATTATACAATCTAATTCAAGGATTCAAAAACTTGTAGGCACGTGTGGTCTAGCGGTGGAGCACAAGATTCATGATCGTGAGGTTGTGGGTTCGAGCCCCGTGCCATGGCCATGCGTGTTGTGCCCTTGAGTAAGGCACTTCACCTCAATTACTTATACCCCGCAAGATTTGAGACCAAAAATTTTTGCACTATGTGCGTGTAGATACACTACACCCTACACCAATAAAGCGCCCTCACAAGGCAGCAGGGATGAAGCTAGATTGATCACGGACAACCTGCTTATGACGTGACATATCTTTAATATGGAAGCATGCGCATTGGTCATGTACGTAATTCCAGAACACACAGTTCAATATCCAATCGTGTACCCTCTCTTACGGTCACATGCACACAAAAAGATCTACACTGTCTACACGGTGCTAAAGAGGTCTACAGCATCTACACAGTGCTAAAGAGGTCTATACACTATCTACACAGTGGTTAAGAGATCTACAGCATCTACACAGTGCTAATGAGGTCTACAGCATCTACACAGTGCTAAAGAGATCTACAGCATCTACACAGTGGTTAAGAGGTCTACAGCATCTACACAGTGGTTAAGAAGTCTACAGCATCTACACAGTGGTTATGAGATCTACAGCATCTACACAGTGCTTAAGAGGTCTACAGCATCTACACAGTGGTTAAGAGGTCTACAGCATCTACACAGTGCTAAAAAGGTCTACAGCATCTACACAGTGGTTAAGAGATCTACAGCATCTACACAGTGCTTAAGAGGTCTACACTATCTACACAGTGCTAAAAAGGTCTACAGCATCTACACAGTGGTTAAGAGGTCTACAGCATCTACACAGTGGTTAAGAAGTCTACAGCATCTACACAGTGGTTATGAGATCTACAGCATCTACACAGTGCTTAAGAGGTCTACAGCATCTACACAGTGGTTAAGAGGTCTACAGCATCTACACAGTGCTAAAAAGGTCTACAGCATCTACACAGTGGTTAAGAGATCTACAGCATCTACACAGTGGTTAAGAGGTCTACAGCATCTACACAGTGGTTAAGAGGTCTACAGCATCTACACAGTGGTTAAGAGGTCTACAGCATCTACACAGTGCTAAAAAGGTCTACAGCATCTACACAGTGGTTAAGAGATCTAAAGCATCTACACAGTGGTTAAGAGGTCTACAGCATCTACACAGTGGTTAAGAAGTCTACAGCATCTACACAGTGGTTAAGAAGTCTACAGCATCTACACAGTGGTTAGGAGATCTACAGCATCTACACAGTGCTTAAGAGGTCTACAGCATCTACACAGTGCTTAAGAGGTCTACAGCATCTACACAGTGGTTAAGAGGTCTACAGCATCTACACAGTGCTAAAGAGGTCTACAGCATCTACACAGTGCTAAAGAGGTCTACAGCATCTACACAGTGGTTAAGAGGTCTACAGCATCTACACAGTGCTAAAGAGATCTACAGCATCTACACAGTGGTTAAGAGGTCTACAGCATCTACACAGTGGTTAAGAAGTGTACAGCATCTACACAGTGCTAAAGAGGTCTACAGCATCTACACAGTGGTTAAGAGGTCTACAGCATCTACACAGTGCTAAAGAGGTCTACAGCATCTACACAGTGGTTAAGAAGTCTACAGCATCTACACAGTGGTTAAGAAGTCTACAGCATCTACACAGTGGTTAAGAGGTCTACACTATCTACACAGTGCTAAAGAGGTCTACAGCATCTACACAGTGCTAAAGAGGTCTACAGCATCTACACAGTGGTTAAGAAGTCTACAGCATCTACACAGTGCTTAAGAGGTCTACAGCATCTACACAGTGCTTAAGAGGTCTACAGCATCTACACAGTGGTTAAGAGGTCTACAGCATCTACACAGTGCTAAAGAGGTCTACAGCATCTACACAGTGGTTAAGAAGTCTACAGCATCTACACAGTGGTTAAGAAGTCTACAGCATCTACACAGTGGTTAAGAGGTCTACACTATCTACACAGTGCTAAAGAGGTCTACAGCATCTACACAGTGCTAAAGAGGTCTACAGCATCTACACAGTGGTTAAGAAGTGTACAGCATCTACACAGTGGTTAAGAAGTCTACAGCATCTACACAGTGGTTAAGAAGTCTACAGCATCTACACAGTGGTTAAGAAGTCTACAGCATCTACACAGTGGTTAAGAGGTCTACAGCATCTACACAGTGCTTAAGAGGTCTACAGCATCTACACAGTGGTTAAGAAGTCTACAGCATCTACACAGTGCTAAAGAGGTCTACAGCATCTACACAGTGCTTAAGAGGTCTACAGCATCTACACAGTGCTTAAGAGGTCTACAGCATCTACACAGTGGTTAAGAGATCTACAGCATCTACACAGTGCTAAAGAGATCTACAGCATCTACACAGTGGTTAAGAGGTCTACAGCATCTACACAGTGCTAAAGAGGGCTACAGCATATGGTATCCGGTCAACTCGGACCCAAATCAACTAAACTCATGCCAACTCAGACCCACGCCAACTCGGACCCACGCAAACTCGGACCCACTACCAATTCAGACCACTACCAATTCGGACCCACGGCCAACCTGGAACCACTACCATTTCGGACCCAAGCACGACCAACTCTGACCCAACGATGATTCAATCATTAGTTTAGGGATTATAGGTCATCTTACAGTGTCGGATGTATTCTGTATTATATTCGGCTTTTATTGTTTTCTTTTGCCGTCGCTGAGCGGTACTTTATGATGTGTATGGAAGTTGTTGCTAAACGCTTATCGTTTTGAACGTCATGAAACTCAACGTGCTTAGCTTTTCGAAACCGTGACTTAACCATGGCGGGAATATCTGTATATGAAGCTAAACCAAGAGATGTGTACGTACATGTAAAGCAGGTTAGGCCCAAAGATTAGGCCTACCATATATCATTTTGTACAGGCTGGTACGGTATATGTTTTAAGGAGCGTCCCGCCAAAGTTGAAATTAATTAGTTGATTACTTGTCATGGGCTGTTTTTGTTGTGTGATGATTCATTGGAAAGCTCATTACTAAAAAATTATCAACTTAATTTGAAAATGTTTGTTCAAGGTGTTTTCACCCAACAAAACATGTATACATGTACACCAACTTTAAATCCCTTTAAAGCCTGGTTCCTTACAAAATGGTAACCTTAAGCCTGTTGAAGCAAAACATTATGTAACTGTAATCGATTAAGAGCACAAAATCATATTTTTCGTTGTGACTGTTGGTCCGCCATGTTGGGGTATTTAATTTTGACTAGGCGGTTGTAATTAAGTTCGATATGTTTGAAGACACTGCCGCACTTATGCCATGCTAACGTAACACTAAATCAATTTTATTCGACACGGCATAAGCACATTTGAAAGAGGCCTTACCAAATTGTTTATATTTTTGATCTGTGATGAACGGTAACCTGCTCGCATCCAATTACAGATGTGCACAATGTAGACCTACATATATCTTTGATATACATTGTACGATCACTACGACGAACGGTAACCTACACATTTGTTGTTATTTTAGGATGTGAAACAAATGGCAACCGAACAGTATTTTTTATGTACTACGAGGCAGTGAACATGTTTCAGTGAGGTCAGAGGATGTTTTTCATTTGAAATTACTATTTAGGCAAAAAAGTAATTGACTATTGTTTTTATTCACATGCTTACTTTGATTTTTGTTCTTTTAACTTTTTATACTTATATATAGATTCATATGGAACCTTCGTTTTTCTTATAAAGTGTATGCAGTGGTGTTGATGTATCTTTTAAATCAAACGTTTTTTTATTTTTTTCATATTTTTTTGGCACTTGGAAATGGCACGTTTCTTTTATTCAAACTGTAAGGTAGTTTTATAGTTATTTATATTATTTGTTACCCATCTAGGCTTTTAATTTCATATTCAAAATATGCTGACTTTTGTTGGTGTTTTGAAGTTGCTTATCGTTTAGATCCGTGAATGGTTTATATCTTATATTTTATTTATTGACTTTAGTTTTATCCAGTATTATATACAAATGAATAATGTTTTGTTTGCAAGTGTTTATATTTGAATGTTCATGCTTTCCGATTTTATTTTTCTATGAAGATCTGTGCTGGATGTGTTAATTTCGTTACGTATAAAGTTTGGATTAAAAATGAAATAACATGAGAAAAATGGCATGAACGATATCACTTAACATGTGTTAATTTTTAAAAAAAATTAATAAATAATAAAATACAATTTTAGTAAAAGTTTTACTAGAGTTATCGCATTACAATTACAATGAAAAATTATACCATAGAGCAAGGACCCAGCATCACTGTAACACATGTAACTTGATACGGAATGGGGAATGTTTGAAAACGTGCATAATGAGTCCGAGTTGGTTGTGGGTCCGATTTGGTAGTGGGTCTGAATTGGCATGGGTCCGAGTTGGCTTGGGTCCGATACGTACACAGTGCTAAAGAGATGTTGAAGACCCCTTTAGCATTATGTAGATAGTGTAGACCTCTTTAGCACTGTGTAGATGCTGTAGATCTATTTAGCACTGTGTAGATAGTGTAGACCTCTTAACCACTGTGTAGATGCTGTAGACTTCTTAACCACTGTGTAGATGCTGTAGACCTCTTTAGCACTGTGTAGATGCTGTAGATCTATTTAGCACTGTGTAGATAGTGTAGACCTCTTAAGCACTGTGTAGATGCTGTAGACCTCTTAACCACTGTGTAGATGCTGTAGACCTCTTAACCACTGTGTAGATGATGTAGACCTCTTAACCACTGTGTAGATGCTGTAGACCTCTTAACCACTGTGTAGATGCTGTAGACCTCTTAACCACTGTGTAGATGCTGTAGACCTCTTAACCACTGTGTAGATGATGTAGACCTCTTAACCACTGTGTACACATGTAGATGATGTAGACCTCCTTAGCACTGTGTCTATGCTGTAGACATCAAAGCTCTGGCACTGTGGCAGAAACTAGTTCCAATCATGGAGCTGTGTTTTAAAGCTCCATGTTCCCATTAATATTATATTGAGGGATGTTTCGCATGCTCAGTATGTGTAGCGTGTAGTGTATCTACACGACGTGCGGTCTGTGAAAAGTGTGTAGCGTGTAGTGTATCTACATGACGTACGGTCTGTGAACCTGGTCTCAAATGTTGCATCATATGACTGTTCCTGTTAAAACAGGTTCGTCTCCTTTACCTCTACCTTTTTCAACAACTTACTTGAATTTTTCATCTCAGGAATGCCCTGTCGCTGGACATGCTGCAGAGCCTGAAGGAGGATCTCATGCACCAAGTTGGCGGCGAGGATCTGCGAGCCATCGTCATAGCGTCGTCGGGACCGGTCTTCTCATCCGGCCACAACCTGAAAGAACTGGCAAGTATCGAGGGACCGTTCCACATTTGGCCATAAGACCCGCCCACTTTTCATTAATTAGCCTCATGCATATTCACAACCAAGTGCACTTATTTCATTGGTCAAGGTTCAAGAGTTGCATATTGTGAGTGATTGTGACTGAGTTTGACCGAGCTTCCGTGGTCACCTGACCAAAATGTCGTAATCTGATTGGTCAGTGCGCACTGTCTGATTGACTGGCATTGAAAAGTCGGTTCGTAGTAAAGAGTTGAGAGTTCTACAGTTTGAGTCCAGCCTGGGGTTTTGGTGTATGTGTGTCCTTGGGCAAGGCACTTTGTCACAATTGCTTCTCCCCACCTAGGAGTAAATGGATACCAGTGCCTGTGACAGCAGGGTCAGATGTTGAGTTTGATTTTGTACCTCTGAGGCGACATCGAGCTGTATACTCCCCAAGGAGCTGAGAGCCTGAAATGGTCTTCAGTATTTTTGTCATTTGCCCGATGAGCAGGGGTAATAATAATAATGTACTGCTCCAGTTTGGTAGAAAAATTGTGTGCTTTACACATTTGAGCAACTACATAGCTAAAACAAAGTTTTTCGAACAATTTTACAGACCACAGAGCATGGCAGAGACTTTCAATACCAAGTCATGAAGACGTGTAGTCAGGTCATGATGCTAGTACAGGACATGCCGGTGCCAGTCATAGCCCAGGTGCAAGGTAGGTTGGGTACCAGACCTTGAGAATTCAAACTATGAGACCCTATCCACAATGGACATTTTTTAATGGCTGTGACTGTTCATCATAGCATGTAAATGACAAACAATTAAGGCGTAGTCACTAAAATATACTTGACAGACAATTTTTATTCTAAATCGGGAGAAATTTGATCACAGAATGTTAGGAAAGGTGTTATGTTTTTTTATTTGGTTTACTCAAGTTCAGAAAGGGAAAAAGCTTTCCAAAACTTGTTTAGATTATTTTTTTTTAGGCCAAAACAAAAAAGTAGTCGGTCTCTGGTCAGCGCGCGCGTCGATTTTAATCATGCGCGTCAACCTTTTTTTTTTCCAAAATGTTCCGCGGTAGCTCCAACAGCGCCCTCTATTGCTGCACCTCCTCAATTTCTTTTACCAAAGAGCACCAAGGAATGGGAAATACCACCAAGGCAAATGATCGAGAGCACCAAGGCAAATTATGGAGGACACCAATGTACATGAGGACACCAAAAAAAGCAAAATAGTACCCCACCTTGTCTGTACAATCAAAGCTTGAAAAAAAAAAAAGCAAAAAAAAAAAAAAAAAGCCGCGTCGCCGCATCAATTCCGGAACTTTGGTCTGACCAGAGACCGAATATTTTCGGGGGGGGGGGGGGGGGGGGGGGCTTTATTCCTATTTTTTTAATCTCTTTTTTTTGTAGGATTGGCGACTGCCGCTGGTTGTCAACTGGTAGCTAGCTGTGACATCGCCGTCGCCTCTGAGAATGCCAGATTTGCAACGCCGGGGTAAGAGAAGATGTGCTGTGAAATTGTTTCTCCAGATTTTAAAATCTAAAATCGGGAACTTCAGCTGCAGTATATTTTTGCTCCAATTTACCTGAATTCATAAGAAAGCCTGAAGATACTTTTGGACTGTAAGTTGTACGGATTCATTTTCTTGCTGATCCGTGCTTTAATTTGTTGTTACAGTGTTAATGTTGTTCACAAAACAGTTTGTTTAATATAAAAAAATGATGAATGAATAAAAGAATGCATAAGTTTACAAAAATGTTCTTGAAAATAGAAGTATACTGTTTCAAACTTGCATCTTAGAGTCGTGCCAAATTAAATTATTCTGAAGAGTAGAACAAGTTTGTTTTTTAAACAATTAAGAGCGACTATACATGCAAGATTTATTTTAACACTGGTTCAAAATGACTCCAGAGTCCCATCAATGGAAAATCATTAAACTTGCCCATCTGAAATTAAATTTTATTTAGTGATGTTACTTTAATTACATTTTGGTTGGGCATAACTCTGGAACGCTACTTGAAACGGATATTACTTGACTGAATTGTGGTGTGTTTCCTTTTTTTCAGAGTGAATATTGGACTCTTCTGTTCAACGCCTGGGGTGGCTCTCGGCAGGGCGGTGCCCAGGAAACTAGCCATGGAGATGCTGTTCACTGGAGAGCCCATCTCAGCCGATGGTAAGAATTAAGAATTTGATAAGATGATCAATAAGACAATTATTGATTGGTTGATCAATAAAGTAATTGATTGATTATTGATTGACCACGATTGATTGGTTGATGCATCAATCGATTGATGATAATCGATTGATTGATCACGATTGGTTGATTGGTCCATCAACTGAGTGATGGATCATGATTGATTTATAAGTCAATCCGTCAATTGAGTTATCAATAGATTGATCCTGAGTGATTTATTGATCAATCAATTATTGATTAAGTAATTGGTTGAGATTGATGATTTACCAATTGATTATTGGATGGATTAATCAGATACAAAAAGTAAAATGTTAAACCTGTGGCAGACTGTGTTATTGATTGGTTATTTGGAAACCCATCAATTAATTGATTTATTGGGAGATTAATGCATTATTGCATGTATTGATTTTTGATCTGATGGAAGCAATTATTTAATTGACTAATTTAGAAAGAAACTGACTCATTAATACTTGCACTTTTTTGATCGTAAAAATGAATTAATTGAACAATTAATTGGGAAATTGGGAAAGATTTCCATATACGAAGTTCACTCAACACCCTGTGTACAAACCCTATGAGATTGGACTGAAAAATTCTAAGTGTTTTCTAAGAAAATGCTTGTATTTTCTCACTGCTCAAATTGACTTTGATGACATGAAATTGCTATCTGGGGGCTTGTTAGTCAATACAGAGGAAAATTAGTGAACTTCGTATATGGAAATCTTTCCGGAAATTGATTTCTAAATTGATTGATTGAATACCTGTATTTCATTCTAAAATAAAACAAATTGTAATTGTGGAGTTCTTCTCTTCATTGATTGGCTAGCCGACTGTAATATTATTATTTCTAAATGCGTGAATTCAGGAGTAATTTGTTACCGATTCCTTAATGCACTGATCAATGACATACTGACTACGTACTTACTGCTGCACTTGACCATCAGTGGGTTGTAGTGACCTCCAACCTCCCTGGTCAAGGGCAAGAGACCAGCACTCGATTGGTGACAGCTGCACAGCATCCACAACCTGCTTAAGCCAGGTAAGCCGGGGACAACCACGAGGCCTGGTCCAGGTGGCAGGCCGTTGCCAAAAAAGGTAGAACTGGATGGCAGCATCAAGGGCAAGACGAGCAGGGGCAGTAGCTTGGAGGCGCCGAACGTGATCACAAAGGGTGTGTCGCCTCCCTGAGATCTCAGACAAAATGCTGCCAATCCCCAAACGCTGTTGGATGATTGCATTAGAAATGAAGTCGAACCATCGGATTCCAAGTATGCAATGCTGACACCGCATGTGGAAGCCTTGAATGCGTTCAAGTGATCAATTTCTGATCAATTTTGTCTTGCAGTTGCCTTGAAGCACGGCCTGGTCAGCAAAGTCGTCCCACACGACTCACTGGAGGAGGAAACCAACAAACTAACAGACAAGATCTGCACGGCCAGCCGGTCGGTCATAGCCCTGGGCAAGGCGTGCTTCAACAGCCAGATGAAGAAGACGAGAGCGGAGGCATATGGGTAATGAATGACTCGCACATTCTTGTCTACTTGTCAAGTCTATAGACGAACCCCCGGACGAGATCACTGTACACTCACGTGGCCCCCTTCAATGGAGAAACCATTGTGTATGCTATTGTACAAAGCAACTGCTCCATGATGGATTATCTGAACAATAGCTAGCACAATGCTTCCGCCATTCAAGGGGGCCTTCATGGTGGAATTGGTAGCGTGTCCGACTGTCCGGGATTGACTTTAGCAAGAATCTGACTTGACTTGACAAAATTACCTTGTTTACCCTAATGACTTAACTCCACTCGCTGAATTTCGTGACTCGAGTCGGGTCACGAAACTCATTGACTCGATACGAGACTGCAAACCTAACAATCCATACCACCACTCGGTTATCTTAGAGCAAAACTCTTTCTTTGCTTCTTACAGGCAAGCTAGCGAGGTGATGGTGCAGAATCTTGGCCTCGTTGACGGGCAGGAAGGAATCCAGGCGTTCATTGAGAAACGCAAACCGGTCTGGACACACAACTTTGACAAAGTATAGGAAAAGTAAGGTCTGAGAACAGCAGTGAAGTCTAGTTAGTCTATCACAAGTCCTGTCAGAAGTAAATCATCCTTCCATTCACAAGTCCATCACAAGTCCATCACAAGTCATCACAAGTCATCACAAGTCCATCACGAGTCATCACAAGTCATCACAAGTCCATCACAAGTCATCACAAGTCAACACAAGCACATCACAAGTCATCACAAGTCCATCACAAGTCCATCACAAGTCATCACAAGTCAACACAAGCACATCACAAGTCATCACAAGCCCATCACAAGTCATCACAAGTTAACACAAGTCAACACAAGTCAACACAAGTCATCACAAGCCCATCACAAGTCATCACAAGTCCATCACAAGTCATCACAAGCACATCACAAGTCATCACAAGTCCATCACAAGTCCATCACAAGTCCAGTCTTATGATGGACTTGTGATAGGCTTGTGAGTCTTTTGTGATGGACTTGTGATTGACTTGTGATGGACTTGTGATGACTTGTGATGGGCTTGTGATTTACTTGTGATGGGCTTGTGATGGACTTGCGATGGCCTTGTGATGGACTTGTGATGGACTTGTGATCACCTTGTGATAGAATTGTGATTGGCTTGTGATGGAATTGTGATTGGCTTGTGATGGAATTGTGATTGGCTTGTGATGGAATTGTGATTGGCTTGTGATGGAATTGTGATTGGCTTGTGATGGAATTGTGATTGGCTTGTGATGGAATTGTGATTGGCTTGTGATGGAATTGTGATTGGCTTGTGATGGAATTGTGATTGGCTTGTGATGGAATTATGATTGGCTTGTGATGGACTTGTCATGGACTTGACTACTGCAAACTTATCAAACTAACCCAGATTGTTTTTAATGAAAAGATTGCATATAAATATATATATATTTTTTAAGAAAATTGTATCAATGTTAATATGATTAATCCGAAGAATGGATCAAGCTACGTTTCTGCTTATCACCTACGTACTCAAAAAATTGAAATTTTTAGGTTGAATTACGACAGGGTATTACTGCACATTGTGTGACAGATCAAGGGACTGTTTCAAGTCTATTTTCTCTCTGATCACTGGCTGACATTTTTGCGTCTTTAAAATTTGTCTAATTAATTCCTTTTAATTGCTATACGTTTCATCACCTATCAAAGTTTGCAGTGCCAAACATTTTTTTCTTCAAAATTATAAAAACCATAAATTAACCAATAAAACAATTTTCTATTAGGCCAAGTAAAAAATAAACCAATTTCCTCGTCTCCGCTTGCTTCCTTTTTCTGGCCCACCTTTTTTGTTTTCTTTTTTTTAATTCATACATTTACAATATATTTTGCGCATATATTGTCAATAAATTGTCTTTTTAATTTTTCCCAACAAAATTGTAGCTATGTAGAAGGGTTAAGGCTCCTTTGGACTCAATAATTGTGATGCGATCAAGCTAAATCAGTCGTTTGTCGGCAATTATGATTCCAAGATACAGCCCAAAATAGGTCACTAGGGGTGGAAATTTCAAAAATGACTCTTTTGTAAAATCGGAAGGCTACATATGTCCTCTTTCATGTCAGCTAATTTTTTCCGAGGAAAACTCAAAATAAAGTAGTTAAAATGTGACATTTATGCTAAGGAGTTAAATAACCTGAAATAAAGCATGTTTATTGTTGCTTAATGAGCACTTCAATTTTGAATCGTTGATTTCTCTGTTTAAATTCTCTGTTTTCTTCTTTCTGATCTGCCTGTGTTCTAAGTCCCATAACTTCTTAACGGAAGGTGGTATTCACCTGGGATTTTCACCAAATATAAATTGAAAGATAGCCCTATTCAAAAATGTAAAAAAAACACCAAAATTCGTTAAGGGCCGACAAATGACTCATTTAGCTTGATCGCATCACAATTTTGCATTAGCAAAAGAGTCGAGAAAATGAAATAATCCATCTGCCTCTTTGATTTTTTTAAAAAGCCCGGATGAAAACTCCATTTTACTCGGCCTTAGGCTATAAAGATTATACTTGATCTTTCCTCAGGGTCAGGCCCTTGCCTTATCTTCTTCTTGGGGGGGTAAAAATGATCTTGGTGTTCAGGTGGAACACGTCCTAATTTTTTTTTTCATTTATGAAAAGCTTTTACCCATAATTTGCATTCATTTGCTTTTTAACAAGGAAATTTGAAAACAAAAACTGACAACACAAATGTTAGTTTCTTTATTCCATCATCAATTTATTTTTCAATTTTTGTTACAAATTTATGATTTTCTTTGGTAAAATTTAAAACTCCAATTTATTTTGAATCTTCTTTATCGGATTCGTTCCCTGCTACAAGAAATGTTATGGACGCAATCATGTATACGTTAGCTTTTAATTTTTTTTTTTTCACAAAATATTTCTGTTTAGCTTATTGCATATTTTGCGTTTTTAAAAAGGTGTGAAATTAAATGATCAGTATTAACTAAATATCAGAGTAGTCTATGGGTATTTGTGTGCTTATTGCAGAATTATTTTAATCTTCTAAAAACTTTTATTGGGAAATTAGCGCTGTTCTTTTCTGTGTAATTTTGTAAAAATATACTGATTTTTTAACAAGTTTTGTCCCTAAATTTTATATACATGTATATGTGCATAAGTATTTTTAAAACACAAGGGGAAAAACTCGTTTGTGAAACGTACGTAATTACAAAAACATTAAACAAATGTGGTTTTCTTTACTCTTTTGGTTACAGTAAATGTTTTGTTAAACTTGTATCAATGTATTCAACCTCTTGCGCAGTGCCAGAATTCTAGGCTGAAAAAGTTTTACAAAATGTACAAAAATATTTTTTGGGTTAAACAATGTACAGTTATTGGAAACGGCATCCTATATTGGCTTTAGGTATGGTATAGGCCTACTACGTGCAAAAATCATACAAAAGACACAAAAAGGCAACATAAAATAGTGAACAAAAATCTGTTTGGAGTAACGCTTGTGTAAATGGTTTTTAAAAATATCTTTGCTGTTTAACCAGTTCCCGTTGGATGACGTGTATACACGCAAAGGTTTTGCGGTATTTGGAACGGATGACGGATAAACATGCAACGAGCGAGTTTGGAAATATCTGTTTGCGACCTGCTCGCAGCGAGTGAGGCTGGAAATTTCAGGGTGTGCTACCTGCAGATGACGGCCTGAACCCGTCTGGCGTTGAGGTTCGTGAAAAATAATCACGTCCCTGGGTCCGGTCAATGTTGAAATAATCCCGGCGCAAACTGGTTAATAAAAAAAAAACTTTGAAAAAAGTAGACAATTTTCAGCTAATACAGGTTTCGCAAGCATAAGCAATGAGCACAGCAAAGAACACACTAGAGAGACAGAATTTTCTTATAATAGTGCTGCAATAAAAAATAAAAATATAAAAACAAACACAAAAACGGGCCAGTCTTTAACAAGAATAATGGTGCTCTTCATAATACCTAGTTTGTACTTGCATTGTACAACAAAGTTGTATAGCAATCATGAGCATATTGCCATTTGCGAATATCCTATACCTTTGCGAGTTACATTTGAATAACATCTGATACACTGACTTGCCCATTAATGCTTGGCGCGTTTTCACTTTGAATTCTCCAGACCAAAGACAATGTTGCTATATCACATGATTCGGGGCAAGCTCTTGCATAGTTACGTAAGAGACGCTCAGCATCAATACATTGCTCACTATGGATGAGAATGGCACAAAGACACAAGACCATGCCGGAGCTGGGGGTTGCTAGCATAAGGCTTGCCCCGAATCACGTGATATAGCAACAGTCTCTTTGGTCTGGAGAATTCAAAGTTAAAATGTGCCAAGCATTTGAGTAAGTCAGTGAACCAGATACTCAAATTTAATTCGCAAATGGCTTAATCAGAAGTTAAACTGCCAATGGGATGTAGAATGCAAATTCAGAAAAGAAAGTAATAATTATTCTTTGTGTACAAAATGTTGCCAAACCCTGTGTATGCTTATAGCAAAATACCTAAGATATATCAAATCCACAAACTCATATGGTAATATACAGCCTTATTTTGGATATGACACAGCATGACATCAACAGCACAAAAACCAATAAAACATGAGCGCTCTTTTAAAACAAAACCTATGCCATACACATGTGTACATGTTGCATATACATGTATGAATTCATTTAGTAAAAATATTCGTTTTAGTTTAATTAGTACATGTACAATAGACCTGAGGTATATATCGAAAAAAGCACACTAAAACTGCAGCAATAGTCATGAATTAAAGTTTTTTACAAATGATCATTTGAAATGGAAATCATCGCCGAAATCATAGTTAGAGAATTACAAGTGTTTAAAGTCCAATCAATAAAATATAAACAAATATGTTATAAAGGTAAAATACCAAAAAAAATAATAATAATTAGGAAGATACCGGTATAATGCTTGACTTTTGATATCTGTGCATGTTAACAATGGGAAATATGTGAGCTATTCTTTTGGGACTAACTCCTTTCTCAATAATCAGAAAAGGATACAAGTGAATGGCGTGGGAAAATCCATGTAAGTGGAAACAATATTTTGTGCATCTGGAAAGGCTAGATTGTGAATTAATAGAATCAATGAATGCATTAGGATCATTTATGCCCTGGCTCACAGCAACCTGCTTCTACTGCTTTGACCTTTAAGCCCCTCCCTTCCCAACTGGCCCCTCCCCATCCACAATTGACCCCTCCCTAATTGCCTCCAACTGTTCGTTCTCCATCCTCCAATTGGACCAACTGGTCTCTCCCCATCCTTCCTAAACTGGGCCCCTTCAACTGTTTCCTCTCCTAATTGGCCAACCCCTCTTTCCATTAAGACCCCTCCTTCCATTAATCTCCTCCCCCAATTTGCCCCTCCCCAAAAGGCCCCTCCCCTTAATTCTCTCAGTACCCTGACCGTGCCATCATGCTCTTTATTTTGCTACATGTAAATCATGCCATCAGCCTCCTTCCATTAAGACCCCTCCTTCCATTAAGCTCCTCCCCCAATTTGCCCCTCCCCAAAAGGCCCCTCCCCTTAATTCTCTCAGTACCCTGACCGTGCCCTCATGCTCTTTATTTTGCTACATGTAGTTCATGCCATCAGCCATCTTTTCAAACTCCCCTATCACTGGCTCTGTCCTTTTTTTCTAATGCCAGGATCTCCAACACCCCTCCCCACCCAAGTTGGCCCCTCCCCCAATTAGTCCCTCCCCACAATTGGCCTCTTCCTCAATACTCCGCCGTCATGTTCTTAGAAAGGTTCTTCATGCTCTGAGCAATCTGTTCAAACTCCCCCATTTTTGGCTCTGGGTACTAGTAATACTTGGCTGCTTGATGTACAACCCTCGACCCCCTCCCCAATAGTCCCCTCCCCTTTCATCAATAAGCTCCTCCCTCAATACTCCGGTGTCAGCGACTGCACCATCCTGTTCTTTGACAAAATCTTCATGCTCTGAGCCATCTTTTCAAACCCCCCCCCCCTCCATTTCTGGCTCTTTAGGGTACTAGTAATACTTGGCTGCCTGATATACACCCCTCAACCCCCGCCCCAATAGTCCCCTCCCCTTTCATCAATAAGCTCCTCCCTCAATACTCCGGTGTCACTGACCGTGCCGTCATGCTCTTTGACAGATCTTCATGCTCTCGGCCATCTTTTCAAACTCCCCCCTTTTCTGGCTCTTTAGGTACTAGTAAATACTTGGCTGCTTGATATACACCCCTCAACCCCGCCCCAATAGTCCCCTCCCCTTTCATCAATAAGCTCCTCCCTCAATACTCCGGTGTCACTGACCGTGCCGTCATGCTCTTGGACAGATTCTTCATGCTCTCGGCCATCTTTTCAAACTCCCCCCATTTCTGGCTCTGTATGGTGCTCTCATGCTTGTTTCGGCGGTCCAGGTTGGCCAGGGTTCCCTCCATGGTGTGCAGGTGGTTCTGCATCCGTGTGGTCTCATGCTCTCGCTCTGAAACCTATAGAAGTGAAAAGAAAAACCTGCGTTGAAATCTCTTTTCTCTTTTACTTGTGAATGACTTGTGAATTGACTTGTGATGGACTTTTGATATGACTAGTGATTGACGGTGATCTGACTTATGATCACCTTATGACAGACTTGCGATTGACTTGTAATTAACTTATGACTCGCTTGTGATCAACTTCTGACTTGACTTGCACTTCTGATCTTACTTAATTTATCTTATCTTATTACTGACTTTTGCTTGACTTATATGATTGACCTGTGATTGAGTTTTGATTTGACTTGTGATTGTGATCTGACTTGTTATTGTGATCTGACTTATGATTATCTTACGACAGACCTGCGATTGACTTGCGATTGACTTACGACTCGCTTGTGATTGACTTTTGACTTGACTTTTGATTCTGATCTTACTTATGATTATCTTCTGACTGACTTATGATCGACTTATGATTGACCTGTGATTGACTTATAATTGTCTTATTTTGGACTTATGACTGACTTTTGATTGACTTGTGATTTACTCATGTTTGGCTTGTGACTGATTTATAATTGTCTCATATTGGACTTATGACTGACTTTGACTTGTGATCTGAAATATGATTGGCTTGTGATTGGTTTGCGATATGACCTCTGATGGTCACAGCTCTGATACGAACCTGTTTCTGTAGCTCAGAGACGTGGTCCACCAGCAGCATCTTATCCCTACGCAGCTGAGTGTTCTCCACCTCCACCCCAGACAGCCTGCCTTCCAGCTCAGCCAGCCTGCTGCGCAGGGTGTTCTGGCTCAGGCTAGACGTTGTCTGCTCCTGCTCCTGCTTGGCCAACTGTTTTAGAGAAAAAATAGGCAAGGCAAGAGTCTGTTAATGGTTAAAATGGAGAGCTGTGGCCTCGTGGTCTGGAGCATTGAATTCGTGGTCTGCGGGTAATTCTGCAAGTTGTGGGTTCAAGTCCAGCCTGGCGGATACGTGCGCTTTATAAATACACATCATAATTATTATTTTTAAAATCAGATGAGTGTTGGGTGGTCTTGTATTCAAACCTTCAAGGCCGGGCCTTGTCCATTGCCCTCTGCAGCACCAACTTGGCATATTAGTAGCTATGCCAATGGGCAATTCCACGGTTACTCACGTTACATTTTCGTAACGTGAGTAACCAATTTTGTGCGTCTTGTTTATCATACATAACACATTTTTCTGGATGTCATCTTTGGTGCTTAGGTAGGTCTAGGTCTACTCTATCTACCATGGGGATAACAGTTATTAAACCTTTTCAGTAAGGTAATTACAGCCCAAGGAAACTCAAAAGTACATCAAAAATGTAACGTGAGTAACCGTGGAATTGCCCCAATGCATATTATGTGACGTGATTAGTTCTCGGCCAATGACATTTCACAATTTAATACCAATTTCCTAATTGCAGCGCTGACTTATATCAGCACATTTGTATGTTGAGCAGATACGTACATGACATTGTCAAATGTGAGTAAAGCCGTATGGCTCAGCTTGACAGAGCTCCGAACACGTTACCAGCCAGAGTTTCATCTCGTAACTGGTTCCTAGGTGAGCTGAGTTTCGCTGTGTTAGAATAATTTTTAAGCAATTGGACCCAGAATGGTTCAGATTGAACAGTGTGACTGCCTGACTGACCTGGTTCATGAGGTGTTGCACCCGGTCCCGTTCGTACTTCAACTCTTCTTTGGTCTTGTCCAAGTCGTACTTGAGGTGCTTCTCCTTGTCGCGCACTGTCACCAGCTCGGTGATGTTGGAGGCGTGTCTGGTGTCCCGACTCTCTCTCAAGGTTCTCTCCTGTAAGGCAGAAACAAGGAACCAGTTTGCTATCAACATCTTGAACTTCTAGATATAAAAACGTTCACATTTTAGGATAAATGTTTGCTCTGCCAGGAATGTATGAAGTACAGACTCGGACATTTTTGTCTGAAATTTGGAGTACAAAGGAAAAGTATGCATGGAGGTGATATGTTACTTCAAAATATTCTTGACAATTTAATTTTTCATGTAAACCACAAAGGAAAACTGACTATGTGCATTATACTAATTTTAAAATTGATCAAAGACTGGAGCAGGGTTTGAACCTGCGACCTCCAGATTGCCGTTCCAGTGCTCTACCAACTGAGCTATCTAGCGCTGTGATGGCGGTTCCAAACTCACCCTGTCCAGCTGTTTCTGCAGTTCCAACACCTGGGTCCCCATCATCGCGTTCTCTTTGACTAAGCTGGCAATGTCGTCAGACATCTGTTCAGGAATTTTAAAGAGGAAACACAAATCATTCATTTCGCTTTGTGATGAAAAAATAAGATCGCTGTTGCATAGCTGCAATTTTTAACAAACTTGTTGAACGCATTATTGTTTAAAGCTATAGTCCATCATTTGCAGCCATCCGAAAAGTAACTGGCCTAATTATTGTTGAAAAACATACTTGGTTGAAAGATAGTAAGGAGACTAAACTCCCTGTGAAATTATTCTTTCTGGCAAGCTGTCATTTTGAAGTAATCAACGAAAGAAGGCCTTTCCAACGGTGCGTCTTAAGACGCACCGTAGGAAAATTAAATTAGTAGTTCGTTTTGTTGTTCGGCGAAGCGCGCGCAAGCATTGGCACGATGCACACGCGCACGCGGTCGCTATAATTCGTCGGATCAGTGCGCGACATCGCGTATAGCTGCAATCGGCTCAGTGAGAATGTGTCTCGGACGCTGAATTCAGGCCCAATTTAAAACATGATTCAGCAACTTTTGATTTGAAATAGAGATCCTGGAATGCTGTTTTCTCGGAATATACAGCTGAAGCTGAGCTGAAACTTCATCAGGTTAGTTGTTCAGTATCCTTCATTAGATAATGAACACTTTTGTTACTTCAAACGAACAAAATGCACAAATTACAAATGATGGACTATATCTTTAAAACAAAATTGACTTTTTTTACCTTGTTCTTCAAGTAGCGATCTTGCTGGGCATTTAGTTCCGTCTCCTTCATCTTATGCTGCATCAAACGAATCTCATTCTGTAGATACAATCATAATAGAGAGAAATTACATAGTGTATCAATGAGGTACGGTATTCGGGGTTACCGCAGAAATCTTAAAATGAAATTCTGTGACTTTTCCGTGTATTTTCCATGAATTTTCCCAAACAAACTTGTATAGAGCTTTCCATGACCAATTCCTACACTGTTTTGGCATCCTTAGGAGACTATTTACAATACACTGGCCAGTCATCACACTGAGGCAATAGAGATTGAAAGTTCACCCCTAGTGCATGCTTCCGGAACCCTTGAATAGGAAAATCACTGCTCAAAAATCCTTAACTTTGCAATTATTTTTGGTACTTTGATTTCTTCAGCAAATCACCCTCGAAAAAGGCCTTTCGTAAAATTGTTACTAGCATCGCAATTTACGGAAACTGACAAATCGCTTGACGTGAAAGAGAAATATCGTGCCAAAAATTGACCTCTCACTTCCGAAAATCTAAAATACATGCGGACTAGTGGAACTCGGTGCACTCGTACAAAGATAAAAATGTATGAAATAATTTTGTGATGGTCATTGGGTGAAAACTGAAACTTAAATAGGAGACTAAAATGTCTTTTAAGATATACAATCTTTTTGAATAAACTTGAAGGACTCGTTAGCATTTACAAAAAAATTCTAAAGTGACCGCTGATAAGGACTGTGTCATGAATGTGTCTTGGGGGGTGATTACAGTTCGAGATCATTCTGTCAGAAATTATAGCAAGAAAATCGGCAATGTAGTGTAAAATGCCCATATAGGCGGGCCACGCGAGGGGTCCGGAAGCTCGCTGCGTGACCTTTTACTTTCCGGCTCTATTGAGGGACACCATTCCCTTTCAGCCTTCCAGTTGAACACAAGACCACTGAGTTGTCGGTTAAGTCTACATACATGACCCTACCCTGAATTCTTCTACTGCCTTGTCCTGTATGGACGCCGTGCTGGAGTAATATCGATCCTCCATCTCCTGCAACTGAGTCTGCACCTTCAGAAGATCAGTCCGCTTGTCTTCCAACGCCAACTGGGTGTGTCTCAACTCATCTGACTTCTGGTCAACCTACGCAACAAATACAAGCAAAAATCACTATTGGTTTAGCTCTTGACCTTCATGATGCCGGTTGAAGCCAGTTGAAACCGGTTAAAACCGGTTTCTACTGGCTTCAACCGGCTTCAACCAGTTAAAACCAGTTTCTACTGGTTACTGTTTCTACTGGCATATTGATTCAGCTCTTGACCTTCATGATGCCGGTTGAAGCCATTTGAAACCGATTAAAACCGGTTTTAACCGGTTTCAACTGGCTTCAACCGGTTAAAACTGGTTTGTACTGGAATGTTCACCTGGGATATCATAGGTGTAGTTCTATTACCTGTGCAGTCAGAATCCGGATTTTCTGCTCCGCGCTCGTCAGCGACGTGCTTCCTCTGTCCAGTTCCTTCCTCGCGTCAAAGATCTGCTCCTCTTTCTGCGCAATCTCCCTCATCGTCATCTCGTTCTGCTTCTTGAGCTGGACGATTTCCTCCACCAGTAGTTTCTTCTCTCGGTTGTGGGTATCTAGACCAAGACGATTTCAAACACAAGAAGATAAAATTTAAAACCTTGTCACCTAATGCGTCCACACTAGTCAGATTGCAGAGTTGTAACTTGGCCAATCAAAAGCAAATCACAAGCCAATCACAAGTCAAATCACAAGTCATATCACAAGGTAAATACAGATTCATATTTGGCGCAACAGTGAATATTGTGGCAAAGACTGTATCCATCACATGTCCATCACATGTCCATCACATGTCCATCACAAGTCCACCACAAGTCCATCACAAGTCCAGAGATGCCAACTTTACAGAATACAAAATAGTAATGATTCTTCCTGCAAAGAGTAATGCTAATGTAAATACATGGGACAACAGTCAAGTTTAAGAGTAACCACAGTACTTTTCAGGGTAACCACAATGTTGGCGTATAGGACAGCTGGAATTTTCAAGAGTAGTAACATGCCTCAAAATCCTAATAATTACTCCAAAAGAGTAATGGTTGGCATCTCTGCAAGTCCATCACAAGTCCATCACAAGTCCATCACAAGTCCATCACAAGTCCATCACATGTCCATCACATGTCCATCACAAGTCCATCACAAGTTATCCCCAGTTACTTGTGACTGTGAACTGACTTGTGATTTACATGCAATGCGATGGACTTGTGATCCATCACAAGTACCTCAACTGCAACGCTATCTATTTCTCTTTAGCATACTCAAACGAATGACACAAAGGAAATCTCTGGGGTGTTGAGGACTCACCCTGAAGCAGTCTGAGTCTTCCGTCCAGTCGTTCCTTCTCCGTGTTCACCATGTCCAGGTTGGATTCCTTACGCTTGATGTCTAGGTGCATGCTGTCCACATCGGCTTGCAATTCCTGAAAGAGTCAGTGATGAGATCCCACAAAAAGAGCCTTTTAAGGACATTTTGTTTTACTCCGTTGTTTTTAACATGCTTTAGAAAAGATCATCTCTTCTCTTTGGCATTTGCAAGAGCTATCAGCAATGATTCACTGCTTTCAGTTACTTCTCTAGAGTAAGCAAACTAGTAAAAAAAAAATTAGAAAACAATTCACCTTGAGTGCGTCTAGCATCCTGCTTGCCTCTTCTGTCATCCTGGGCTGCAGGGTGGTAGCCTTCCTGGCATGGTCCCGCGTAAGAATGGTCCAGTCAAGGAATCTTCATGGATAAAATGTTTGTGCTCAACACAGAAAGTTTACCTCGATGGGATATTTTTTTTTGGAAAAAAAAAGTTCTCTGGATGAGTCCCAGTACCCGTTTGCCAGGTTTGCTGCACTGCTTATGTTGCTAGCATCATGACTTTGGGCGTGATCCCTGGCTATTTACCAGTTTGTAGCTTCTGACTATCGCCCTCTTTACAGAAAAAAACACACTGACAAATTTGCAAGTCCTAGATGGTGGTTTCGAATCGTCAATTTGTCATTTTATTATCATTATTATTATCAATCATTTCTGGTAATGAAACCAAGGATTCCTCAAAGCACCATAGGCACTGTAGCTCGCAAGCCTGAAGAAACCTTTGGAGAGAACACAATGAGAAGGAGTGACAGTTTTAGATGTGGGAGGAAACGCCCAGAAGAAATTCACGGGAAAACCCACAGAATCAGGCAGGGACTGAAAACTCAATTCACATATTTGCCCAGGCGGGATTCGAACCCGGGTCACAGTGGTGGAAGGCGAGGAAAGTACCGCTACGCCAACCTGACTCCCCAATATTTTCAATGTTCAAAAGAAAATGTTTAGGACCACAAATATTTTAAGAGTCCGATGAAGTGTTTACCTTAAGACAAAGTTTTAAGTTAACTGTAGCTTTGATTGCTTTGGAATAGGAATTGGAATTGGAATCAATACATTATTTTCGACAAAGGATATAGAAAGTTGGCCTCCAGTTCCAGAAAGTAGATCTGCTGCTGTAAGTTCTTGATGTACTCGGCTTCAAGATTGCTGTAATCTTGAGACATGGTTGGTCCAGTTTTGCTGCAAAAACAACGAGTACTTGTGTGAACAGTAAACATTGCTAATACTTTTATAACGATCAACTGAGTAATTTTCACTGTACTCATAAATATTCATTATTTTATTTTATATCTGAGGTGCTTACGAAGCATTGAAGGAGGGAGCTAAGTTGGCAGAGCTTCGTTTGTTCAGACTGCCAAGGCTGCTGGTCCTCTTGAGTGTGCTGGAAAATCCTGGACCTGAAAGCAAAAGAATAACATCGTTTTAATACCAAGTATTTAATAACAACAGTGTCAAAATAATAAATACATAATAAGTTAGGTTAAAAAACGTAAACAAAGAAAGAATCCCCAAAAAGTACATTAATCAATCAATAATAAATTTGATTCAAGTATAATTATTATGTATATTTTTAAAAACTAAAATCTAAATTAATTAATTTTTCAAAACTTTTGAATAAATTATTGCCCAATCTTACTAATTGTTGACGCTGCATTCTCCCCTTTTTTCTTATAAATGTTATGACGCAATAAAAGCATCTTATTAATGTTTGGCCAGTTTCATTGAAGTTTCAACTACGTCTAAGTGTTAAGGCCTTACACTTTATACGCTTAAGATTTGATGGGACTATCAATTATACTATATAGGCCTGTCTAGCTTGAGCCTTAGACCCCACTGCTAGGCGCCTGTCACTGTATGCCCATTCATTGATTCATTCTGAAAAAATCATTGAACAATAAGGTTGAAAATTAAATTGAAGTGTAATTTCTTTCTTTTCAGTATAAAATTGGTCTCCACAAATGTTCCTTTGACCACTTTTATTCCATTCAGTCAAGCCAGCAATGCCCTCTCTGCATAATCGGTTCCGCATAATCCAATATTGGTTTTGACACAAGTTTGTACAGTACACTACAGCCTAGGCATGACGGACCCACCCAACGTCAACGATCAATTAGCAAACACTCGAGACTACGAGAGTTTTACGAGGCGGTTCAAACGAATAATTTCCCCCGCAAACGTGACAAATCGAGCTCATGAAACGACACAGAAAATGACAAAAACAATCTACAGTACCTCTAGAGGACTTTGCTGGATTTCTGAACCTCGCCATGCTCGAAATTGAGGACATTTTGGCTGATTTTGAGACGGTCTCTTGTGCACAGAGCAGTCGACGCGACAGATGTCCAGAGCGTTATTAGCAACAAATAAACTACCTAGCTTGGTCAAAAATTGTAGTAATTTTGCAGCTTTGAAACTCAAATTAAAACAAAGAAGAATTTTATACTGCAAGTATTTTATTGCAATACAAGAATATTATTTTTATTCAGTTTTTAGGCTTTAAACTTAATGTGAATTGTGAGAAAACTGCTAATTTCCTTTCTAGAGAAAATAATATTATGTCAATTTTTGGTAACTTAGGTAAACTCTACTAGTCTCTCTTACGAGCGCCAAATACTCGAGGAGAGACTAACATAAAAGTTCAAAGGTCAGACATTGCACAGAAAAATCTAGTTCCCAGAGTATGCAGCCCGCATAATGAATGTAAAGGTACAAGGGAAATGTTTGCGCCAGACTAAATGTGGGGTGGATCATTGAATTTTCGGCATCAGGTCAACTCGGACCCAAACCAAGTCGGACCCATGCCAAGTCGGACCCACGCCAACTCGGACCCACGCCAACTCGGACCCACTACCAACTCGGACCCACTACCAACTCGGACCCAAGACCAACTCGGACCCACTACCAACTCGGACCCAAAACCAACTCGGACCCACTACCAACTCGGACCCAAGCACGACCAACTCGGACCCAACAATGACTTTTATCATTAGTTTCAGAGATTATATTTATAGGTCATCTTAATGTTACAGTGCTTATATAGTGAAGATATTCTGTAATTATATTGGTCAGAATGGGGCTTTTAGTTTTGTTGTTTGATCATACTTCGTTGGTTTTGCTCTCTTATTACTGATTCACATGAAGAAATGGATATCTATGTGCAATGTTTTTCCTTTTTCATCTGCTTTTTGTGTGTGTGCCAAATATATAAACCAAATTAAATCACACCCAATGAAGGATTTCATTATGTCACAGAAAGGTAATCATCAAGTTAAGGAAATTAGGAATGCAGTTCGAAAATGTCAAACACAATGCATGCAGTAACATTGATCCGTCAATCATTCTCCCCCATTCATAGCGCTGATCACCAACGCCAAGAGATTAATCTTCGCGGTTGAACCAACGCGCGGTCCCCGGTTCACACACAAACAGCGGCAAGTTCATTCGGCAGTATCGGCAACCCTTGATCAGTTCAGTGAAGCGGGTAAAAAGGTTACCGCTGCAAAGATCGAAGTGTATGAAAGAAAATTGCTAATTAGAAAGACTAATCTGACTCAGGAACATTCAACCATGATGGACACCTGCTTGGACGCGTCAACAACCTGAATTATGGCATTTTGCAAGAACAAAGTAGGCACAAGGGATGCTTATGAAGTTAGCACAAGTTTGTTTGCTTGTTTTTTTCTGTTGTTTTAAGTCGTCAATATTTTCCAGCAGATCACATTCACTTTTGCACAATAGTGTTGGCAGTGACACCATGACACGAGTCCCACCCAGTAGCGTAGTTAGGATTTTCTTAGTGGGGCCAGAGGGGGCATCAGAATATCATGGGGAAGGGAGGAGGGCATTATCGCAAACGTCCTATTGCAGTTTATCCCAGTTGGGCCCAATAATGCCTCGCTATATCCATTGACATCAGAAATTGTAAACAGTAAGCCGTTGGCTTACTGAAAAATACAACCTGAAGAAAAGGGGCATTAGCAGTGTTTTTTATGAGTGGGGGCATGAAAAATTTGTGGGGGCGGGCACGTTACGCCACTGGTCCCACCCGGATTCCCTTGGAACGTACCCCATACCCAGGTCGTGAGGCTGGCCAGAACAAAACTACAGATACATGAATCACCGGACACATAAATCTAAACACTACAAAACTGTGCAGCCTCTAATTCAAAAATGCTGCAAAATGTGGCGGAGTAGGCCTATACACAGAGATCGGTAGCACAGGTAATCATGTCATTTACTTTGAGCTATACTGACTGTGTCTCATAAAGCAGGAAAAGGTTAACTTACACATGATTTGAAACAAGTATAAACGTATTGGGTCTATTCTTTTAGAAAAAGTGGTACGATACAGGAAAACAGCGGATAAATGGGTATATTTGAAATTTTTTAATAGAACGCTGTTTAATTTTAATTATTTTTTGGTACTTGGAAATGTCATTTTGAGGAAGTTATTAAAATTCAAGTACATGTAGAGATTAGAATAGACTTCGTTTTTAGACCTTATTTATTCTATTTAATGACTTATAATGTTCACTTATTTTTATTGAATTAATAATGTCATGTTTGAAAGTATTTATGTTTCAATGTCATACTTTCCAGTTTTATTTTTCTACGGAAGATCTGTTCTGAATTTATGTGGTTTGAATTAAAAATGAATTAAATTGCTGTTAAATTGAGCAAGATGGCGTGAACGATGTCAAATATGAAAATGAATAACTGGTTAAACTTTAATTTTAATTACTAAGGGAATAAATGTGTGCTCCGGAGGTTTTTATCACTCTGTTTAATACCACTTAGAGTCTGGGTGCTGATAATTACCCGAGCCGGAGGCGAGGGTAATTATCAGCACCCAGACTCTAAGTGGTATTAAACAGAGTGATAAATACCGACGGAGTACATATTTATTCCCATTCATAAATACCTTTTCGGTAAAAAAAAATCATATAATTCGTGCAAAACATCCCGATTTTGTTCAACAAATTCACTTTATGCTTTTTGAATCATCCCTCCTGCAAAATAATGGAGTGTTCAGCTGGCGAGTAAGATGAAAACAACCCTTTTATGGAGATTGACGCGCGCGTATCATGTTCTATGCGATGTCGCGCAGAACGCACCTGGCGCGTTGCGTTTTGAATTTAGAACTATAAAATTCTAACTCCCTGGTAGTGTTGCGCATGCCTACGTGAGGATTGTGAACGTTCAACCAATTAAACGATAAGAGGCACTGGATTTTTAGGAGTCCACATTTTATTGTGACACTGGAAAAGTGTTTAAGACCAGCTAGCCATGTCTTTATCATCCGTTTAATACCGGCCACGTGACGGGCTCTCGACCAATAGGAATGGCTAAACTGTCTGAGGTATTTATGAATTTTGGTTAAAGCGCAATATGTTTCAATGGAAACAAATAATAAAAATTAATAATTAATTAAACTTTTAAAGCGCATTTCAAAATAGCATATTAATGCACTTTACAATGACAAACTGCTGCAATACAGCTATTTTACCTGACAACTACAATGAAAATTTATGCTTAACAGCATCACTGTATTAACAGATAAGTGAACAGACTATATGAAATTGTCGAATGATTGAAAACGTTGTCGAATGATTGTTAACGTTGGGTCCGAGTTGGTCATGCATGGGTCCGAGTTGGTAGTGGGTCCGAGTTGGTTGTGGGTCCGAGTTGGTAGTGGGTCCGAGTTGGTAGTGGGTCCGAGTTGGTAGTGGGTCCGAGTTGGCGTGGGTCCGAGTTGGTAGTGGGTCCGAGTTGGCATGGGTCCGAGTCGGCATGGGTCCGACTTGGTTTGGGTCCGAGTTGGATCGAAACCGAATTTTCGCCACTTCGAGTCCTGGAAATGTTGTGAAAATGGCATTTTTACAGCAGGTGAAGTATCTTAAATTGATCAGTGAATGGATAATAGTTTTTGGTGCCTTATAGATTGTTAATGAGTAAAAAGTAGTGATGCTAAGAGCAATTACTGTGGGATTTTCAGCATGTTCAGTGGGCGGGATTTTCTTGTCAGTTTGTCACACTCACAAATTTGCACAGTGCGAGCGCCCCCACTGTTGTTGAGTGTAGATCTTGACTATGTCTATCATGACTATGTATCAGTATGTTCAGACTTTGTTAGTAAAAAATAGTAGAAACGTTGTTCATTAATTGTCATTGAAATTAAACATAACCTGTCCTTAGACTGAGGGCGCTCTGTGCAGGCTCTTTTTAATTATTATTAAAAGTGGATTGGTTGATCTTGTACATGTGTAAGTTGTAAAGAAACAAGTTTACACGATTGTTTTGGATTTCAAAGACGACAAAGTGTTTAAATAGCCGTGAACATGGTGAACCGGTCCCGCGTTCACTGCGTTTTTTCCGTTCTTAAGCCTGCTGCCTGCAGACATGGCAGATTAGCGCCCTCATGCACGTGTATACCAGTGATGTAGTGCCTTGATGCTGGGCCTTGGCCTTAAGGCTGGATTTTAGGGCCTTGGCCTTGGCCTCGAGGCTTGAGGGCAAAAGCCTTGGCCTTGGCCTTGGCCTTGAGGGTTCAGGGCCTTGCAATTTTGAGTCAAGGCTCTTCAAGGCCCATAGATTTTTGCATTTTCCAGATAAATCTGTTCGAAATTTTGCTGTTACCATTTTAATCGTATTACCATGGAGGAGGGAAGCACCCTATAGATTTGTGTGTTGGGCACACTTCCACTTTTGTAGCATTACATTTTGTTACCATTGTAGTAGATTTGCTGCAAAAATATTCCGTACACTTGTGGGGCTAATGAGATGATCACTTTAATTGCATATAACTATGGAATAGATCTGATTGGTTGTACCGGTATATATGTCTCCCTGATAAGTGCTAAAGATTTGCATGTATCTGTTTTAGATAATGCTGATATTTCTGACCATGTTGGGCCAGCAAATAAAAATTTCCCAAATCAGTTTCTTGGATCCCCCTATTGTTACCCTTGGGAGAATTGTGTGTCAATATAGAAGTTAATCATTATTTTGTTTAGTTAAACCATATTGAAGACCTGAACTTATACTTTAATTAATAGATACAGTGCAGTCATAAAACGGTGTAGGCCTATGCGAGCATGTGATTGCAATTAAAGAAATGTTGTTCTTCGTAACGAGCAATTTGTGATGATAAGGGCGGATCCAGGGGGCCAGAAGGGCCCATGCCCCCCCCCCCCCCCCAAAAAAAACACCATTTTTTTTTATGTGACGTCGTAATAAAGGCAGGCAATGAGTACACCACAATTTTTTCCTCAAAAAACATCGGTTAAAATGGTCAGAAATTGCCTCAAGTCGCACCACAGAGCATCTCGAATCCAAAAATTTTTCTGGGCCCTTAAGCGGGCCCCGAAGCCCAAGCCGTAATTTTTTGACCCACTTTTCTTTGGGGGGGACCAAAATTTCTTCCCCCCCCCCCCCCCGAAAAAAATTGTGTTCTGGATCCACCCTTGCGTGATGATGTGTCACTCATGTGACTATAATTAGTTCTATATCAGTGGTCATTTCATAAATCAGGGCCTTGGCCTTGGCCTTGGCCTTGAGGGTTAAGCCTTGGCCTTGGCCTCGAGGCTTGAGGGCCAAAGCCTTGGCCTTGGCCTTGGCCTTGAGGGTCAAAGCCTTGGCCTTGGCCTTGGCCTTGAGGGTCAAAGCCTTTGCTCCAACACTGGTGTATACAACGTACTAGGCCTACGCTAACATGAATAATTAAATTACAAACTCTTGTCGAGCGAATACGTGGTCAGGGTGGTCAAATTGTAGTAGGCATAGCGTGCCTGCCTTGCAAGGACGTCACTGGAGTTCGAGTCCCAGCCTTGCCGTTGTTTTTGAAACTTTGTTTTTTGAGTTCCAAACAGTAAGAATTGTACAATTTATTGTGTTTAATCCAATCCTACATTTAATTGCAGATAAATTTGTTTTCTTTTTCTGATTCATGGCTCTGGAGGATTTTTTTTAAATGAAACTAAAGTCCGAAGTTGCTTTAGGTCTGATTCCCATCTCGTGAATACGAAGTCACATCGACAATCAAAGCATGGAACCAGACGAAGATTTGTCACGGTTAAAACTCTTAGTTACAAAAAACACTTACTATGTTCAGTACGGTGCCGGTAAAAGAGCTAAAAAACAAAATCAGAGACCGATTCACGGTCAACTATACTGCCTTTGGATTTGTTGTATCTCAGAAGCTCTTCAACTCATTTTCAAGCAAAAGATTTCCAGTTCATGGAAGTTACAAGTGTCAAATAATGCTTCAGTGTTTTAATTCGGTTTACTTTCTCTTGAAATCTTTCAGTGGAAGCGGCTGAACTTCTTTGACAAGGAAGTTGTGAAGCTTCCAGGCACAGCTGAGATCTTCACTAGCTTGAGGGTAAGCTTTTACTATGCATCTGTGTCTCTAGCATGTCGAGATATAGTCCGAAAATTTGGAACTCTCAATACTGTGTATGAGAGTCCCAAAACTTAAGGTATTGAAAGCATGCAATACACGAAAATAGACTGGCACCTGAAACAACCAGTCAAGCACCGCTTCAGTACTGCATCAATCAAACTGTCAACTGTGCCAGGAGAAACGTCTGGCATGAACCGGGAACTAGTCTCTATATACTACACATTTCTCCATAGTCAGCCACCAGACTAATGACACTAAATGAAGAGGTCAGTCTTTTCAAATAGTTGGACCATGGTTGGACATGTACCAGTCTAGTCTTTATAAATTGCTCCGTTTCATCTTAAGTGGGGTCAGGGAACCAGACTACAAGAGCATGATTGGTTTTCTTAGTTTTTCCAGCATCCACAACCCAAAAAGTGAAACAAGTCAGTTTAATAATATTTGCTATAACATAATAATCCACCAAACCATTTATTTCAGAAAAAATGCAGCAAAAGCAAATGTTGTACATTCCCTTTAAAATGAGACAATCTTTAAATCCTTATTTTTCTAGGACATAGACATCACCACCTGTGCTAGTGGGCGGGGCCAGGTGACCCTTGGGGATTCCGATGGCAATCTCTTCTTTCTGGATCGCAACTTGGAGATCTCCGGTTTCCGCGCCTACGAGCTGCGAGTCACCCACCTCTACCAGCTGAAACAGCACAACATCCTGGTGTCCATCGGGGTGAGTCAACCAGAATTGTAAAACCATCACAAGTCACTCATCAGACATTACAATTCAATCACTAGTTAATCACATGTCCATCACATATCCATCTCAAGTCGCTCACAAGTTAATCACAAGTCAATCATATGTCCATCACAAGTCAATCACAAGTCAATCACAAGTCAATCACAAGTCAATCACAACTTAATCACAAGTCAATCACAAGTCATCACATGTCAATCACAAGTCATCACAAGTCAATCACATGTCATCACAAGTCAATCACAACTTCATCACAAGTCATCACCAGTCAATCACAAGTCACTCACCAGTCAATCACAAGTTATCACAAGTCCAACACAAGTCAATCACACAAGTCAATCACAGTGCAATGTGGACAAGCAGGACAAAATAAATTATGCACAATTTATATGGATATTTGTATAGCCTTATGCATAATTCATGAACAGTAAGGTGAGCCTGGCTTGGACAAGCAGGACAAGATGAATTATTCATAACTTTTCTGAATACGTAATTACCCTTATATATACATAATCATGAACAGCAAGATGAGCCTTGGATCAACCCCATATCAAGGTCTGGACAAGCAGGACAAGATGATCTATTTCTAATGTTGATGAATATTTAATAAGTTCTTATGCATTATTCTAATCATTCATAATGTTGATGAATATTTAATAAGTTTCATGCATTATTCATGAACAGCAAGATGAGGCCGGGATCAACCCCATCATCAAGGTCTTGAACCTGGACAAGCAGGACAAGATGAATAATTTGCACTAAGTTCTCATGCATTATTCATGATTCATAATGTTGATGAATATTTAATCGGTTCTCATGCATTATTCACGAACAGCAAGATGAGGCCGGCATCAACCCCATCATCAAGGTCTGGAACCTGGACAAGCAGGACAAGATGAATCATTTGCAATAAGTTCTCTCATGCATTATTCATGATTCATAATGTTGATGAATATTTGATCAGTTCTCATGCATTATTCACGAACAGCAAGATGAGGCTGGCATCAACCCCATCATCAAGGTCTGGAACCTGGACAAGCAGGACAAGATGCGCAACCCGACCTGCTCGCGCATCACGAGGGCGCTGCCCGGCAGCAACCAGCCGTGCCACGTCTCCGCGCTGGCGGTCAGCGAGACCATGACCATGATGGCCATCGGGTTTCAGGACGGGAGTGTGACGCTCATCAGGGGGGACGTCACACGCGACAGGTTCGTGCTGAACAATTTTAGAGTTAACAACGGGGGTTGTCGAAACCTGGGTTCATTTGCAGCTTCAGATTCAGGAGATGTTCGCTTTTCATTTCAACATCTTGGTACCAAACACTGACTAGTCTAGTCACAGACTCCCGTGCTAGAATTCACCTAATAAACCGTTCGCGAGTTAAATTTGAATAAAGTCTGGAACGCTGACTTAATCCAATGCTTTGCACATTTTAACTTTGCACTCTCACAATAAAAAAGACTGTTACTATATCACGTGATTCAGGGCAAGCCTTATGCTAGCAACCCCCAACTCCGGCATGGTCTGGTGTCTTTGTGCCATTCTCACCCATCGTGAACAATGTATTGGTGCTGAGTGTCCCTTACGTAACTATGAAAGAGCTTGCCCCGAATCATGTGATTAGCAACAGTGTCTTTGGTCTGGAGAATTCAAAGTTAAAATGTGCCAAGCATTCTGAGCAAGTCAGTGTACCAGATGTTTTCAAATTTAAATCCCAAAAGGTATAGGTCAATCGCAAATGGCTCATTGTTATCTGCATGATCAATTAAACGGAAGTTGAGGCCAGGTAAACAAAGTATTTGAAATATGAGACCCATTTTATGTAGCACCTTATAAGGGTTTACAAGGTGCTGCGGCATTAAGCAGCCACTGCCAGAAACACCGGGGCAAACCCCTTCTCTTAGCGATTTGTGTACTCATAATGTCAAATCATTACCTAGTTGACCTAATGTTTTTTGTTTTGACGTAGACACAACAAGTTTAGGACCGTCTTCCAGGACAAGACGCCAGTTACCGGGTTGGCGTTCCGTCACACGCAGCGCAGCACGGTGCTCTTCGTCGCCACGGAAACCAGCGTGAGCTCCTTCAACCTTAGCGGGAAGGACCCCCACAGGGTGAGCGTCTTTTGAAATTTTCTTTCATCAAAGAAAGTTGGATGAGTTGAGATAATCGAATTGACTGGAGAGGGGTTCGAACCTGCGACCCCCCACAGGGTGAGCGTCTTTTGAAATTTTCTTTCGTCAAATAAAGTTGCATGAGTTAGATAATCTAATTGACTGGAGCGGGGTTCGAACCTGCGACCTCCGAATTGCAGTTCCGGTGCTCTACCAACTGAGCTATCTAGCCCTATGTTGGCAGTTCCCCATTTTGTCAATGTCTGTGTTCAAGGGTGCTAGTCCGAAGTTGTAAACCTGTATATGCCATGTAGCCAGGGATCACGCGCAAAGTCACGATGCTAGCAACATTAGCAATGCTGCAAACCTGGAAAAAAGCAAACGGGGATCACTCAGAGAGGATACAGCTTTTTATTACACATTTTTGAAATAAACTTATAATTTTTTTGTATAATCGCAGGAGGTACTCGATTTGCACGGTTGCCCGCCCCGCTGTGCCGTGCTGAGCGACGCCACACAGGACAACCAGTTTGTCATGGGACGAGAGGACGTAAGTTAGCCGGTGCCCTGCTGGGTAACCAGTTCCACAAAGCTGGGGCCAATTTCACGGCACTGCTAAGCTAAAAAAAATTTGCTTATCACAAAAAAAGTCTGGCTTATAAAAGCAGGTTACCAGTCAATATATTGCTCGTGATTAATATTCAGCTGTCTTTTGCTTAGCATGAAAATCACATGGAGTTTTGGCTGGTAACCTGCTTTTATAAGCCAGACTTTTTTGTGCTAAGCAAAGTTTCGTGCTGAGCAGCGCCGTGAAATTGAGCCCAGTACATAAAAATCTTGCTTAAACAAATTTGGTTTCGCAGTGAATGTTTTCGTTATGTCAAATTTGTTTCGCATTCGCGTTAATTCTTACGTTTTCTGACATGCGTCATGTTTATTACAATATTCCAGGCGGTGTATTTCTACCAGCCCGATGGTCGAGGTCCATGCCTGGCCTTTGAAGGCAAGAAGACCCTGCTGCACTGGTACCGGGGGTACCTGGTAGTCGTCACCAAAGACAGCAAGATGCTGTCGCGGAATCTTGGCGCGTAAGTACTTTGGTTATTTTAACGTTCTCGACAAAGTTAAAATTTTCAAAGGGATCGCACAGGAAAACTGACTAGGTACATTATAATAATTATAAAGTTAAAGGTAGAGTCCATCATTTGCAGCAATCCAAAAAGTAACTGACAAAATTATTGTTGAAAAGCATACTTGGTTTAAAGATAGTGATGGCACTAAACTCTCTGTGAAATTATTCTTTCTGGCATGTTGTCATTTTGAAGAAAACAATAAAAGAAGGTCATTTCCAACGATGCGTCTAAAGACACATTTTTGGAAATTTCCGTTAGTAATTCATTTAAATTTGGCAACTGGTGCACGCAAGCGTTGACACGATGCACACGCACGCACAATTCGTCGGTTCATTGCGTGACAATAAAAGAAGGTCATTTCCAACGATGCGTCTAAAGACACATTTTTGGAAATTTCCGTTAGTAATTCATTTAAATTTGGCAACTGCTGCACGCAAGCGTTGACACGATGCACACGCACGCACAATTCGTCGGTTCATTGCGTGACTTGGCGTAGCTGCAATCGGCTGTATGAGAACGTTTCCCAGATGCTGATTTAGGGCGTAATTCAAAACATGACTCGGCAACTTTTGAATGGAAAATCGAGATCCTAGAATATTGTTTTTCTCAGAATACACAGCATTCACTGAGCTAAAACTTCATCAGGTTAGTTGTTCAGCACCCTTCTTTAGATTTTGAGCACTTTGGTTGTTCCAAAGGAAAAAAATGCACAAATGACAAATTATGTACTCTACCTTTAAACAAAAATATCGGCTGGAACCACCAAGCGTTCCATTAGCCTTTTGAAGTAGGGTGGACACAATAGCAGGATGCTATTTGAAGTTGGTAAATTTGAGTACCTGCAAAACAGTTTACCCACACGGAATAGCGCCCTGCTAGTGTGTGCGCCATACTTCAAAAAGTCTCATAGCAGAATCCCATTAAAATCTCATTGGTAAGACATTGTTTATTCTTTGTTGTTCAGTTTTTTGTGTCTTCTTTGTTTCATCATATTCTGCCTTTTAGCGCTGGACAGCAGTTGGTGATGGACACGGTGACGGTATATGACATCCAGAACAAATTCATAGGTAAGAACTTGAGGTCAAGTACTCAAACTATATTTATAAATTAGTACTTATGAATGTATTGTAAGATCGCGATGGCAGATAGACGATACATATAATGTATTTTAAGAATGGTGTATAGACTAAACACTTTCTCTAATGCTGTATGTTTTTCATTTCCCGTTTTTTTTGCAGCTTACTTGGCCCCCGTGCCAGAAGTCCTGGATGTTTTCCAGGAGTGGGGATCTATCTATGTGCTTGGTGGGGACAGAAAGGTACAGAAATTTTAAGAAACAATTTTTTTTTTTAGGGAGAATGAGGATTTCCTAAGAATTATTCAAAGTGAAAAACCCAGTAAAAAAGATGTGACGGAAATTCAGTCAGATGCTGCATAAGTTGCTAGTCAAATTTTGATTATTTTTTTTTAGAATTGACAGGCCACATGCACTCCTAGGGAATGAATGCCCTGACCTAAAGAAACAAGCTCGATCGGATCTCGGAAGCTTCGGGCCAACGAATACGTGTTCGTGCATGAGTCACGTGATTGTGCCATGTAATTTCTGGAAGGAGTAGAGTTTTGAGTTTAAAAAAAATCATGTTTTTTACCCCAGTGACCCCATGATGACCTTTGACCCCAGTTTGGTCATGTGACATGTTGGGGCTGGGCTACTGATACTTTTGACAAAGTTTGGCTAAAATTGGTCAAAATATGTAGGAGCAATAAACAATGTCAACGTTGGTTACTAATTACTGAGAGACATGATGATTTGTTGAGCTGCTATTCCGCAGCTAAAACCTCATCAATTTTTTCAACTTTTTTTGCAGTTTCAACTTTTTACGGAGCTGGTTTAGTGTTACAGAAAATCAAATTTTGAAATACTTCTGTTGATTCATATATTTTCCCTTTTCCTTGCAGCTGTACCATCTACAAGAGAAGGACACGCAGACCAAGCTAGAGATTCTCTTCAAGAAGAACCTGTATAGTCTGGCGATCAAGTAAGCTTGTACATTGTGCTTTGTTTATTACACTGATTGACAGAATTTGTATCACATTGTAACCGTCATGTCTTATAACTGTTAGATCAAATTGGGTTGTAGCACAGTGAGTGAATTAAGTTAAGGAGAATACATGAGAAAGTGTGGATTCGTAATTTAAGAATTCACGAGGCCTGAAGCGCCGAGTGAATTCGTAAATTAAGAATCCATGCTTGCGAGTGTATTCTCCCACTTAAACCATTGCGTCAACAGAAGTATTGTCATTAACAGTCCAGTGAGTGGAGATGAAAAGACTTGCATATCTCGTGTCAAGTCGTGGCCATCAGGGTATTTACTGGGGAGTTTTTCGAGGCTCTTATACGTAATCAAGCATTGTGGCGTGTTTAGCATGTGTATCGCCACACCCGTACAACAAAGTCATTTTGTGTGTAGGCACCTTACGTTAACTTCAGACAATGATTTCTTTCTGACTCAAAGTAGTTGTTGCAGTGACGGTGGAGAATCTGACAGTGAAGATGCATTGGTAATTTCGGAAGGAAAGTTTTAATGCAGACGGTCCTATTAATGCTCATTATGGAGAACAATTGTCCGACATGTTTAAAGTGTGGATTCATAATTCCGAATCCACACTTTACTAAAAATTCTTCATTCCGAATCCACACTTTGTGACCAGTGTAACAGATTCGTAGTTCCGAATCCACACTTTTAACAATAGTGTGACGTCATAGCAATGGTTTAAGCATAAAGAATGATGATGTGAAGGCATAGCCACTTTTTATGATGATGTAGCTGGTTTTGCCGGCCGTAAAATCAGTTCCTTTGCACAGCAGGGGGAGTCAGGTTGGCGCAGTGGTCCTTTCCTTGCCTTCCACCTCCATGGCCCGGGTTCGATTCCTGCCCTGATCAACATGATTGGGTTGGGTTTTCAGTCCCTACCTGATTCCATGGGTTTCCCCAGACTTTTCTCCTGGGGTTTTCCTGACCCACCTCTAAAACTGAAGTTTTACTGTCTTCGTTAAATTCCAGCCTCCCCCGCGAGAACGGGAATTATTGTCTGGCAAGCTATGATTTGAAATTGTGAATTAATAATTTGGTAACTAAGCATGGGCCGATATTTGTGCATAACTTTTGTATTGCTAGAAGAATAGCAATTTAGGAGAGGAATCTATTTTGCAGGATGAAATTAAAAAATAGCACGGGGAAGCACCTTTAAGTTAGCACAATTCTTCTGCTGTTTTCTTTTAATAGTTAGGCTCCTTGATAAAATGATAAAGATATTTGTCTTTCTCTGCCTGTCCACAGCCTTGCCAAGAGCCAGCATTACGACTACGACGGCTTGATTGACATCTTCACCCAGTACGGCGACCACCTGTACGGCAAAGGGGACCACGACGGCGCCATATCCCAGTACATCCGCACCATCGGACACCTGGAACCATCGTATGTCATCCGAAAGGTGAATCATAGAAAAATTGATCATTGGGAACTAATAAGTACTCAGTGATTGTTTTGGATTCTGACTAGAGCCCCTTGACCAAATACATTGACAAATTGGGGAACCGCCAACATAGGGCTGGATAGCTCAGTTGGTAGAGCACCGAAACGGCAATCCGGGGGTCACAGGTTCAAACCCCCCTTCAGTCAGACGCTGATACAGCTGAACTTTGGTATTTGTAGATGCATTAGAGACATTTATTTGGATGAGGCCAAGAACTCTTGAGGCTTTTGAAGCAGCATGGTTTCTTTGCTTATTCCAGGTTGTTCTGGATGTAGATACCCAGGTACTGGTATTCTGAGATTTCTTCAAGGTCGGTGTCCATCATAGAATAATTTGCATTTCCTGGAGATCTTTTGCGGCTCATGCGCATACGTTAAATTTCGTTCCCCACGTGTCGGCCCATGTAACTAGGTTGTTCAGGTCATTGTGGAGCTTTGTTTTGTCAATAAGTGAAAGGACAATGTGCTGGCCCCTTTGGTTCATCAAAGAAAAATTGGTTCTTTTATGATCGTTGTTTTTCACAAGTGTTGAAATTTTTGTTCCGTTAGTTCCTGGATGCTCAGAGAATCCACAACCTAACTGCCTACCTACAAGCCCTACACAAGCAGTCCTTGGCCACCGAGGATCACACGACCTTACTGCTCAACTGCTACACCAAACTCAAAGACAACAGCAAACTGGACGAGTTCATTATGGTGAGTTTCTGTCATTGTAAAAGATCATATGGGTATAAGAAGGACCCAGAATCGAATACAGGCATCGATCCTACCCGACATACCTAAAGATGAGGCTCCCCTATGCCGTCTCAAAACAATATGAGAATTTCTCTCTAACAGACCAAGGACAAAGAAGTAGACTTTGATGTGGAGACGGCCATCAAGGTCTGCCGTCAGGCCGGCTACTACAAACACGCCCTGTTCCTGGCAGAGAAACACGGCCAACACGACTGGTACCTTAAGGTCCAGCTAGAAGACATCAAGGACTACCAGAGAGCGCTGACTTACATCGCTAAGCTGGAATTTTTTGAGGTATGGAAGATAAGGCACATCAAAGTGAAATTTAAGAACTAAACGCAGTTGGAAGTTACGGGCTCAATTGCGCCGCCAACTTCAAGAGTTTTCTCTTTAAAAAAAAATCATGTAATGTCAAGTGTCTTTGTTCACAGGCGATGGACAACATGAAGAAATACGGCAAGACACTGATGAACGAAGTTCCCAAAGACACCACGGATCTACTCAAGATCCTGTGCACGGACTACAAACCTAGTGATAGTAAGTAAAAGAAATATCTCTTTCCTTAAACAATTTTCATTCATTTCTCTTTGAAATAAAAATCAAATTTACATTTTTATATTTTTCAACAGAGCAGAGTCATTGTCATTTTGATTTTCAGATGTCGTTAAATAGATGTATCAAAAAACGGAATTCTAACAAAATGGCCGCCTTTGCCATTATCCAAACCGTGACTGAATTTTGCAGCTTTGGATTAAAACTCTAAAGGCTAACTTGCAGGTCGATTTTGCTAAGCTTAAAAAAGACCAAAATTTAGAGCATGAAATGGTTTAAGTTTAAGCCAAAGCTGGAGGCAGCGTCGTGATTTCAAAAATGTCCCTCAAGTCAAAGAAACGATTTGGTTTTCACAATCCATGTTTCAAATCATGGATATTTTATCTGTTTTGGTAATTTTTTTTCGTCTTTAGTCGCTAATTTCCTGCAAGTTGGAGAAGAAGATGGTAAAACTGTCGCAACAATTTGCATGTGGCTTGTAGTTCAGTTTCAGAATATGAATGGTGTCCGGCTCAAAATTATTGCAGATGACTAAACCTTTGCAATGGACTTTGCTTACCAAATGTGTTTTGTTTTGTGTTTCTCGGCAACAAAAGTAAAGGAAAACTTTTCTTTATTACACAGCATTTGTTCACACAAAGTGTGTCTCACTTTTGCATGTAGTGTAATTCTGATTTTTGGGCATTTTTTATTTTGTATGTGTCTGGAAGTGAATGCTATGAAATAGTCTTGTGTCATATTACATATTAAGTTTGCATGTTTTTTGTTTTGTTTTGCACAGGACAACAGAAACACAATCCCCCAACAACAAAAAATACCACCAAAGAAATGCAAGTAGCATACGTGTGCTTGTGCTAACATGCAAAATACCGGTGAAAATGCCATTTACTTTGTTGTAATTTAAATGTTCAAAGATATGTTCTGTCTTTTCTTTTCTGGTTGTTATGGAATCTGGTATTATGAATTTTTTTTATAGCGTTGTTTGTGAAAGGTTTATCAAATTTTTCCAAAAAAATTGGTTGAGGGGTTCTTAAATTTTGTGTATTACTTAATTTTCTATTAGGCCAAAAAAAAAATAGTCGGTCTCTGGTCAGACCGAAGTTCCGGAATTGATGCGGCGACGCGTTTTTTTTGGTTTTTTTTTTTAAGCTTGTATTGTACAGACAAGGTGGGTACTATTTTGCTTTTTTGTGTCCTCATTATACATTGGTGTCCTCTATAGTTTGCCTTGGTGCCCTTTATCATTTGCCTTGGTGCAATATCCCCATTCCTTGGTGCTCCTTGGTACAAAATTTGAGGAGGCGCGGCAATAGAGGGCGCTGTTGTAGCTTCCGTGTTAATTTGAAAAAGAAAAAAAAGGTTGACGCGCATGATTAAAATCGACGCACGCGCTGACCAGAGACCGAGTATTTTTTTTTTTTGGCCTTAAAATGAGTAAGCTTTTTTTTTAAAAATATCTCATGATCATAAGAAGGTTTTGTCCTTTTTTTCAGAAGGTGGTCTTGACTAACTTCTTTGTCTGCTCAAAAATGCTAGGTTTTTTTTGGTGTTTTTGGGGGGGAAGGGGTTGCAACCCCTTAGCTTTAGTCAAGTTTTTGAAAAGTGAAGCCCCTCAGCCTTGTTTAAATTTGAAATCCGATGTTGAGTCATAAAAGCATCCTTGTGTGGGCTCTGTGCGCGGACAAGAGAGGGAGCTGTTTGACCACTTCCGTGAGCCCAGTGGACGGAACACACACCTGTGTACCTAGTATGGATATTTCTTTTGTCTTCGCGTAGTTAAGAACAATCTTTATTTTCTACCCAGAGCCCCTGATAGATTCCAACATGCTAAGTGGCGACGTCATGCCGTCCGTTCAAAAGGCCAACGCCGAAGAGTTTATCCACATCTTTGTCAACAACTCGGGGCAACTCATGGAGTTCCTTGAACACATGGTCAAGGTCAGTCCACAGTATTTCCGAGTCCAAAATCACGCCAACTTGTTTCATCGAAAAGAGCATACGGACATCTTTAACCCATTTAACACCTGTACTACATTGTACCAACGAATCCGGAAAATCGACCACTTGTACACTCACGAGGCCCCCTTCAATGGAGAAACCATTGTGCATGCTATTGTACAAAGCAACTGCCCATGATGGATTATCTGAACAATAGCTAGCACAATGCTTTCGCCATTGAAGGGGGCCTTCGTGAAAGAATTGATATAGTGTGCCCGCATTAGTCTATTGGATTCTGTTGATTCACTGATGTTTCCATAAAACCATATGGGACGGTTCGGGGCAGTACAGGGAGTAACTGGCAGGGTGGTTTGGGGCATTTCAGGGAGTAACAGGCAGGGTGGTTTGGGGCAGTACAGGGAGTAACAGGCAGGGTGGTTTGGGCAGTACAGGAAGTAACAGGCAGGGTGGTTTGGGCAGTACAGGGAGTAACAGGCAGGGCGGCTTGGGGCAGTGCAGGGAGTAACAGGCAGGGTGGTTTGGGGCAGTAGAGAGGGAGTAACAGGCAGGGTGGTTTTTGGGCAGTACAGGGAGTAACAGGCAGGGTGGTTTGGGGCAGTACAGGGAGTAACAGGCAGGGTGGTTTTTGGGCAGTACAGGGAGTAACAGGCAGGGTGGTTTTGGGGCAGTACAGGGAGTAACAGGCAGGGCGGTTTGGGGCAGTACAGGGAGTAACAGGCAGGGTGGTTTGGGGCAGTACAGGGAGTAACAGGCAGTGTGGTTTGGGGCAGTACAGGGAGTAACAGGCAGGTTGGTTTGGGGCAGTACAGGGAGTAACAGGCAGGGTGGTTTGGGGCAGTACAGGGAGTAACAGGCAGGGTGGTTTGGGGCAGTACAGGGAGTAACAGGCAGGGTGGTTTGGGGCAGTGCAGGGAGTAACAGGTAGGGTGGTTTGGGGCAGTACAGGGAGTAACAGGCAGGGCAGTTTGGGGCAGTACAGGGAGTAACAGGCAGGGGGGTTTGGGGCAGTACAGGAAGTAATAGGCAGGGTGGTTTGGGGCAGTACAGGGAGTAACAGGCAGGGTGGTTTGGGGCAGTACAGGGAGAAACAGGCAGGGTGGTTTGGGCGGTACAAGGAGTAACAGGCAGGGTGGTTTGGGACAGTACAGGGAGTAACAGGCAGGGTGGTTTGGGGCAGTACAGGGAGTAACAGGCAGGGTGGTTTGGGGCAGTACAGGGAGTAACAGGCAGGGTGGTTTGGGGCAGTACAGGGAGTAACAGGCAGGGTGGTTTGGGGCAGTACAGGGAGTAACAGGAAGGGTGGCTTGGGGCTGTACAGGGAGTAACAGGCAGGGTGGTTTGGGGTGGTACAGGGAGTAACAAGCAGGGTGGTTTGGGGCAGTACAGGGAGTAACAGGCAGGGTGGTTTGGGCAGTACAGGGAGTAACAGGCAGGGTGGTTTGGGGCAGTACAGGGAGTAACAGGCAGGGCGGTTTGGGGCGGTACAGGGAGTAACAGGCAGGGTGGTTTGGGCAGTGCAGGGACTTATGTGTTGACATCGTTTTAAAAAGTTTCACTAAATAATCTCTGTTTTTTTTTCATACCACTATCTTATAGGTTCAGCCCGATTCATCTCATCTCATCTACAACACCTTACTGGAGCTGTATCTCCACGACATGGCACATGAAGGAGAAAGACGGAACCGTTTGGAACTCCATCGCAAAGCCATGGACCTGTTACAGACGTCGGATGTGAGTCACAAACCCCCATTTCATCTAGTCTTGGTCTCTCCCCTCCCCCACCCCCGGCAGCCAGTTTTGATTCCTGGCAGTCGCGTTCAAGCTATCAACAAGGTGAATCAAATCCAGTTTTGGGATATTTTGCACTTAGACCCACAAAATTCCGAGCACACTTCATGTGTGGAGCGCCGTGGTCCAATGGTGCTTGTGTTCTTGGGCAAGACACTTCACTACAATTTGCCTCTCTCCACCTAGGAGTATAAATGGGTATCTGTAAAGGCATTCCTTGAATTTCTCGATCTGAGTGCCAGCTTTTACAAGACAAATTTCATTGACAATTCCTTTATTTTTTTTCGCTCAGGCCTTGTATGACATTGACCAGGCCATGGTGCTTTGTCAGATGCACAACTTCAAGCAAGGAATACTTTTCCTGTACGAGAAATCCAAACTGTAAGTTACAACCCTTCACTTTGCGTTTCTGTTTGGGAAGTAACCATCTGTTCAGAGCTGAGATGTTAGTGAGTCAATCCCAAGTCAAGTCCACATTCATAAATACCTAAGACAGTTTACCCATTCCTATTGGTCGAGAGCACGTCACATGGCCGATCTTAAACAGTCTTAAACACCGGCTGGCTGGTCTTAAAAAAACTTTTCCGGTGTCACATGAACTTTTGACTCATATGAAGTCTGGTCCCTTTTACCCTTTTATTGGTTGAACGTTCACAATCTTCACTTACGCATACACAATACTACCATTGAGTCCGCATTTCGAGAGTCTCAAAATTCACACTACACCGGCACCGCCACATATTTTTTTACTTGTTTTGACTTTTTGACCGAAGAGGTATTGATGAATGGGAATAAATATGTGCTTGGCCGGTATTAAACAAGTTTGTTTAAGACAGGCATGAGCCTGTTTGTTGATAATGTTCGTCGCCTTCGGCTCTGGCCATTATCAGCGTTCAGACTAAATATTCGTTGGAAATTTGAAATTTGTGACTTGTTTTAACTTTTGACCGAAAAGGTATTTGTGACTGGGAGTGCTTGGCCGGTATTAAATAAGTCCGTGCAAAACCCGTGTGTGGCCTGTTGCAGAAAATGTCTCTCGCTTTCGGCTCGGGCCATTATTGGCCGGTCTTAAACGGACTTGTTTAAAACCGGCCAAGCACATATTTATTCCCTTTAATAGTAATCGCCATTTCGCGTCTGTGTTCAGACTATATAAACAGGGCTGCGTTCCACTCGCACAAAAGTTCACAATTTTTTGTGCACATCCGATGGGAATTGTTTTGCAAAGTAGCATACATATTCTGTCATCTATTTTTCAGATATCAACAGATTCTGCACTATCACATGGAGAACAACGAGTACGACCAAGTCATTGATACCTGCAAGAGACACGGGTGAGAATAAAAAAAATATATAAATCTTTAAAAAAAAAAGTTGGCTTGCTGCCTGGTTTTCACCTTAAAATCAATCACTTTGAGATAGACAACCTCTTTGTCCAAGTTGCTATGCGACCAGTCTGGGCAAGCTATCGATTCTATCATGAAGGCCCCCTTCAATGGCGAAAGCATTGTGCTAGCTATTGTTCAGATAATCCATCACAGGGCAGTTGCTTTGTACAATAGAGTGCACAATGGTGTCTCCATTGAAGGGGGCCTCGCTAGTGTGCAGTGATTATGTGTTCAACTCCGTCTGTGGATAAGACAACAAAAAGCATCCTATACACATCTTACAATTTTTGTGAACTTCATGTACTTTCCCCCCTTTACCCATCTAGGACCCAGGACCCTAACCTGTGGGTTCAGACCCTCTCCTACTTTGCCCGCAAGGAGGAGAACTGCAAGCAGTACATCGTGGAGGTTCTGTCCCAGATCGATCGCTACAATCTCCTGCCTCCGCTCATGGTCATACAGACGCTGGCTCACAACTCATCGGCAACGCTGTCCGTTGTCAAGGTACGCAGTGCTTGTCAACAAAAGTCATCACAAGTCAATACGCCGTAGAAGTGGTTATGTCATGCCTGCCAAGATCACGCATTGCCTAGGGTGATGTTTCAACACAAACCTGGTCTTATGCAGCAATAGCACGGTGCCCACTTTTTTTCCACAAATTTTTTATCCACAAAATATTATCCTTTTGAAAAATAAAAATAACGGCATCCCTCACGTTCTGAGTGATGGCTACAGTCAGCTACGAAGCACTGCCCCATTTCCCAGTTTTATATATTCTTAAGGTCTGAGAAATCTCAACTAGAAAACCTTCACCTAAATCGCTTGTGCAAAACATACGGTAAAAATGGCGGACAAGACATTGTGTGGAAATTCCACACACAGCGGAATGGTCACTATTGGGGACGACCCCGCGTGACGTCACACTTCTACGGCGTATCCCAGGCTAATCATAAGTCAATCATAAGTCATCACAAGATAATCACAAGTTAATCACTAGTCATATCGCAGGCCATCATAAGAATATTGTAAGTCATCACAAGAGAATGACAAATTAATCACAAGTCATCACAGGTCAAGACAATTACAAGGCACTAACAAGTCAGTCACGAGTCAGTCACAAGTCAATAAAAAGTCAAGTTGGTTTTTAGTTTATTTTTTAAATTATTTTTGGTTTCCTTTTTGTTTAAAGGACTACATCATTCGAAGGCTTCAACAGGAGAATGATCAGATTACAGAGGACGAGAGATTAGTGAAACAGTACAGGGAAGAGACGGAGAAAATGAGGATACAGATGGAAGAGATGAAGACAAGGTGAGTATAAACGGCTTTTGGGCTGGCTGGTTGCTGGCTGGTTTTCTTGGTTGGTAGTTGGTCAGTTGCTTGGTTGATTGACAGTCACGATAGTTGGTTTGTTGGTCAGTTTGGGCGAGGACCATAGTTCAACTAACTTTGTTCGAACGCAGGATTGTTGGACTACTTGTAGTCGACTATTTGGAACCTTAGCCCAGGGCACGGTTTCATCGCTGGTAACCAATTGCCGCAGGCATCATAATACACAACGGGGAACCAGGACCAAGAAGTTCCGTGATGATGTTTGACCATCGTTTGACTAGAGGCATTAGCATGTTGCTATTAGTGCCCAGGCCTAAGTTACATCACAAATAAACCATTGGTCGACTAATGGTCCTTGCCTGAAATTGCTCACATTTGCTAGATTGCCAACTCTCTCTCAGTCCAAAATGTAGCAAAATGTCAACAGATTTCTCCTGTCTCTTGTATTGGGCAGATAGGGGGAAAATGGCGGGGGGGGGGGGGGGGGATTGTTCATTCTCATGTTACAAGCATGGCATTTGGCACACAGTCAGAGTATGTCTTAAGAAAGACATTTGGCTATAGGGCCATCCCAGATTTGTCCTTTGAAAAAATATAGGTAGAATTACAAGCAATATTAAAAATGGCTGCCATTGCTTGTTATTCTACCTGTATTTTTTTCAAAGGACAAATCTGTGATGGCCCTAAAGCCAAATATCTTTCTCATGACATACTCTGACTGTGTGCCAAATGCCATGCTTGTATCATCAAAGGCACAATCCCATCACCTATCTGCCGTACTATTGGACTTGCTACTCTATTTCTCTTTGTAAAAACCACCTTGAATGGGCCGTTGTCTTGTTGTCAACAATTCTCATTAGAAATAAATCATCAATTTTTACCAAATTCTGAAGACGAGACCAAAAAACATGCTCTTTTTGCTTTCCTTTGTTTAACAGCGCCAAGATCTTTCAAGTGTCCAAGTGCAGTATCTGTAATCATAACCTGGAGCTGCCGTCCGTCCATTTCCTGTGCCAGCACTCTTACCATCAGCAGTGAGTACAAACTTGGGATTCTCTTCTTATTTTCAAATAATTTCAAACAAAATGTTGAACTTTTTTACAACTCATTATCAAACAACCACAATACGAGAGAAGGAAACTTACTGGGGACTGGGATGTAGGTCTTCCTGCAGTTGCCAGATTGGTGTTATTTTTAAAGAGATTTGGTTCTACGTCGATCATTTTTGTCATTGTGCTTTGCCTGTCATTACGAGAATGCCTGAATCCTAGATACTAAAGTCGCTTGCATCGTGACTTTGGACTATACTCAATATTTATTGTTTTAATTCTCACAGCTGTTTTGAGAGTTATGCCGAGAATGACCTAGAATGCCCAGCCTGCGCTCCAGAGAACCACAAAGTCATGGACATCATCAGAGCCCAGGAGCAGAGCAAAGACCTCCACGAACAGTTCCACAGACAGGTATGGTGCTTTGTGTTCTTGGGCAAGACGCTTTACTACAATTGCCTCTCCCCACCCAGTAGTACAAACAGGCACCTGTGAGCGTAGAGACCAGATTGTGCTGATCTCGAGCTGCTGCAGAAAACTGGTCTCATGTTCTGATGAACTTGCTAATTTCTTTTTGTTTTGTCTGTTCTTCCTTCCGTAGCTTGAGAAGTCACAAGATGGTTTTTCTGTCGTCGCCGATTACTTTGGTAGAGGGGTCTTCAATAAGGTGAGAGTTTGAACAATTCAAGTTTTTTTTTATTTAAAAAAAAATATATATTTATGTTTTTCATAAAATGCAGGATTCTGTGACAAATATTTATTATTGTGCAGTTTTGTTCTGACTTTCTTTACAATCTGTTGTCAGAAGTGAACAGAAACAAAATGCCTGTACCAGCCGCAGACAGCAAACGTTTTCATCCTTGTAGAAAGTTAAACCAATTTTTTTGTTCACTCTCACAGGTTACCCTTGTGACTGATACCTTCCCAGCCTCACCCAAGAAGCTGACACCCTCCCAGTCGCCCGGTATCCTGCCAGCACCCATGAAGCCTACCATGGCAACACAGGGGGCACCCAGAGCAACCCAGCACCCAGTGCAGAAGCCCATTCAGCAGGTTCCCAGGCCATCCCAGGCAGCAGCGCCGACCAGAGCCACCCAGCCCTCCACAGGCTACACCCAGCCCACTTCCCTCCCAAGCATCCAACAACCCAGTCGAACCCAGACCCCTCCCCAAACCCAGGTGTCCAGATCCACCCCTAGCTCGGTCCAGATCCCAACCAACAGAGGCGGCACCCAGTCCTTCCAGCAAGAGACGAAACAACCCCAGACGGCGGCCGCCGATGTTTACCGCTCCAGCCCTTCCCGGCTCACCCCTTCCAACCCTAACCCCCCGAAATCATCAAGTCCAAGCCTTCACCATCGCGCGCCCACGGCCCCCACCCAACCCACGCAAGAGTACAACCCATTTTTCGGGGCGGGTTCGAGCACAACAAAAGCCCCTGCCCCTGGTACCGCCCCGACAGCCCAGAAATCCTCCGCGCCAAGCAAAACACAGACATACAATCCTCAGAGCAATCCGTTCGAAACCGGACCACCCAAAGCAGACAACCCGTTTGGAAATGATGGATCTGGTTCAAACCCGTTTGAAGAAGACGAAGATGCCAATAATCCTTTTTTCAATTAAAAAAAATGCATTAAGAAGAAATGTACAATTGTCTTACCGAAATCATGTTCTGTTGTATATAATGTATCGATAAGGAAAATGAGGAGATTATTAATATTAGAGATGTTTAATTATTGTTGACAGTTGCAATTTGAAAACTTCCCGAACTGCCCCACTCGTTTTAGAAATAATTCACAAGGTTCCAAACGGAACCCGGGACCCTATACGTGTTTATGGCAGTGTACGTCTATCACAAGCAGAACAGACGTCAATTCATGTGTGGCCACAAGCAACGGGGAATGAACAATATCGTCGCGCCAGTTCAACAAGGTCGTAACTCCATTCTGCAACACAGTCGTATCTCGTGCGATTACGCTCCGTGCAACAAGGTCCGATCTCAACGTCCATTGACTTTGTGTGTACATCCAGGTTATTTTAAGTGAGATACAACCTTTTGAAATTCCGAAACTCGCGTTTCATGTACAGCCCATTTTAGCAGATACAACCTTGTTGAACGGACACGAGGATATTAACCACTTGCTGCCGGGATTATTTTTGGCTGAAAAACAACCATTTTTGAATTGTTTAAAAAATTTAGTCAAACACATCAAACACCGACTCTTGAGAGTCATTTTATTTGTGCGATACTTCTCACCATGACTTCATATTTTGCAACACTCCAAAGCCAGGGAGTAATATTTGCGACGATGTCAGGCCGTGTACAGCGGCCAAGTTCAAGTTCAAAACACGGTGTGTACACAAAACCACGGCGAACCACTGACGTGTTTACACGTCCACCACCAGAGACTTAGGGAAAGCTTGACGATTTTACCCGTCGCCCGCCCCTGCGAATATACATTGCCACATTGTGTTTGCGCGTCCTCCGACGTTAACTGGTTAAACAGTGGAATGTCTTTGTCACAGATCATGGGAAATAAGCTTGTGACTTTTTGACTTAGGACTGGATATCATTACCTTGTGATGGACTTGTGATCAATGACTCGATCGACTACAAGTATAGTTCAGAGAAGGCACACGTTTTTTTTATAGCGCTCAAAAATTTTGCTGTTAAATCAAAGCATGCAAACATTATTAAATAGCTTTTAATTATTTGCAACTTCAACATCAAAACTCTTTCAAATCTGTCTTTTACCTTCCAAATTCTCCAAAATCCTCTTTGCAAAATGGAGGATTTTGCTATATGGCCAAACAAATATGTGTGGCTGATTTTGGAGGATGCTCTGTGTCAAGGTCTTGGGCCGGACCTTGTGTTGTTTATGCTCTGCCTCCACATACTGACAGTGATTGCTGGAGGATTTTTCAGGATTGAGGCAGTGGTCACCCCTCCAAGGACCACATTCAAGAAATAACAAATGATTTTGGAGGATTGAGGCTGCATTACATGGAGGCAGTTGGAGGATTTTGCAGGATTGAGGTTGCGTCCTAGCAAAAATGCCTAGGGAGTAATTGGGTTAGTTTAAAAAAAGAAAGGAAAATTGATCAAGACATATTTAAAGAATATTTTGTAAAAGATGTATGTACATTTAAGCCTCTACTCAAATTGTAAATCATATGTTTAGAAACTTAATTTTGTTCTTGCCTAAATCTTGGAACACAGCAATCAGTAGAATTAATTTCATATTATCATAAGAATTTTCTTTAATTTTTTTTTTTATATTTTGAAAAAAATACATGGTGTAAGCTCTGAAAATTAAAGATAGAGAATCTACATTTGTACAGAATTAGTTTCTTGCTTTTTTTATATATATAATTCACTTTGATTTTCTGCCTTAAAATGGAAATTATTGTGTGTATGAAAAAACAATAATCAAAAACGGGGGGCATATGGTCTAAGCACAGAGCAAGTGGGCATATATAAAGGTGCACTGAACTAATTCAAGTGAGAATTTCTACGCAAGTCATTAGCATAAAAAGTGGCCCCCCCCCCCCACAATTTCGTTTGAAAACGGAGACCGTTTGGCTTTAAAAACGGTGGAATTGTGTAAATATACCCAAGGATCAACTCCCTGGTTTTTGGGCTTCCATCTGAGGGCAGGCTTGATAAAATCACGGATGAAAAATGGGTCCTATTTGCCTGTGAAAGTGGAAGGATGCCACTTGTAAAATGGCAACATGCAGGCTTGGGAACTATCACTTTTCGGGAGGTGATTTTGTTTTGGTGTGACTATTTAAAAATCTAATCGGGTAATCTACCAAAAATTGAAAAGAAATGAAAAGATGAAGTACAAAACAATAATTTAAGTTTTGTTTGAGAAACCCCAGTGATGTCGGCTTGCATGTTATTTGGCCCTGAACTTTGTTGATTTTACACTGTTTTCAATGGGGCTTGAATTAGTACAATTGACCCATAATGTTATTGGGGGCGAAGTGACAATTTCGCCGACAATTTAAACACGAGAGGGCGCCCTACTTATAAAAAGATCCATGTTTTTTTTAACACAAGCGCAGGCATGCGCGCCGCTCGAGCGATCATTCTGTATTTCATGAGTGTCGGTCGCGCGCGTAGCCCCGTTTTGCTGTATTTACGAGGATCTGGAAACGGTGCAGTTGCTGTCGTGGTTGTAACGCTCGGAAGATTTGCTGGTGAGATCTGGACGGAAAGTGGTAATTATTTTCATCGGTTTTGTTTTAACAATGTCAATGCTAATCTACCATTGTCTACCCTGGCATGTAGCCTAAGCAAGCGGGTGACTTTTCACTGCGTTTACGCATGGAGCTATCTCCATGGTTTACGCGTTACTAATCGTGTATTCACGATTCATGTAATCGTGCATTGGCTTTGTTTTTTGATAGTGGATATTTTGCTGGAGGTAATGACGGCAAACTAACGTTTACTAAAGGTTTGCCGGCGGCAATCCATATCAACAGAGGGCGCTGTACTCTTTAAGATAGGGCTGAATTATAAGATGTATTAAATTCCCACCAAAGTTGTCGAGCACGTTTGGTGTAGTGGTTAAGCAAGAGCTCTGGTGACTGTATGACACGGGTTCGATCCCGATCCCCGCCACATTTTTAATTTTTTTTTTCCCATCCCCAAATAAATCAGAATATTCTTCTTTTATTATTTTAACATGTCTCAAACATTTTATTGCAGAGTATTACATTTTCTTTTCCAGATTTGTGGCTCTGGAGGATTTTTTTTAAAAGGGAAATAAAGTCCGAAATTATATAATGGTCTGAATCCCATCTTGTGAATACGAGGTTACAACGATAATATTGGCATGGAGCCAGACTAAAATTTGTCACCGGAAAATGTTTAAGTACAAAAAAACAGTAACTGCGCATGTTCAGTGCATATCCGGCAAACTAACGTTTACTAAAGGTTTGCCGTCTCCGGCAAAATATACACTGCCTTATCTTTTTATGACAACCCAATGATAAAATTTAGGGCTGGGTAACTCCAGCTAGTGTAAGTGCAAGTTCTATTTATTTTTGTCACTCATTTTACTTTTGGCATGTTTGGTAATGGTGTAGTTTAGGACCCCGTTCCATTATAAGAAAAGTAGGCCTACCGGTAAGACACTTTTCAGTTTTGGCACAAACATGATGAATCAGGGACTGAGTGAGATGTCCATGTAGACTTGTCAATGTCATGAATGTGGCGTCAAATGTCAATAACAATGCCACACATCGATGAACACAAAAACTTTAAACATTTTAGGGGCCTACATACATTTTGTACAGTACTGGTATGATGTATTTATTGGGAAGAAATGATATTTAATCCACTTTCAAATTTACCATTCCTTTCTTTGCCAGTATGCTGACAAACATAGGCCTACCGGTAATCACCAAACAATCAGATTCTTAACTGATGGTTCTGGAAGTGTGGCCCACTTATTGTCCTTATCTGTGGTGTCTACCGTATATGTTACATGTACCCAGCCAAATTGTGTAAATTTCCTGTCTTTTTATTGATAGTAAAAACTTTTGCCGGATACAGGTGGCCCTGACAATGCTTTAGACAAGGTCAGAAATTTATGTTGAGGATGTTTAAAGGTAGAGTCGATCATTTGCAGCTATCCAAAAAGTAACCAACAAAATTTATTGTTGGAAACCTTACTTGGTTTAATATGGCAATAAATAAACTGCCTGTGAAATTTTTCTTTCTGGCATGCTGTCATTTTGAAGAAAACACTAAAAAAGAGGCAATTTCTAAAGATGCGTCAAGTGACGCAATTTTTTGGAAATTTCCATTTGTAGTTGGTTTGTAAATCGACGAATCCATGAATGGGTGCGCGCAAGGGTAGACACGATGCACACACAAATGTGTGTTCACCGTCGATCGTGGACGTCCTATTGTCCCTCTTTTATTTGTAAACTTGTACTCTAACTTTTTAGGAAGACTCCCATAGGTTTTGTACACGACCCCAATCGCAGACATACATTTATGCTGGGAATCGTGGACGATATTGTTCTCTTTTGTTCTCTGGTATTTTTCGTCCACGGTTTGAAAAGATAAACACGTACACGGGTGATACTTTTTTTCAGTTCAGTGCGTGACATCGCATAGCTGCAATCGGCTGAATGAGAACGTGTCCCGGGCGCTGATTTCAGGCTGCGCAATTCAAAACATGACTTGGCAACTTTTGAATTGAATTCGAAATCCAAGATTATATTGTTTTCTCGGAATACACAGCATTCACAGAGCTAAAAGTTCATCAGGTTAGTTGTTAAGCGCCTGTCTTTAGATTTTGAGAAGTTTCGATTACTTGTTGTTAGGCGTTCCGGCAGAGTTCGAAATGGGGGTTTGCAGGTATTACTATTTAGAAAGAGAACAATATTTTTCTTTATACAATAACGTTAGTTGCACTTCAATCAGAGATTCCTTTGGCAAGTTGTGGGTTTTTATTGTTTGCATTTATCGACTTGTCAAAAAATAAAACACAGTAAAAGGCCTTTGAGTTTTGAGTTTAGTATTTGTGAAATTGAAAGATGCCTGTTATTTTTCCTGGAAAACATTTTTATACCACGATTATTATACTATATCTTTAAAACAAGTGTAGAAGACAAAGATGGAAACAAATCTGAAAATCGAAAAAAAAAAGTCAACCCCAATTCAGGTTTTTCTCCGTGCTACGTTCTGTGCCCAGTTCCGTCTGATTTTGCCAGAACGCCTAACATTTTTGTGAACTGGCTTTTCGCATGCATGATTTTCAGAACTACAATGAGAAATATTCTAATTTTGTAGCTTATTTCTCCTGTCAAAGTCCAGTATTGAAGTTTCAGATCCAAAAAATCCCCCCAAAAATGCTTCCTCAAAGAAATTTTATATTAAAAGCTCTTGGCGTGACACCAGTTGTTTTCAAATCCATCCAGCTGTGACTTTAAAAGCAAGGGAAATATCCCCAAGGTTTTTTTTCCCCTCAAAATTAAGCTGAACTGTTTCGAGAAGAAGATTATTATCAACAGACAGAGAAGAACCAAAATGTCATTTTAAAAAGCCGCATGTGGCTTTTGACGTCTGATATTAAACATGTAATATGAAACACGCTGACAGAAGAGTTGTGGGGGGGGGGGGGGGATAAAATCCCCAGAGATAGCGGAAAGTTAATATCCTGATGTGCGTTTCTTTCAACAGTCCGTGAATGAGTTGCAGACTCCCAGGTCCTTCGAAAAGCTAGCGCCTTTTTTTTCCCGTCACTTAATTACATCCATATTTTCTTTGAGTGATATGAAAAACTGTCGGGGGATGCTGTAGATATGGCTCTGGTTTTTTTAACATGCCCATATTTGTCAACCAAGAGGGTAAAAATTGAAAATATGTTAACACACTTGAAACATGTAGTTTTAGCATCAAAACTATTTATATTTATGAGAAATGTAAAAGTCGGAGCTTAAATCTAACTCTAAACTTGTGAAACATCCATGAACATAACAACATTTGTATATTTTACTACGAACTGTTACACATCTCAAAATGGTGATATTCAACTCATGCTTTACCAACTTCTTTAGCAATGAATGTTAATGTTAAGAGCATGGTTCAGAGATTATTTATGCCAAGTTTTGAGTTTCTATCACAAAAAATTACGATTTTACATTGCTTGAAAGCACGAAATAGCCGAAAATACTGGGTTTCACCATTTAAAGTTTTTGTTTGGTATGGAAGAATGGGGTTTTCTTGGGTCAAACTTATTGCATGTAAACCATGGATGATAAAACATAGTTACATGAAAAAAAATTGGAAAAAGTACATTGGCAGATAATTTTCATACCTGTGTCCCCTGCTATGTTTCGGACGTTACACTTTGTTAACATCTCAACTTGTCTCACATTTTATGGCATTGCTTTGGTATCATTGGCCTGTTAGCTTATTTGCAGGCAGAAAATAAACTAACATATTAACATTTATGCAATTTCTGTATTCAAATTGTCACAGAAATAGTTTAGCAGTGTGTTCTATCACCTTAAATACTGGTATATACAGTACGGTACATGCACTTGCACTTGTTGCAACTGGATCTGTCTAATTTATCTGTACTTCAGAACGTTATGTTGCATACATACATGGACAATTGCAAAATATGAACTTGATTGCAGTGGTAATCATTAAAAAAAACACTGAAAACATACTGAACTGCATTTACTACGGTACAAAAAGACAACATGTCATCTTTTGTTTCGGATGTTACATAATGTTAACATCAGATCATCAATTTCTGCAAACTTTGCTAAGGTTTGACCTGTTTGCTTCGTTATTTTTGACTAACCCACATCAGTCCAGTTACAATATCCCATGTAATAATTGAAAATCAATTTTGGAATGAAACCTGTAGAAAACCTCGATATTAAAGGTAAACTGTTGTGATTCGTGCTTATTCCACAGTTAGTTTTGTTACATTTTAAGCAATGTAACACCACTGTTTGGGCGCGTATTTCAACGTTACAGTTTGTCTCCCCATCTTTGACAAAAGTTCTAACATACCAAAAAGAAACTAATATTCAAACAAAAGACCTCTATTTGTACAGAATTTTCACCTTTCTCTAAAATACAAAACTTATACATAAATACCATTCAAGTTTTGCATGTTAAAACAAGTTGTCAAAATTTGTACCAAAAATCCATGATTTTATAAAAAAATACCAGGTTATTTATCCAAAATTCACGCTTTGCTTCATGTCATCTTGCTGCAACACCAAATCTTGTTGTCTCCTTTAATTTGATACCACACTTATTGTTGTTAACTTTCTAAAGATATAACAAATTTCATGTTTTATAAAATTTATCCACCTTTTCATGGAATTTGCCTTTCAAGTTCTTTGAGCACTGCATATGTAATTTTAAATCAAAGAACTTACATGAGATTGAAATACCGGTACTGACCAATTAGTGCAAATAATTACACCTACTTGTAAGCTGTATTCATTGAGGGAATGTAATATTTTACCTTAAAAGTCTCATTTTTGTTTGTTTCGGATGTTACATTATACATGTTAACAAACTGAACATGTCCATGACAATAGAATAGTACAAGTACAAAAGTTTAGTCTCCCACCATACAGTACATGTGGAACTGGAATCATCCATTTTGTTAATAGAGGTGACCAGCATGCATGCAGAAACTTAAAATCTAGATCTAAATTCGGTGTACTATAGTGTA